CTTTTCTGTTATCAAAGAGATCCTCTATAAACAGTTTTCAGGATTTTTTGTTTAGCTTAAGATAATCCTTAACGCTAAAAAAAAACTCATTTATAAACTTGCAGCCAAATTATATAGACCGTTAAAAAAATACAACATATCATACTTAAAGCTTATTTTTATAAACAGATTTCTAAATCCCAAAAGTGTGCAGAAATTGCAGCTAATTTGTAGGTTTTCCAGAAAACTAGGACTCTGACAAAAAGTAATTCTTATCCGAAGACATAATTTTGCATTGTGTCAGCAGTGTCAATGTAATTTGTCAAAGAAATGTGTTTTCGGGTGATATATTTTTGCAGTGTTCACGTGTACAGAAAGTGTTAATTATAATGGACAGAGGAAAATGACCACTGGTATTTATATTTTTGTATTTGTTAGTGTGACAACCACTGTTTACAACCACGCCTTTTCTTTTACAACAGTTGTATGTCCAGGAGCTATTCTGTATCACTGACCGCATCAAATTGATTAAAATATTAACCAATACAAATCTGCACTATGCTGTTACAAATCAGAAAAGAAACATTTTAGAAATAAGTGCAATGTATTTATCAACTTTTTATTAATTATATCAAAGCTTTCGAAACCATAATATACTGCAAAGTCAATTTGCAAGAAGGCGGTTATTTAATCTGTATAAACAAATAAAAAAAAAGAAATAGTTAAAATAAAAAAAACAAAACAAAACAAAACAAAACAGAGCGAGTATTGAATTTTCAGATCCAGTTTTATTATTGTTTAGATAAAAAAAAATATCAATTTGTCCAATTTTTTCCTATTATCATTGATAAATGAATCGGAGTATACAACACCTCTTCTTGCACGGTAAACTATATAAAATTTCGAATTAAAACACATATTTCCCCTTAATTCGGAACGGCGAAACAATTATTAGCCCTAGAACTTGCACTGCAAGTAATGTTACATGTAATCCCGAGAAAACTACACAATTTGTTTTTTAAACATTTTTTTTTACCAGAATTTTACGATGAAATTTCAAATTGGTTTACATTTTACTCTCTTTCAGGAATACTTTTAGAAGTGTATATTATTGATTAGCTATCTAAAAATCAATTTCATTGCACAATAACTTTTATATTTGAAAAATTCATTGGGGCCAAAATGCGAAACCAAACTCCTAACTGTATTTCTACCTTTAGTTTGACACCTAGATAGAGGTGACCGTTGCGTTTGTGCTCAGTATGTTCAGTTCCGTAATGTTGGATTTGGCAAGCTGTCCATTCTATAAGCCATTGCTTTTGATTTTCGGGGCAATGGAAGTATGATTTTTTTTTTCATAAAAGGGGAAAAGATTCTTAGAGTGCAATCAAAAGCCATAAGTAAAAAAAACCCAACAAAATCAGACAAACACTATAACCAGGAGAAATACGACACAAAGTTTTGCTTATATTTTTATTGCACACCATGACTAAGTCTTAGTTTGTGATTTCCAACATACTTATCTTGCAATCAGGTATGTCACTAGTCTTGTTTCACAAAATAAAAAGAATATTTTATTCTTTGCTTGTTTTAGAACTTTTCTTTATTGTTTTTAGAGGGTAAGATTTTCCAATATATTTTAAATGTTATGTTCATTTTCTAGAACTCTGTTTAAGTTTTACAATGTACTTATACAGCCTTGGCTTTCAAATGTTTAAGTTTTACAATGTACTTATACAGTATACAGACTTGGCTTTCAAATAATTAAGTTTTACAATGTAACTATACAGCCTAAGCTTTCAAATGTTTAAATTTTACAATGTACCTGTACAAATGTTTAAGTTTAAGCTTTCCTGATAATGGTAAATTCAGAAAAATGGTTCGGACACACCAAAATTTATAAAGTGTTATTTTCATATTTGATATAATTTCATTTCCAAATAATTCAGCAACTGTTTACCGTCGATATCAAAGGTTATTCACCAACGTATCAAATGAAGTGCTGAGGCGCACCTGAGTAAGGCTGAGTTCACTTACGGAATATGGCGGGGTTCATAATGGAATTATGCTAAATCTTTACAATTTCCGTGGAGAATTTTGTTGACTAGTATTTATTTGTTCGTATTTATTTTGCCATGATTTTATCTGTCTCTTTTGTACCTATATCAAGTACCCCTTTGATATATTCTTAACTATTTGCACGTCTCAAACTTTTTAGAAACAGGTGGTGCCATCATGAAACATTTGTTTATCTTATTTGATCTGAACATTTATGATTATGATAGTATGAGTATCTAAGTCTTTCATATATCGCATGCAAAGAACAGTCCACAGGAAACTCCTTTAAATACTATACTGGTAAGTTTAACCAGGCGTGGAGTACTGGTATCGTTACAACTTCACGGGATTAGTTATATTATTCTGTCATTATCAGTTAAAAAATAAAATTGAGCAGACTAATGATTAGCTGTTATGTAGACAATATTGAGCAAATGCTAATTTGAGCGGACTAATGTTAAATTTGGTTGTGATGTAGACAGCATTTTCAAGACTAATGGTTTGCTTTCATGTAGATATCATCATTCTTGTGACAATAGAATTGAAATTGTATTAATTTCTTTCTCGGCATCTCTATAAGATAATGCATTTACACAAAATTATCTTCTTGCTTTGAAATATACTTCCCATGTACTGAATAGTTGAAAAAGATAAAAGATAAAATTGTCTTTTGTTATAAATCATTATAAACTGTCGATTTTAGAGTGAATGTCAAGTAATGAATGAGACAGAAGTTAGCTTTCTATACCATAAACGGGTTATTTTTGTTCTCAGTTTATGTTTCGAATTCATAATGATATGTTTACATATGAATTATAAAAGAAAATAAGGAATAATGGTTTTTAATCTGGTATAAAATAGTCTGTTTGGAAAATATTATGGTCCATGTACAACATGTTTTCATTCTTATAATGACCACAACTGAGTAACAACTATATTCAATATCATCTTATTAATACGACACCAAACGGTATTATATTACTAATCTGGTAGTTAACGTTTTCCTATAGCTGACACGCGCTGCTCGCGATCAGAGTATCCAAGCAGACAAACGCACATACACGTGCGTTTCCATATTTGTTGAAATCTGTAATTGGCATTCGTTTTATTAAGACAGTTGTAATTAGCTTTCTATGATCTTTATAAACAAGTGTTATTCTTTTATCAGAAATGTTTTATGGTAAAACTAAAATTGATTTCATGCGATGACAACAACGTTATATTGTTGACACCCCCTCCACGCATCTAAACCAATGAAACTAGTTCCTTCATTATAATAATTATTTTTTTCATTAATGTTTTAATGCTGTGCACTGTGATTAAACTTTCATATTTTAGTTTTATATCCGAATGAACAATTTTGACCAATTTTAGAATTATTCTTATAAAGGTAGGTCAATTTTTAAATCATTTGTATCATCCCAATACACAAATTCGTTTTGTTTTTCTGAAACGTATGTTCCGTCTCACGAAAGCTGCTTCGACCTTAAACAGTAAAAGGTGTCATTTTGTTCTTTATTATGTTGTACAAAGTACATTTACACGTCTTTGACTTTTCATTTTTTTACTCCAAGCTTTCCTGATGAAATTTAACCCAGAGGAGTTCTTTGGACGAAGTTTTTGTTAAATTTTGAATTGCGTCGTTTCATATTTTCAAAGAAATTAATGATTTACTTTAAAAGGGGGGGACAGATAATTACCTCCCTGGTATATATATATACAAACGTGTGATTAACCTATTATTAGTACCAGCTCTTTTTATACTCTCCACTCAAAAATGAAAGTTTACTTGCTACTTTATTTACAACTTTCAAATTTTTAGGTAATCAAAAATATATTACTACTTATCTGAAAGTCAAACTCTTTCACAGAAAAAAATATGCAAGATGTATTAAAAGAAGGTCTTGCTTAATTTTCATAAAAAGAAACGAGCTATTAATTTAATGAATTAAATAGAATAACATTAACAAAGGAATGCTTAAGTTTGAAAAACAATAAAATATGATGAATTAAGAATCGATCACTGAAAAAGTTTGACAAATCATGCATCCAAAACTTTTAATTTTTAAGACCATAAACGTATATTTAGCAATTTCAATTTTAGTTTATAACGTCGATTCTTTAATTATCAGAATTAGTTACTGACTTCTTGTTGAATTTACAAGGCCAAAGTGTACCTTTCCTTTCATTTACACACCTAGTTATGTTATTAATACCCCCAAAAAGGATATTCCGGCAATTCGTATGTTTCATTTTCGCGAAAATTACAGTTACAAGATAAACAGTACTAGATTGATAACATCCATTTTTCTCCATTTTTTTTAATTTAACAAAGATAATAAATAATATAACTGATGATAAGCAATACATTTACATTTCCTGTGATCAAAACTTATCTAATATTTAAGAGTTTAACGAACGTTTTCTCTTTCCTCTAGTAAATCTTTGAATAATTTCATATTTCATTCTTAGATATATGAAATGTGAGTTTTGGTATCTCATATTCTACAATAGAACAGAAAGGATATTGAATATGCATCTATGACACAAAATTAGTACATGTACAACAAAAACACAAAAAGGAACAGTGCTTGTATTGCTGTTCTTCATCTCAAAGTCACAGTGAGGTCTTCAAGACGGAACCAAAGAACTCTCACCTCACTGCAAGTTTAAGACGGCCTCTAGCACCGATTTATGCGGAATTCTTTGCAAACTACAAGCTACAGTAATAATTTAGTCTTATAATACAATCAGATTGTTTAAATGAATGTACAATTTATCTACATTTTATCATCATCCTAAAAGACGTCAGAAATATTTGTGTATTAAATAGATTTTGTAAAAACAAACATTTAAGTTAAAAAAAGTTAAACCTATATTAATCAATGCAAGTTTTCTCATACTCATTTCCACTTATGTAAGCCATTTACTTTTCCCTAAACTTTGTTTTAATTGAAATATAGATGTTTCCCGAACATCCTGATTCCTATAGTTGTAACAATGTCAATAGTAATGATGGCTGGAGAAGTTCTACACCACAAGAAACAAAACCATTCTGTATGGAATACAACAAATCTCCTGTAGAAGTCAGTGTTAATACGTACCCAGTAGCCACTATAGAAGTCGACCAAGTCCCTAGTCTCTTCAATATATCACCATGTGCTCCGGTTTACAAGTAAGTGTAAAATACAAAAAGTGATCCTCATGTTATGAAATTAATTGAGTGTTTGATTTCTCCATTTTCCCGCCTCCATCATTTCCCAAAAGTTTTAGAAGTTTTCAACACACTGTAAATATTTAGTATACGTAACGCGAACCCACAAAATATTCAAGACATGTTTTTCATACACTATGATAATTATGTATGTCCCTTCGGCATAGTTTGATAAATTTTTCCTATTTTTCTGCGAACTTTATTTACATTTAAAAAAAAAATCTATCATAGGATACTTATTTTATATTAACATATTCCTATAGTTTTAAACACAGGCCCTTAAACACGTGGAAATTTGAAGAAGGTTGGCAAATATTTTGAAATATTCAGTTGTATACCCCATTTTTTGATATTTTGAACCTATTATGTCTGTTTATTTTGCTCACACATTGTTTTCAATATAATGGAATTCTATGCGACTGTCATACAAGCCAGGTTTAATCCACCATAGGAAATGCCTGTACCAAGTCAGGAATTTGACAGTTGTTTTCCATTCCTTTGATGTGTTTAAGCTTTTGAATTTGCCATTTGATAAAGGACTTTCCGTTTTAAATTTTCCTCGAAGTTCGGTATTTTTTGGTATTTTAGTTTTTAAAAATAATTCCAAATCATTACTATTTAAAATCGTCCACATATTTCCATTGTTTCATTGCAAACATTTTATAAAGAGTATCTATTTTGTGTTATTAACTTCTACAGTTTTCAACCCAGCTCCTTTAAATTTCACAGAAACTGATGTGGACACTAACAGATTTTGTGCCATTTATTATCAAATTGTGAAATTAAAACAATTTCCTATTTTTCCAGATTCAGACAAAGTATCATTGTCAAAATCGAAAGAGTTACATTTTATGTACAACCAATTTCTCGTGTATTTTCTTTTTACCTAGAATATTTGCTCGCACGTTAATTTGATTTTTAGAAGCTTTGTGTTAATTTTCCAATTCTTCAGACTTTAAAGTAATATTATTTGCAGGTAACATTAAGAACAGGGTAATACATATTACAAGAACAGAAAATTTAATAGGTATCTTTTTGAAATACAACGACCTCATATCACAGGCATTTGAATTAAAAAAAAATGTTTACTCGATGCATCAAGTTGTTCCAGCTCTCTGTTTACATTTCGGTTGAAAAGTTAAAAAGATACAACTTCTCCAAATGGTATGTTTACTTTGTAATGTCAAAAAGAGCAGCATTGACGGACACAACATAACGGGCTAGAAGGGGGATTTCAAAGAGAAAAGGAATGAAAATGTACAACTGAAGATACATTACAGGACAACAAATCTTACGAAATACATATATTAACTGTGCTTTCGGAAAATTTTCTGTAAGGTATTTCTCTTGTGAAAAGTTTGAATATACATGTACCATCAATGACGTTATGATTATAATACGGAATTGATCTAGCTTTCCACATTCGCTGAACAAAGAAAACTGAATTTTCTTTATATCAGAGAAAACATATTTTGTTATATGTAGCTAAAGCAGTTATGGCGATTATACATTAGTAAAAGCAATCCAATAAATAGTGTAAAATTGGATAAAATTTGTAATATTCTTCCATGTCCGATTTAAGATGGAAATATGATTGCTTTTGTTTGATTGATTTGTGGCTTTAATACGAAGTGAGATTTAAAGTTCAATACATTTTTATTTGATTTACATTTGAAAATCAATGTGATAAGGGGGGAAATCCAAGATATGAAATACGAAACAAAATCAACCATTGACCAAACACCACATTAGATAACAAATACGCGTATTGAAATTCTTGGATAAGTATTCTATTATTATCAACTTGGTCAAGAGGGAATGCATTGGTAATAAGACTACTTTAAGGAGAATTGTAACTTAAGCATTGTCTTGGCTACAAAAATAACTTAGTTTCATAGAAAAACTAAACTATAGAACTTTCAATTTTGTAGCTTTGTTTCTCTTCAAACCATTCTCGACAACAACAAAAAATCTCAGAAATTGTTAAAATCAACTCGAAATGTACTTTTAAAATTTGCAAACAATATTTTGGTGGAATAATACATATTTATCAATACATTAAAAAAAACGTCAGAAGAAATTGCAAAATAATTTTAGTGAAGTTTTCCCTCAAGACGGTAATATATATATACATATAAACTGCGATATAATTATATGTATATATTTGACCACTGCATCATATGTGATACGATATATCTCCATTCGAGACAATTATATTTTCAAATATAATACGCCAGGCTTGCCAATGTCTTTTTGTTTGGCATCATCAGACATGGTCTCTTTTGTGAAAGCAAGAATTTATCGTTTGACTAATGAAGAACTGAGATCTAACAAAACACACGTTGATTATTAAAAAATAACCAACCGGTCGAGGAGAGTATAAATCGGCTAAGAATTACAGAAATATTTATTTATAAAAGTGACTTTTTTCATATTATTATAAATCCTCACAGCACATCTGTCAAGGTGGAGAACAGAAGTAAAAATGTAAATTTTGATGAATGCTATTTCTTGAGTGTGTTAATTTTTTGTTCACTGAATGTTTATATTTTTCTAATGAAATGAACATTGAAATTTCTAATGAATTATTACCTTGGGGTCTATATATTTTTTTTGCATTTTTGTATTTGAAGATATTTGTTTTCTATGAAATCAAATATAAGACTGAAATTCTATAACCAATTTCCTTTAAAATGAAGCAAAATGTCAGGAAGAAAATCTGTTTGTCTGCTGATCTTCTATAACGTCACAGTAACCAAATTGCTCCGAGTACCCAAATTGCGCCCATTTAGCTAAAATAGCAGCGGAAATCTTGCAAGTTTTCTTAGAGACTAAACCATTTTGTATTTTTATGATTTGACATTATGCACGTCTTTCAACATAGCTTAATATATTTAAATACACACAAAACGTTCACAGTATATATCAACAGATGAAATATTCACTGGAAAAAGTCAAATCTACGGAAACGTCCCATACGACGTCCACAAAAAGTCAACTTTTAGAAATGACCATTAAAATATGTTACATGCATCCATTTCTTAAGAAATGAATAGTAAGCATGGACTTTTGTCAAATTCTTGAAATTATTTGGAGAATAAAACAAAACATCAGTTATTCGATTTTTACGGATGTGAATTTAAGCAATAGATGCAATTTGGGTACTCCTCATTACAGACAGAATAATGGATCGTTTGGAGGTCGGTTCAAACCCATTTTTTTATGATTCAATATGGATTCAAAATTAAATTGATGGAACTATAAAGTGAAAAGGATACATCTACAAAATAAATTCAGAATCGAAACTTTTGTCTGGATCATAAATAAACGTAGGGGAAAAAAAACTGTCAAAATTGGTGCAATTTGGGTACCCTCACGTTACAGATGTAACGACGATATTTTTCAAAAAGTTTTGAGAGAATATGTTGTTGTCTCTGCAATTGTTTCTCTATTAATATTGTTTTGAATGAAAACAACAATTACTGACAGGCACATATAAATAGGATTGAAACTAGTGTTGTCAGTATTCAACCCTCCCCCTTTTATTTGTTTTTAGTATGTATACAATTATTATATATCTAAGTACTTATTACGTAAAGAATTTGTTCTTGAATTTTTGAAATCTCTTCTATACATATTTATTTAGAATTATATGCTTGATAACTAATAAAAAGTTTTAATATTGCCTCACTGTTAAATGATAAAAGTATAATCAAATAAAAAATATTATGTAGATGATATGAAACTTTTAGATTAGTTGTTTTTTGTTTCGTGTCCAGTGGCAACATACCATATATATTCAGGACGAGAGTAAATTAAGGTCTGTGTTTTTGTTGTGTCGTTGTTCTCTTATATTTGATGCGTTTCCCACAGTTTTAGTTTGTAACCCGGATTTGTTTTTATCTCTATCGATTTGTGAGTTTCGAACAGCGGTATACTACTGTTGCCTTTATCTACAAAGTAGGTCGATCAAAGGGCTGGAAATTTGGACTGACCCTGGAAATTAGGGTATGTTGCATAGGGACAGAATGTTGCCTTGCAACAGGCCACTCTGGACTTTAGAAAGAGATTTTCTATATTAATAAAGTATACGACACACGACGTCCTGAGGTGACAGTAGTTGTCAAACATCAAACTTTTGTCAACATTGGTTAAATCAAACATCATATCAACTTTCATATACTATAGTTAAATAAATACCAATGTTATACAAAGGTGTCAAAGTTTATATGCTTAATATAAACAGTAAGATGGGTCTACTGTATTCATTTGATGTTTGTATTTTACTAATTCGCATTTTAATTAACACGTAAATGACCATCATTATTTTTCAAACTTGTTTGCTTTGTGTCTAGTTACTGTCATTTTTGCTTGATAATAAAATAAACTTCAATAACTATGTAAAGAAATGAGTCTTGATTTCCTTATTTATAACTTGTTAATATGTGTTTCTGACTTGTTTAATATCAGACTTAGTACAACGCATTAATCGGAACTTTTAATGGTAAGAAATAGCTTTTTGTGCATTTAAAATATCCTTTTATTTCGCAACGGTTGGCAATCAAGTAATCCGTGTTCATGAACGCACAATTTATTATATTTCAATAATTAAAAGAGAGTTTCATTATGTGATAAAAGCCGTTTGCTTAAAAATATCTCGATTGTATCAGTTATAGTTTTATAAGATAAATTTCGTGTAATTGTTATCAAATTCATAAGTTTTAATAAGTGAAAGACACATTTGAATGTGACGTCATTGTTTACGGTAAATATAAAGACATGTCTACATTATAACATTATATACATTATCACCATACAGCAGCAGGGGTAGATAATAACGTGTACAAATTTGACTCGTTATATTGCGACTTTGTCGACTTTTCACGCAACTACAGATCAAACGCTTTTATAAGAATTCTAATTGACATGTAGCGTGGTCTTTTATTTTATTGTGAAAGGTGCTCCTTATACTTTACGTGATTTTGTTCTAAGTTTCAAGGACATGAAGATCAACTTTTCATGATCAGTATGAGTATTGCTGTCAATTTGGGTCCGTTGTCTGTCCGTCGACTGTACACTTTTTTTTCAAAAATTTTCTTCTCTGAAACTACCCAACAAATTAGAATTATACTTCACTTAATTGATCCTTATGGTGTCTTAACTTTTATTTGTTAATTTGTTTTTGTTCACAAATCAGCACATGACCACCATGGCTATAAATAAACTTAGGGTAAAATGGAAGTAACAGTTACACTGTATAATCATAAAAAGGTACAGAAAATCGGACTGAGGCAAATTTGTTCAGAATGTCAAGATCTATCAACATTATTTAATCAATTAACAGGTTTACGCTTTAGAATTGAAATGTTTAACCTATTATTTAGATATTTTGATTTTATATTCTCAATATAACTGGTTGTGGGAATTTGTTTAGATAATAATAGTTTCTTTTCTAACCATGTTTTGAACATTCACCAATGGATTTCTGATCAATAATACTGTGTTTTTTTGTTGTTCTTCTCATGATTAGAAAATTTAAAAGGGGATAAATAAACAGTAACACAAGTTGGTGAAGGCTAAGCAGTTAAGTTCTGCGGGGGAAGATGCAGGGAAAGTATTGTAAGTCCCTTATGAACCTTTTTGAAAGATAAGACATCATTGTTAATCTATCTCATAACAGTCTTTGTAATCTCCAGGTCGCCCTTCTTTGTACTGGATACCCAAATTACATAATTGTCCTTACAAACAACGTTACGCTGCTAGGTCTGCCTTACGCTCCATAATTTTTTTCCAAATTGGTAACATCTGTTTTTCAGCAATCAAAACCAAGCTTTAGAGTTACTGTGAAACTGCCTCCTCTAGGCGTGGTGTGCATCAGACGCGGAGAATAAAATTCCAAAGATCTGTTAAAGCATGACTTGTCAACCCTTTACACAAGTATTCCTCATATTAATTTATCATAAAGACAGATTGAAACAATTAGTCGTCCAACTTTGTTTCATAAACAAGAATGTCCAATGTAGATACATATATCTTGTTTTAGGAAACGATACATCATAATGTATTGAAACCGCTCTTATTCAAACAAAAATATCTTTGGAAATGACATTTAGATGCTTGATGATTTATTGACAACATATTTGTGACGTTTGGAGTATGTGTTTTTTCAATAGACAATCGATATTCCTAAGGAAACCAACTGTACTCTTCTGATGATCGACTTGTTCCTTTTTTTTCCATATGAGGCAGACTTCATACAGAAGCTTCAAGGAAGAATACAAAGACAGCATTATCCTCTAACTTTACGTTCCGCTATACAATGGTTGTCCTCTCACTAAAATAAAAGTTGGTGACTATGTTGAACGTATCTATCCCATTGAATTTGGAACAAAGGATACCTCAAATACAGTAAAATAAGTCTGTTTTATATCTGGACTTACATCAAGAAATTTACAATGAAGATCGGTTAAGAACTAAACTTAAGACAACATAGATGATTCCGTTTTCATTTCTATGTAGTAAATAGGAGCGCCTGCATACGTAGTATTTTCATTCCAGTTGATACGACATTCCAGAGTTTGCGTTTATTATCGTAATTTTCATAACAGAGGGTTTCTGCTTACAAGACAGCTAATACCCGGTAATAGTTCATTTACTAAGGGTTCCAAATGTTATAGTTGAAATCGTCCCTCGAAAGGTTTACGAATGCCATCATGATTTGAATAACTGTTACGAAATATCTGAGTCACAAATGACCACTGAAATAATTTAATCGTCGTAGCCCTACTCCCGTCCTCCTTTCCTCGATTGTGATATTACCCGAATGCAACTTATCATTGAATTTATAATTGCCTTGAGTATCACGACGGGTGCCACTGATAGAGCAAGATTTATCGACCATTCCGGAGCACCTTCGGTTATCTCCGTTTATATTTTTAGGGGGATTTGTCTTGCTCAGTGATAAGTTTGCTGTGTAATGTTTTGTTCTATTCTGTTGTTTGGGGCCTCTGTGACCGAGTGGTCTAAGTAGTCGAACTACTGTATCACTAGCCTGTCAACACTGAGGTTGTGAGTTCGAATCCCGTACGTGGCAGGTGCGCTCGACTCCAATCTTGACTAGGAATGTCAGTTTTCCTTCTGAAGGTCGGTGGTTCTCTCAAGACACTCCGACGTCCTGCACCAATCAAAACTGACCGCCACGAAATAGCACAAAAGTACTGAAAGTGGCGTTAAACACAATCTATCAATCATGTTGTTGTTTGTCAATTTGCAGTTTTTCCCCATGTTATTGTCTGTTAGCCTCGACTTTAACAAAAAAGGTTTGGTCGTCCCTTTTTGTATCTTTTGTCCCTTTTTTCACAAGACATTAATATATCAGATATCAATTATACTTTATGTGAGCTTTGTTCTACACATTTCTTTATTTCATAGCCTAAAGGGAAATAGCAAAAAAAAATTCTTTGAGATATCCCTGTCAATACAGACACATTAGCAACATCATTTTTAATACACAGACAATGACAACAGACTAAAGCATTTATTCGTCATTAACATTACTTTTCTCTTCTCAAAAACTGTATGTAAATCTGAAGTGACAGTATTTTACTGATATTCGAAATTCCTGAATTCATAATGACGATACAAATCACGATAAAAAACTGATGGAGTCGTATGAACTCTAAAAGGAGCGAGTCTGTCGCGTAGACAGGGTTTACCTGCGATGCACGCATCACACGTCCTAACTCATTAAGAATGTCACAATTTGGTAATTTTAAGAACAGACGACTATTCTGGTATCTTAAGACCTAAATTCGCAAAAAATATGTTGCTTGTTAATTGAGACACAGACGCAATGTGTAGTGTCGACTTCAGTGGGCCTCCTTATAACTCTGATGGATCTTTTTTTTTAAGAATACCACTGTTAATGAAAGCCGTACAGTAAGAACATTAATTGGGATATATAAACACCTTACGATGGGTCAGAGGGTATGATACTGCTGAAAAATGAGAAGCTGACAATTTGAAAGTTGTCATATATTTTAGTTAAAGATGTTCTTCTGTGTGAATATCGAGGAAGAGATCAAAATATGAAACAGACCTTAATGTTTATGTATTATCCTTTATCTCAAGCTTACTTGGATATATGGGATGCAAGCAGTCACTAAAACGTAGGTTATTGAGTGACAGGAGATCATCAATATATAAGCGGGGGAAAAAAAGAACTTGGCAATGCTTTTTATTTGTCTTGAGAAGGCACTGTTTGAATTCTTCTTTATATGGGTACAAAGATAAGTTGGCCAGTAGGGGTACACAATGTTAGTACCCATTGGAATACTAACTTCCTGTTGGAATATCAATCCAACAAATTTAACAAAAAGCGGTAAAGTGGTATTTTTGTAAAATTATTATGACATGTGTATTTGGTTCAGTTACATACAAATGATATTCTTATTTGTAACTGACTAAATTATATCAACTTTGATATACCGGTAGATATATGATTCCTGAACAAATAAATTGAATCATATGTTTTATCTTTTCAGAGACTATTCCGTACTAAAGGAGAAATCGCCTCAAGATATCGCCGATGCTTTGCTGTCTCTAAAACACACAGTTGTATGCCCATCATATTCGGGACGAATGTCACCTTCTGTGCATATTAATCAATGTTCACCAACGCCAAACAGTTTTCAGCATCCACAACATGTATCATATATGAGCCCTGGTAATCAGTATCGCCAAAACATGTACTCGCCACCACCAGGACCTCAATATGGTGTGTTTCAATATCCAGGAGAAAGTTTTCAAAATCAGGCTAATGTGTTTCCATCAATGAGTGTTAATGTTTCGATGAGTATGAATGTTGGAGTTCCCCATGGGATACCCAATAACCAATACAATGTACAACAACAGTGGCAAGGCAATCAACAGACATCTCCTGGAAAATATGCTCCTCAATACCAGCAGCCTCAATATAGTATGGGTCCAGTATCTCCTCAATACAACAGTTTACAAAATCATTCATATCCACAACCATATTCATTTACTTCGGAAGTAAGACATATTCCAAGTTCAGACTCAAAAAACTTTCTCTATCGATCAGGTGATTCTTGCAAAGCGTCACGATTTTGTGCTGTATCCCACTGGAAGAGGCTGAAATTGACCAGCAGTCATCTTAGTGCAGTAAATTTACAAGCGGATTCAAATAAAGTGAATTTATGTAGAATTTGTGGGAAGACTTATGCCAGACCTAGTACTTTGAAAACACATCTACGAACTCACTCAGGGGAGAAACCGTATAAATGCTCAACTTGCAGCAAGTCGTTTTCACAAGCTGCTAACCTAACAGCACATGTGCGAACACATAGCGGAGAAAAACCTTTCCGGTGTCCAATGTGTGATCGGAGATTTTCCCAGAGTTCATCTGTAACAACACACATGCGCACTCATTCTGGTGAACGACCGTATCGGTGTCGCCTGTGTAAGAAAGCATTTTCTGACAGCTCAACGTTAACAAAGCATTTAAGAATTCATAGCGGAGAAAAACCATACCAGTGTAAACTTTGTCTGTTAAGATTTTCACAATCTGGAAATCTGAATCGTCATATGAGAGTACATGCTAATTCATCGTAATCTATCGGCGGTAGCCTTGAGTACTATACTTCATCGAAAGACTTTGTCATCTTTATCGACAAATAAAGGTTCTATAAAGTTGTATAAACTATTGATGTCTGTTTAACTATTTTTTTAATGTTGAGTTATACAAAACCCTTAGGGTTTTCTAAGCCAGGATTAGATTGCCTTAGCAGTATTTGGCACAATCTTTTGAGAATGTTCGATTTAAAATGTTCTGCAACCTTTTAATTTGCTTCCAACTGTTTGAAACGAGCGCCACTGATGAGTCTCTTGTAGATGAAACGCTCATCTTGCATACCAAATTATATGCCTGGTATCTTTGATGAAATTTAAAAACCACTGGGTCAATGCCAATGCTCGTGGACTTTTCGTCCTCGGAGATATCTCCAGCCCAGTAGTCAGAACTTTTTCGTTGCTCATAGATATGTTCATTTTCAGTAAATTTACTGTTTACAAAATGTTAAATTATTCCAATCACAAAGGAATTATTTCTACGCCATGAATTGATTGCCTCAGCCGTTTTTTACACAACGTTTTTGAAATTTGGTTTTAAATGCTTTTCAACTTAGTATTTGACGATTTTGATTCGAGCGCCACTGATGAGTCAGAACAAGATAACCTTTGTTTTTATTTGAATTAATACTAGCAAGATGTTTTGATTCGAGGGCCACTGATGAGTCAGAACAAGATAACCTTTGTTTTTATTTAAGTTTTAACTAACAAAACAGAAACGTTCGGTCTAAGTTCATGGTTTAAAGGGTTGATATGCAAATGAATATAGGGGGATAACGATGCGACAAAGCAGGATGCTATATAAAGTAAAATCACAAAAATACTGAACTCCAAGGAAAATTCAAAAACGGAAAGTCCCTAATCAAATGGCAAAATCAAAAGCTCAAACACATCAAACGAATGGATAACAACTGTCATATTTTTGACTTGGTACAGGCATCTTCTTATGTAGAAAATGGTGGAATAAACCTAGTTTAATAGCTAGCTAAACCTCTCACTTGTATGACAGTCGCATAAAATTCCATTATATTGACAACGATGTGTGAACATAATAGGTAAAAATGTCAAAATAGGGGTACAACAGTCAACATTGTGATATAATCTTAATCACTAAAAAAAAAAAAAATATGTAACAAAGAAACACAAAAAGGCATACAGACAAAGCACACAAACAAAAATGAAAGACAAGAATACAAAAATTTACCATAGCACAATAACACAATGACGGGATGTATAAGTACCGAGCCACGTCAAATGGATATCACCAAAAAATAGACGTAACAGTAAAAGTAATATTAAAAAAAAAACAATTAAAAGAATACTATAACACGTTATTAAGATGATAAACAACGTCAGCACCCAGAATCTATACTTCAAGACCATTGTGTATTATTTGGGAAGTCGATACGGAATATTTATCAACAAGGTCTTGGTACCTTCCGATGAACTTTTTTAGAAAATGGACGAGACGTTCTTTGACATACCCCTGGTTCATCAACTTTCTGCTCAGACACTGGTGACGTTTTACAAAGTCTGAGTAGCTGCTGCAAGCTCTTGAATACCGAATAAGTTGGGAAATGTATATCCCATATGCAGGTGAAGTTGGTATATTGTAAGTTTCTGCAAGAAACCGAAATTTGTCTGTTCGTCAGAGTTTTCTTGACTACTATGAAATGTAATGATTATATATTTGGTGTGCAGCTTAATAATGTTGAGTTGTTGTAGTGTGTAGGCAATTTTTAGTGGAAAAAGTGGAATTTTGCAACATTCATTGTACGAGGAAAAATTTCGTCTCACTTTTCTAGACTTCAATGGAAAGGTATGATTTTATATTCGTTTTTTAACTTTAAAATGTCGAAAGTTTTCTTGGCTTCAACGATTTTAGAGAATGATCGGTTATGCTTCAGTATGCATGCTACATTCATTAATTGCATGCAGCGAAACAGGTCCAGACACTGTACTGGTTTTATGTCTTAAAAAATGACAAGAAAACATGTTGCCAAGCCTTTCAAAGTAAAAGTTCAATTACTTGGTACCTGACAGAAATGATTGTAATCGTATCGATAAATGATTTACAATATTACCATTATTAGAGATTATGCAACATCCATATAGATACATTGTTCACACAAAATATACCGCAAAAGGTTTAACATATTTTATATACACATGTCACTGTGTTCGTGTGTGTAAAATTGTGGATTGTCATATGATATTTTAATATAAATGCAATGATGTTTTAATGTGAATGCATGGCTAAGATCGATTTGAAATGTGAAGCTCTCATACAGGTAGGTAAATTTGATATGATTGCAAAAGAGATTGATCTCTTCCAAAGGAGCAAGCGAAGATCAACACTACCAACATATAACAAGGCATGTCACCTACCAACTGTGAACATTAAGCAAAAACATGTTATATAATTTAAGATATAATAGACCTATACAAAAGAAATATACAACAACAAATATACAAGTGACCTTATTTTAGCAAATATCATTTTTTTTTAAATATTACAGGAAGACAAGGAAAACGCTGATATATAGGATCCTTGCTTAGGACAGGTATACTTTTATATTGTGGCATTCAAACATATGAACTTTGTAACATGTAATTTCCCCTGCTTTTCCTCCACACAAATGTGCCCAGTTTCACGTTTAAGCAGCTCTATGTTGAATTTGTAACAAATTAACAATTGCTTTAGTTGGCTTTAAATTGTAATTTGATATATTTGGCAATTTTGAAGTATGTATCCATAAAAAAGACGTAATAATCCAAAACCAAGTTTTATATACAAATTAATTTATTTTGGTTGACAATACTCTTTTATGTAATTTTACAAACAAGTGTAAAAAAGAGATAAAAGATACCAAGGGATATTCAAACTCATAAGTAGAAAACGAACTGACAATGCCATGGCAAAAAACGAAAAAACGACGAAAATACTAACAACAGTACATAGAATACAACATAGAAAACTAAAGACTGAGCAACACAAACCCCACCAGAAATCGGGGGTGATTTCGGGTGCTCCGGAACGGTAAGCAGATCCTGCACCAGATGTGGCACCCGCCATGTTGCTCTTGTAAGTACAAACCCAGTGATAAGTCTAATTCGGTAGGTCACATTCAAAGAAAAGAAGACGGTATTTGTAACATTTCAATATTGTAACCATCAGCCACTTAGAGCCCTTATTACAATTTTGATTGTTGAAAAAGGTATAGAATATCATCAAATTCTTTAATTAACAAATCTAATTTGGTTTCATTAACAATAAGATTCTGCTGACCCTGAGATAATACAGGAGGGTATTAGAAATACCTCTATTATCAAGCACATACCGGGCAATTTTGGAATATGGAAGGTTTCACCTCCATGTAAAAACAAAATACAATATTTCTTTTTGGCAAAGATTTATATTAAAAGTGAAATCGTTTTTCTTGCCTGAATTATAACATTGGTAAACATAACGGATAATATAAATAAGTTTACAGGAGAAAGAGCCTTTTATTATTCTCCATTCTTTTTCATTTGACGACCATGCAGGAATAATAATATACATGTATGTTTTATATAAAAATAAGATTGGTATGATTGCAAATGAAACAACTGTCCACCGTGTGTTAAATTCCTTTCATAACACAGATTCAATACCACTGCTGGTGGACTGCTAGTCCTCGAGGATACCATCAGCTCAGTGTTTCGGTACTGACATATTTATAACCTACCTGTCTAAAATTCATCGTTGATGAATAAAGAAGTTATTTTAAAAGAACTAAGGTTCCAGCAAAGTTGGCATTAGATGGATTTGACAATTCGTTTTATTTTCCTGTTAGCCATAAAGCTCCTCACCACGTATTCAAGTACTTATACAGCTTTGAATTTAAAAAAAAATGGTGATTGAATGTTCCTGTAGAAGCGATTCGGATGCGCACAATGTAGAAAGTGCCATTTCCTTATTCTACTACATTGCAAGACAACATTTTCTGTATAAAACATTAATATTAAAAAAACAATAAGTTAAAAGTTAAAAAAACCAAATAGATATGCCCAACATGACTTGATTAACTTAATTATCTCACATACAGATAATGTAAAATTTTACATTTTATTTATTTTCAATTTGCCTTTTTTTTCTGACAAACGGGAGATAACTTAATTTGATTTATGCTCCATTGCAAATACGCAGTGGGTAAAATCGATGACACGAAACAAAAGAAAAGCCGAAACAATCAATAGTTTTGGTAACCGCACAGATTAAAAGTTATTTCTAAACCACAATCGTACATTTCATAGAAATTGTGTCTTTAAATATGTTATTTGAAATATACATGCAAATACATAAGGACTTTTTTTTCATTTTTATTGAGATAAATGAATTAGAGGCTTGTCAAATTGGATATAAAATATTTGGGGAAAAAAATATGAACATACAAAATGCAAGGGTCTTTTCGGTTACAAATTTCGGAGTGTTCCACATAGTGCATTGCGTGTTTTACTTTCCCAAATGTACCTATTTTCCACAACAAAGTTTTCTAGCATATCGGTCTGTTCATTTTTACGAGAACTTTCAACATAGAAATATTGTCTTTGCGTGAATGTAATGATCTCATATTTATGTCTGTTAAGGTTAAAACATTAAAGTAAAATAACTGTACAAAATAGATGAATTCATATTAAATGTTTACATCGGAATAGGGTTTATATGCATAGTAACTTAATTTCAAAAGTGTAAATTTTAGCTATATATCAATCGATTTTGTTAGAATATTTTTTTTCTGAACTTCTTTGATCTAGCTTCGTACATTTACGGACAATTAACATGTTCCAGTGAGTGTACATCATGTAGAAAAATAGATTGAGGTAGGTACACCAGAAATTTATTTTCATTGTAACATTTTAAAACAATATTTCACAAAACTCCTATATCCTTCTTTTCTCATCATTTGCTATATTAAAAGAGAAATGATAACATTATATGGTAAAAATTTTATTAATACCATTACCAAGGTCATTTTATGTGAACAAATAATCAAAAGCGTCCTTGCGCATAACAAGACGAACACTGAAATGATCTCGTTTTCAGTGTTTGCAAGGAAGGCAATTTTTTGCCACATGATTCCTCACTGTAACTATCTTCATACGCACGATAGTTGGAAATCTCTTGTCAAAAATTCCTTGCACGTGCAAAAACTTCAAATGGAACTTTTCAATACTTGGCTCCTTATTCCTAAGAAAGCTATTGATTATGAACGTTCTAGCAAATAAAATAAAAAAAAAAAAAATCGGAGATATATTAAAGCGACAAGGTAAGCGTTTCATGCTATGTATGCAAAACCCGCTATGCGAATTCACATTCAGTAAAAATGTCACCATGGGGAATAGGACACAATAAGTAAAATTACAGATCAGACGACTATACTGGTATATAAAGATCTAAGACAGTGAACACTTGTCGCTAGTAAGTTGAGACACCGACATATCTTATCGGTCAGCCAATTCGTGATGATGACCGTAAAAGTTATGTAGTGTCGATTTCAGTAGTTCTTCCTCATAACTCTGTTGGTGCAGTTTATTTGTAAGGAGTACACTCCTGTTAGTGTAGTCCGTAAAGTATGAACATGCACGAGCGTAACGTATTAGCGGAGATATGTAAACGCCATACGATTGGACAAATGGTATGTTACTGCTGAAAAATGAGAAGTTGACTATTGGAAAGTTAAAATCATCAAGTGTGTCATAGATTGTAGTTTAAAGTCGCCCATATGTGTCAATATCGAGATAAAAGATATGAACCAGACCTTCTACTTAGATTGTATTCTTAATCTCAAGTTTACTCGAATATATGAGACGTAAGCACTCATTGATATAACAGACAATGCGTGTTTTGTGTTAAATTAGTTTAAAACATCAATGTGCAAATCAATTCTGATAGACCAATCTAAGTAATTTTTTTACTGGCCGTTTGGGTCTTGAAAACACCAATTCATCGTTTTTACATAAGCTAGACCAGAGAATTTCAGGAACAAATATCTAACAAATCGCTTGGTATCCAGCAAATATAAACATTTGTCAGAGTAAATAAAAAGGCGAACAAATGTATGTTTTGTAGACGAAAACTCGCGTCTGGCGTCTAGAATTATAGGCCTGGCATCTTTGATGAGCTTTTTTTTATTCTGATATAAACATTTAATGCGAATTCATCAAGAAGACCACATATAAATGTTAAAAAATCGAGAAGACGAAGTATAAACGTTTTGTTAAAAGAGTAAAATGTGTTAACGAATAATTATGTTTATGAAAAGAATTTCCTTTAGTGGTTATACCTGAACAAAAATAACTTTTAAAAAGTTATAATTACACAAGGAAATATTTTTATATCAAAAGTTCCGGTGAAAATGAAAAAAAACCTAGTAGTTGAGGAAAGCGCGGAAATCACTATGTGATCTGTGTAAACTCATCGAACCTTTAAACAAACTTATTAGTAAAGGTTATCTTACCAATGTTGTAATTAGATCTTTGAATATAGTTTACATTGGCACTAATATCGATTTTGTCATCAGCAAATTAAAACATAACTAAATTTGTATTCTTTTCAAACGGGATGTATAAAGACACACCCACGTTCATTTTTATCTATTAAGAGGTTAACTCCTAACTATCCTACTGCCTGTCGATACATTTATTTTTGGCATTGCACAAGTCATGTCTTCTTTGACTGTCCATGACGTTAAAATAATAAATCCCTGGGATCTGTTTTAGTTGATTTTAGTCTCTGATGCATGATTTTTTATTATTAATTGTTTTGGGCTTTTAACTAGCTGTCAGTAACTGCGAGTACTCTCAAATCGTACTTGCTTGTTAATTTGACCTGTTGATACTATCTGTAATGCTTTTTTGTTATTTTTAAAATGTTTACTTATTCAGGGTTATATCTGGTCTATATACCAGCTTTGATAAGTGTTTGGTATTACTATAAATTTTCACTTCTTCGAACTATGAACATCAAAATTATTTATTTTGTAAAAATATTTCCTTTCTCCTTTTAAACTGTATACCTAACAACAAAATTAAATTCATTTATCTGTGTATAATATTATTGTAAATGGCGGATTTTTGTTTAAGGTTATTGTTGTTTTTTCTGAAATTGTTTAACATTTCACAGCAGTATAATACTGTTACTTTAATTATTCATCCCTTATTTTAATGATTTTGTATTTACATTGTATCATAGATTAAACTTATTCGTTCAGTGTATGTTCACTTGTGTTAATATGTCTTTTGATTGAGCCATTTCATTGATGTTTTATAGTGTGTCTTTCTATGTTGTGAAGTTACACTATTGTTTCAGATAAGGGTGAAGGTTTGGTACCATTAAAACGTTTAAACCCGCAGCAATTGTTTGCACCCGTCCTAAATAGATATAAGAAGATGTGGTATGAATGCCAATGAGACAACTCTCCATCCAAGTCAAAATTTATAAAAGTAAACCATTATATGTCACAGTACGGTCTTCAACACGGAGCCTTGGCTCACACCGAACAGTAAGCTATAAAGGGCCCCAAAAATTACTAGTGTAAAACCATTCAAACGGGAAAACCAACGGTCTAATCTATATAAAAAACGAATAACGAGAAACACTTATGAACCACATCAACAAACGACAACTACTGAACATCAGATTCCTGACTTAGAACAGGTGCAAACAAATGCAGCGGGTTTAAACGTTTTAATGGTACCAAACCTTCACCCTTTTTCTGAAATAATAGTGTAACATCACAACATAGAAAGACATACTATAAAATATCAACTGAAATAGCTTAACTCAATCAAAGGACATATTAACACCATTGAACATACACTGAACAAATAAATTTGACCTATGATACAATGTAAAAACAAAATAAATAAACTAAGGGAAGAATAATAAAAGTAACATGTTATATCGGTATGAAATGTTAAACAATTAAAGAAAAACAATATGTTCGAACAAAAATATCAGCCATTTGCAATAACTTTAAACACAGGTAAATGAAAATAATTTTGGTTAGGTATACGTGTACAGTTCCAATAGAGAAAGGAAATATTTTTACAAAATAAATAGTTTTGATGTTCATAGTACGAAGTGAAAATTTATAGTAATACCAAACACTTATCAAAGCTGGTATATAGACCAGATATAACCCTGAATAACATTAAATAACAAAAAAGCAATACAATTAGTATCAACAGGTCAAATAAACAAGAAAGTACGATTTGAGAGTACTCGCAGTTACTGAAAGCTAGTTAAAAGCCAAAACAATTAATAATAAAAAATCATGCATCAGAGACTAAGTCAGGAATCTGATGTTCAGTAGTTGTCGTTTGTTGATGTGGTTCATAAGTGTTTCTCGTTTCTCGTTTTTTATATAGATAAGACCGTTGGTTTTCACGTTGAATGGTTTTACACTAGTAATTTTTGGGGCCCTTTATAGCTTGCTGTGCGGTGTGAGCCAAGGCTCCGTGTTGAAGACCGTACTTTGACCTATAATGGTTTACTTTTATAAATTGTGACTTGGATGGAGAGTTGTCTCATTGGCACTCATACCACATCTTCTTATATCTAATCATTGTGAAACTGAAGCATGAAAATGGCTATGCGAAACATTCTGAAAACTAGTGTATGAATATATTGGTAGAGAATTTTTGCGAATTGTTTTATCAATATGCAGAGACGATTAACACTCCCAAATATCAGCATAACAGCTTCATTTGCAAATTTTTTCGATAAATAATGAAAACAAGACAATAGACCTTAGCGTGTTTATTTCAAATAACAGGTAAACAGATCTTTATTTCAAAATGTATGATTGTTGTTTACAATAAAAAAGAATTGATCAGTATGGTTACCGACGTAAACAAATTCCTGATTTTGTCACCTTTTTAAGTTGTAGAGTTACTTTTCTATTTTGATCGCTTTGCAAATGCTGTGAATGTTATGTCGCTTTTAGCCAGTTGTCTCTATAGAACGATAATTTTGGTAAAATTGAACTGAAATCTAACACATTTTTTAATAAATCACTATTTAATAGTATTCTTAATCTTGAAGCAGTATATGACAGAGATCCTCCTTTGTTAAACTTCCTCTTTTGCCTTTGCCTTTGCCTTTGCCTTTGCCTTTGGCTTTGCCTTTGGCTTTGCCTTTGGCTTTACCTTTGCCTTTGCCTTTGCCTTTGGCTTTGTCTAGAATAAAAGAAGAATGTGTCTTATGACACGAATGCCCCCGCTCAAGCTTGCTTTTCAAACGAAAATGGGCGGACGGACGGAAAGACGGAAGGATGGAAAGACAGAAGGATGGAAAGACGGAAAGACGGATGAACAGAAAGACGAAAAGACGGAAAGACGGACGGTCAAGGGTAACACTTAATGCCCCCTTCGACATGTGACAGGGGAATACAAATGAAGAGCTTATAAACTAAAAACGGACAAGGAATCAGAGCTTTGCATGAGTGAGATACATTCCTTAATTTTAAATAATTTTTAAAATTTTGTAACAGCAAATTAATAAAAACACAAAATCCGTATTTTCTTGTCAGTACCGACATAATGGCTTCTTGCCTGGTGATGCCCTCGGGGACTAACAGTCCACCAGCAGAGGTATCGACCCAGTGGTAGTAATAACATTAACAGTACTAATATTTCTACACCAGATAGGCATTTCGACAATAAATGTCTCTTCAGCGATGCTCGAGGCCAAACTATTTCAAAATCCAAGGCTCATTAAAAACATGAAGACCTTATAAACCAAAATGGACAAAATAAAAAAAAGCATTTCATATTCAACGATTTTTTACAATTTTAACCGACGGTTTTAAACATCACACTGAAGGAAATACTTTTCTACAATGTCAAATATCTTTCTGCTCATAAAATGGAATGTTCATAAAGTCTCTTAACCTCGTTATTGAAGCTTGTGAAGTGGAGTACCCAGAAAACGTTATCGTGATCATTGGTAGTAGAAGCAACATATTATCAAAACATTTATTAGTTTTTAGATCGTTTGCATGAATTTAAGAGGTCAGAAAATTGATCTCATAATTTCTTCGTTTTATACACCTATCCTGTTTTTTTTTCCTTTCAATACGACAGGCCTCTGTTATGAAGAAACAACCTGGACGCATAAGTTTCAATGAAATGGACTTCAAGGCATTATATTTGAAAGCATCTTGTTGATTTACACTGTATTGGAAATCCACTATGACCTATGGATGGCTGTGCTTTTTTTTTGGTGTTTCATGTACAATACGATTTTATGCTCTCTTCGTGCAAGTTCCTGATTGTTTACATCTTTATATACCTTTTACATTATCAAATTACCAAATATTCTCATTTTTCTATAGAGGAACAGCCACGCAGTTAAGAGGGATATGAGCCATAATATTCTATTATGATTTTAAATTTTTTTAAAGAAAAATTGTATTGTCAGACAAACTTACTAACGTAAGGTAGTTTTATTTCACCTTAAAATTAAACAGTTGGACGTGGTTATACCTTAACGTATAAGATCATTGATAATATTTTTATCGCTATTTTGTCTATGACGTCGTTGATCTTTACATCGACAAGGGCACGCGCGTCCTTAGTTTCTTGCGATAATATTCTATCTCAAGCGAATAGCATGATATGAAAAATTATCACAAAAAATAAATCAAAGGAAAAATACACAAAATATCAAACAAATGGGATACATTTCCTGTAAAGCTTTGCAAAAAAAATATTTTTTGACGGTATATAAGTCAGACAATGCATTTTTAACGTTTTTATTTTACGTAAAACCCACCTTGTGCATGTGTTATACTACAAGATATGCATGATCTGTAACATATTTTAACTTCGTATGTTTAATTCGTTTTGTTTTCTCTCTCTCCAAATAACTGGGATAACAAAATCTTTACATGGTTTAAAAATAAATTTCTTTTTATTATTGTGTCGCATAATGATAGTACCGTATACGATAACATAATGAAAATATACATTAAAACAATCAATATCCAGTCATTGGTTTGGCTTATCGGAGACTCATATTTACAAAACTATTCAAGTTTATATTAACATATCATTAACTTTATTTGTTTTTGAACAATTAAAAAAATTAATTATCCCTTACAAGAATACACATTCAATTAATAAGTTAAAACAAAAAATTACGAAGATAAGAATTATTATTATCTATTTATTATTCTTAATTTATAACATGACTTTCAAATTACTTAAATCAAAGGTATTACTGAAAACTATAAACTAAGTATCTCAAAACTAAAAATAACTTTCGTCTCATAAAATAAAATTGAAAGTTGAGTTTGACAGATGAAATTAATCTTTGAAATAAAAAAGAAGTTTTAGAGGTCAGACGATAGATTAAATAATATAAGATTAAGTAAATACCGTATCTACTTGACAAAAATCATCCGTGCAAGCTTCATGTTGTTTAATTCGTCCTTTTTTTTTGCATTCTTCATTTCTTCCACAGAACCTGCTCCTCTTTCTGTCACATTTTTTACTACATAAAGTCCATTCAGACCATTGGGGTAAGACAGGATTTTCTGTTGTTGTTGTTAATTGAGTTACACCTGTTGATTCTTTCTCCGTTGTAAATTCCGATGGGGGTTCTGTTTCTGTATTTGTTGTCAATTCAGTAACACCTGTTGTAACTTTCTTTGTTGTTGATTCTTTCTCTGTTGTAACCTCCGGTGGAGGGGATGCCTCTGTAGTTGTTGTTGTCAATTCAGTTACACCTGTTGTAACTTTCTGTGTTGTTGATTCCGTCTCCGTTGTAAACTCCGTTGGAGGTGATACCTCTGTAGTTGTTGTTAATTCCGTTACACCTGTTGAAGTTTGCTTTGTTGTTGATTCTTTCTCCGTTGTAACCTCTGGTGGAGGTGTTGCCTCGGTTGTTGTTGACTTTGGAATATACTCCCTGAGCATGCAATTGCCATTATAGCAAATCTGAATATAAGAGTGTTTATAGAATATGTTTATAACATATCTACATGGTCATTATCATATAAATCAGTTGTAAGACATAAAACATTATGCATTGGCCTTTCATAACGGTTGACACTTCCAGAGGTCCTGATTTCAACCACGGTTTAAAGCAGATTTATGTTTTGGGTCGTGTGTTGTTTTATTGCATTGTGAATACTTTTGTTTTTGTTTTTGCTAAAGTGTTGTCTTATTCAGATCTTACAAGTATTAAAAAGATATAGTATTAACATATCAATATTGAATTCAATCTCGGCAATGATTGTAATCGTTAGGTAAAAAACAACTTACAGTATCGTACCATATTGTGGTAAAGAGGAATTTATATATATATCTTTTATTACATATAAAATTAACTATATTATTTTGACTTATTCAAGATATTTACTTATTAAGATATATGGTATTCAATTCACATGTAGATTTATTTTTATATTCATATTTGTTATATGTTTATCAAGCTAGTGACCCAAGGTTTTGCACCCTTACTTCTATATATGATTGGTCAGTTTTGGTTTAGATGTACTTTTAGAAGGAATCTATTGTTGTCTGGACAATCTTAAAATAATATCTAACTAGATATGCCCACCATTATTTTATAATACTAATGATATTTAGATGTCCGGAGAAATCTTGAATTAGATTGTTATATTTATAACCTGAGAGCTTGGTTCGCCTTCCAAAATAAATTATATCAAGGACCACTGGCACAGTAAGCCACCACTCCACCAGGTAAAGGAGTATTCCACTAACGCAGCTAATGAAGGTGTTACATATCTACTAGGTAAGTGGAGGCACCGTTACATATTTATGAGAAAGGTCAGTTCTCTATATATTTCAATTGTCAAGTCTATAACATTTCAGTAAGTTTGAGATAACGGAATGACAAAATGAGTGAAGGATTGTGATACTGTGTGAAAACTTTAAACCCGACTTAAAATATATGAAAATAGAATGAAATCATTAAAACTAAACAGATGTGTTTAAAACAGCAGAATTATAAACAGTAAAACAAGATAGTGCAATTCGCCAATTAAATATTCCAGAGTAATTAACAGCATAAATAGAGAATTAAAATACTGAATACCATTTGAAATTCTATAAATTTTAACTTGTTAACGTTTATATAAAAATTTTGTTTTTGTCATAAAGCACTTTAGTTATGATTTTCAGTTTTGTTATCTAGTTACGATGTTATCCTTGGCGATAACAGCAGGCAAATAGCTGAATGAATATCATTACATAATTATTGTGAGGATCTTTGCACCTGATTTGAGGAAAGAACAATTTACATGTTTTTTACTTTTTTTATTATGCTAACCAATGCTTATTTTTAACTGTTTTGCTATTGTAGTACGCTGTTTCTTTTTTCATATCTGAGTTCATGTAAATGCTTAGGTTTGCATGTTTATGTATTTTTGATACTTATATGAGTGTACAGTTTACATTTATGACGAGATGAAGTCAGGTACTAGATGTATTTTTGCCATATTCATACAGTCAGGATTTTACTTCGTTAAAATTATCTTCCTATCACGCCACCTAATTTTTCAATCGATAAAATTGAAGCTATTGTAGGAATGACGCGCTGTCAATTAAGCTCTTGAAAACCGATAAATTTATCCACATGGCATCATTACGATTCTTACATGACAGTTGTATTTTAAAAGACAAATGTATCTACAATCTATAAAACATCATTTAATGTACTTTTAGGCCGTTTGTCAACTTAAAACTGATTGGTTATCAGGGGGAATTTCCGGAAGTTAAAACAACAATGAAAAATCGATTAAGATATTTAGTGGAATGACAGACTTAAAATTTCCAGAGGTTGAAGACTAATTACCCTAGGTAACATTCACAAAAAATGAAGTTTTTTTTAAAGTTATACAGTTTGAAGATTCACAAATAAAGTCTATCGTCAAGGGGTTTGAAGTTCTTCCCATCCCTAAAATTGTCCTACAATTAAGTAAAACTATACTTGAAAACCAAGTTCATCTATATTTTAATATAGGTACACTCTTAATCTTTTAAGGTCTTCTTACCCCTGAAATTGCCTGACAATTAAGTCACCACACAGTTAAACTGTATTTGAAAACCGACAATTGCGCCAAAGTTTCTCAATATTCCTTTTATTCTGGACCACATTTCCTTGGATTAAGGGTGACTGAGGAATAGAAATATTGTCACCATTGGTCTTCCTCCGACCGACAGTAAAACCCTCGCAAAAGTGGGACGTCCGGTTGGCTTTGCGGGATGTACAAGTACGCAGCCACGTCCGGTCAGAATTTGGACGTTAAATCCGATGCCTCGTTAAAAGAGAGTGCCACGCTCTTTGCACGTTAAAAAGCCTTGCAACAACTCTTCGAGTTGTCCGTAGGGGCCTGTTGCAAGATTAAATTTCTGTCCCTATCCAATATTCCCTCATTTTCCAGTGGCAGTGTAATTTTTCCCGACCTTCATACCGGATGGCCTCTATAACAGGACCCACCTATTGTATTAATTGTTAATTTGTTCTCGTCCTGAATATGTATGAAATATTTGCCACTGGACGTTAAGCAACCAACAATCAAACAATTAAAATCCTTGGAAATGGCAACAGTTACGAGGTTACTTGTCTCCTTGAGGCATACCCAACAGCTACTTTTATTCATTGTTGTTTGTCTTTTCCCTTTTGCAGCGGTGCTTTCTCTCCATCTTCGAAATATTATTTGCATTGACCCTTGGTATCTTTTTACATATTGTTGTTATAAACTATAGGAGAGGGTTAAGTACTAAAAAATAGTAAATCCACGATGATGTTAATGATCCTTCCCAAGCCAGGAGCATGTTATATAACGATTTTACAGTAACATGCTAAGTCAAAATAAACCAGCGCTTTTAAAGATATTATTTTCTTTGATAATACCATTTTCCTATCAAATGTTATTATCTAAACGTCCCATTACATTGCTAGAATTTCGTCAAATGTTTTTATGTTTTCAGTTGATGTTATTGTGAATTATATTTCGTCAACATATGGTATCTTTGGTTTTCATGCAATTATGGCGAAAATTGAAAATTGGTAATATATAAATTTCTTTCATACTTACAGCAGTTTCATTACATGGGCTTCCATTATATGCATACACACCATAACAATAACCATCTTTTGAATTTAAACAGTATAAATAATCCCAACAGTACGAAGGTCTAGGTTTCTGTAATAATATAACGCAGATGTCCATGAACATTTTTACATACTAATATATGTATATCAAATAATGCTAGAAGCTGGGTCAAAATATTTTTATGATCTTAATACCAAAATTAGAATAGACATGCATTATACTAAATGACCTTACTACGTCTGACCTATAAATATATACTTCCACTGATCCAATCATTTTACTTCTACTGACCTCAAATATTTTACTTCATCTCACTATAATATTTTATGACCTCTGACCCTTATATTTTACAACCTCTGACTCTAATATTTTAATACCATTGACCCTTATATTTTACAACCTCTGACCCTAATAATTTACCATCTCTGACCCTAATACTTTACTACAACTGACCCTAATATTTTTCTTTCTCTTACCCCAAATATTTTACTACTTCCTACCCTAATAGTTTACTACCTCTAGCCCTAATATTTAACTACCTTTGACCCTAATATCTAACTACCACTGACCTAATATTTTACTTCCCCTGACTCTAATATTTCATTACTTTGACCCTAATATTTAACTACATCTGATCCTAATATTTTACTATCTCTTATCTCGAATAAGTTACTAAATCTGACCATTATATTTTAATACAACTGATCCTAATTATTTTACCTCTTACCCTAAAATTTTACTACCACTGACCATTTTATTTCGCTATCTCTGACCCTTAGATTTCATTACTTCTTTTATTTCAACATATCCTTATACTTTACTGTCTCTGACTGAACCTATTATTTCACCCCCGGCCCTTAATATTGTACAACCTGTGTCCCCAATATTTCCCTACTTCTGACCATACAAATTTACTAGCTTTGTTTCAATGTATTTTACTACCACTGACCAAACTATTTTGCTATCTCTGATCCTAATGTTTAAGTACCTCTGACCTAAATATTAAATTACCACTCACTATGATGTTTAGCTACCACTGACCCTTATATTTTATTACCTCCCAAATACTTTACCACCGCTGACCCTAACATTTTACTACCCCTTACCTTATATTTTAATCCATATGAAAAAAAACCCATCAAAGTAAGCTTCAATGGTAAAGCCCTTACGTGACATCATCCTTCTAACAGCCTGGGACAAACTATAGAAATTACCTAGTGCCAGTTTTGAACAAAAAGGGAGTTTGCGATCAAATAAGGTAAATTCTCTACATTCAGGGAAAGTCCATCTAAAACCTGTCACCTACTGGCTAACCTTACTCATTTGAACGGACCTTTATGCTGACTTTAAATTCACCTATGCCATATAGCAGTTAGCCGTGACAACTTTTGTTGCATCATCTAAAGTTTGAAAAATTCGTTTAGAGGGGTCACCTACAAAATCATCGACAGCAGAACCCTCAGGTCTACTACAATCATGTATGATCGGTAAACCCCTCCCCCCCCCCCCCCTCCACGGTTAGGGATAACACCAATGTGACTAATAATTTTAGGTGTTTCACCTGCAAAAATATAGGTACCATTCTCAATTTCAATCAAAACTTTTTTTATGTGCTTTGCTATAAAGAGGGTCAGAGGGGCTAGCAGAAGAGTGATTTTTTGCTTGAATATTTAAAGGGATATCAGTAGCATCAATAATATCAAAGCCAAACTCGATTCCCTGAAGAAGAAATTTTTTATCAAAATCATTTTGTAATTCACTAGAAGAGGCAGACAGGACGAGGTCGCGTGTGGGCCTTACAATTAATCCCGGTTTTTTGGATTGCCATGTATAGAGTTAGAATAGGAATGAGCAGGATGCATATTAGCACAGCCTGGTAAAGCACAAACATGCTCAAACCTACAATTTGACATAAAACATCCCTTCCTGCTGTTAAACCTTTTGCATATCTCCCGCCCACCAGATGTTTTGGAAGCATACGTAATTTCATGTTTAACCATCAGGTCAAGAGCCAACAGTCTGATATTAAGGACCTCCTGTCTGAGGCTTTACAAAACCCTTTGGGCGTAAATAAATTGAATGCAAATGTGGATTTTGTACCCCAACGAAACTTGTGTTGTTTCTGAAGCTGCCTATATTTTCTGTCAAAAAAGAAGACAGAAACCATATAACAAGTAGCAACAAGATTGTAAATTCTTGCAGTATAAAAAAAGTAATCAAGCAACTGAGTCTATGACAAATCGCCAGAGGACAAAAGCTTGTACATAATTGACAAGTTGGCACTGGACCGTTAACACAAACTCAGGGACTCGAGTTTAGGCTTAACTTGACAAGATTTGAAAATCCCCAGAAGCATCTGAAATAAGTTTTTCTTCTGAAAAACTAGTACCTGACATATGTACATTAACAAAATTCGTAAGGGTTCCGCGGAACCCAGTGTCTCGACTACTTTTGCTGTTGTCTATGTTTTCAGTGTGATAGGGGAATGCACATAATAGATACAGTTAATGAACTGGTTTATGAAACTAAGTCCATTTATAAGTAATATACGGAAAAACAGGAAATAATTTTTACAAAATTTCCTTCTAGATACTAGCTTTTGATCATAAACAAGCTTCTGTCCAAGTTTGGTACAAATCCAGGATAGTTTAAGAAAGTTATTAAAATTTTAAAAACTTTAACCACAGAGTGAATGAAATGTTAACTGGCAGAAAAACTAAGTCCATTTATAAGTAAAATACGGATAATCAGGATTTTTTTTACAAAATTTACTTCTGGATACTATCTTATGATCATAAACATGCTTCTGTCCAAGTTTGGTACAAATCCAGGATAGTTTAAGAAAGTTATTAAAATTTTAAAAACTTTAACCACAGAGTGAATGAAATGTTAACTGGCAGAAAATCTAAGTCCATTTATAAGTAAAATACGGATAATCAGGATTTTTTTTACAAAATTTACTTCTGGATACTATCTTATGATCATAAACAAGCTTCTGTCCAAGTTTGGTACAAATCCATGATAGTTTAAGAAAGTTATTAAAATTTTAAAAACTTTAACTACAGAGTGAATGTTATGTTAACTGGCAGAAAAACTAAGTCTATTTATAAGTAAAATACGGAAAAACAGGATTTTTTTTTTACAAAATTTATTTCTGGATACTATCTTATGATCATAAACAAGGTTCTGTCCAAGTTTGGTACAAATCCAGGATAGTTTAAGAAAGTTATTAAAATTTGAAAAACTTTAACCACAGAGTGAATGTAATGTTTACTGGCAGAAAAACTAAGTCCATTTATAAGTAAAATACGGAAAAACAGGATTTTTTTTTTTACAAAATTTACTTCTGGATACTATCTTATGATTATAAACAAGCTTCTGTCCAAGTTTGGTACAAATCCAGGATAGTTTAAGAAAGTTATTAAAATTTTAAAAACTATAACCACAGAGTGAATGTAATGTTAACTGGCAGAAAAACTAAGTCCATTTATAAGTAAAATACGGAAAAACAGGATTTTTTTTTTACAAAATTTACTTCTTGGTACTATCTTATGATCATAAACAAGCTTCTGTCCAAGTTTGGTAGAAATCCAGGATAGTTTAAGAAAGTTATTAAAATTTCAAAAACTTTAACCACAGAGTGAATATTTGTGGACACCGCCGACGACGACGACGACGACGCCGACGACGGAATGTAGAATCGCTATGTCTCGCTTTTGCGACAAAAGTCGCAGGCTCGACAAAAATCAGTTATATCATAAAAATGTATAGTCACATCATTAAAGGAAGATTTTAGAAATATTTGTGGGTCTTTCCAGGAAATAATGTTTGAAACACAGTCAAATTCTTGAGTACCTTCTGGATGCACAGTTGAAAGTCCTTGGTTTGTCTTTTTGTTGTTCAGGCTATCACCAAATTGTAACGATTGTTGCTGCTGAAATTGTTTCGTTATCGCTTGTACATACAAATCTCCACTTCCGGTTTGAACTGCCCCGCAATCTGACGTCTCTGTTGCGCATGCGTAGCGTGAAGGCGCAGATGAAGAAGCCGAAGTTGTTCCTCCGCCGACTTGTTGGATTCGCTCCCGCTATCCGCTCGGAATGTAGATATAATAAACGTTGTTGTCCGATAGGGATATTTAATTTTGTCAAATCTTCTGGTGAGAGGCAAGACAGCGCTGTTTCGATCCTACTCCCACGTCGTATGCTTTTTATGAATGATTTACCTGATGGTGTAAATGACGTCATAGAACGATGACGTAAGAATGTAAAGATTTTACGGGAAATTGCACGAATGGGAAACTGAAAGTCGTCAAAACATGAAAACATAAACAGACGATGGTAAGAATTTGTATAATGTCCATATCTTCTTAAATGAAAGTAAGATAGTTAATTAAATTCATCCAAATCTGTCTAAGAATGCTATTGTATATCGGTTAAAAATGTCACTTATTCAATTTTCTTCGTCGTTTACATCGATATTAATAGTATGTTCAATTACGGGAACAGCAAACATTTCCCTTCACATTGAGCGCTTCGATCCAAAAGAACTGCTGTCTTTGTCCTATTAGAATAGAAATAATTCATTGGGGCTTGAATTTATATTGATTTTACCACGAGTTGGCCCTTTATGCTGATATTTTACCCCTCGCTGTCCCTCGTGGTAAAATATTTAGCATAAAGGGCCAACCCGTGGTAAAATCACGATAAATTCAAGCCCCAATGAATTATTTCTTAAGCACTATACAGTATAAATCAATCCCAGTGATAAAAAAAAAATGAATTGCAACTGGAATATAATAAACAGCCTGCACACGCTTTGTGCAAATTCAAAAGTGATAAAACAAAGACCGCAATTAACAATCTGAGTTGATAGTTATGATTAATCAAAAATAATGATTGGCTAGCATCCTAGATACCAATCATACCAATTAGTAATAGAACAGGGTTGCAGAAATTATGATTTCCAATCTTGATTGGTTAAAGGGAACTTCCTGGGGACGGTAATTTGATATGTAAGCAAAATGCAATATCCAAGTTCCCTCTGTATTAATACTTTATTTAATTAAAATAAGCACCTGAGTCGAAACATTTTCCTACCAGAGACTGGAATATATGTAACACTGATCCCAAATATTTTACTTCCTCTGACCCTTACATTTTACTGTCTCTGATCTTAAGATTTTTCTACCTTTGATCCTAGGATTTATTTACCTCTAACCTATTATATTATACTTCTTCTAATCCTATTATTTTAGCACCGACGCTAATATTTTACAACCAACCTTAGATATTTGGTACCTCAGACCCCAATAATTTACTACCTCTGATTCCAAATTTTTTTCCTAACAGACACCGGAAGATACTTAAAACTGATCCCAAATATTCTACTTCCTCTAACCCTAACATTTTACTACCTCTGGCCCTAATATTTCACTGCCTAAGACCCTAATCTTTTACTACCTCTGACCCTAATATTTTACTAGCTCTAACCCTAATTTTTTTTTACCTCTGATTCTAATTCTTACGGTAGAATTTTATAGATTTTTTGGGAATAAACTTAAATCACTACTGGTAAATGTCTTAAATACAGGATACGATAGAAACGGTCTTTCATATTCACAACGTACTAGTATATTAACTTTGATATTCAAAAAGGGGGATCCTTTACTTTTGGAAAACTATCGCCCAATATCCCTTCTTAATATAAATTTTAAAATTTTGTCATATGTTCTTGCTCAACGCTTAAAAAAGGTACTTCCAAAAATTATAAATGAGGATCAAACCGGTCATGTTAAAAATAGATTTATTGGGTTTAATCTGAGACAAATCCAAGATGTTATAGACTACTCAGAAACATACAAAATTGAGGGAGCAATTGTTTTTGTGGATTTTACGAAAGCATTTGATTCGTTAGAATGGGATTTTATGCTTGGAACTTTGAAACATTTTGGGTTTAATGAATCATTTATTCAGTGGGTTAAAACTATGTATACTGACGTTCAAACATGTGTCATGAATAATGGGTGGGTATCAGAAAATTTCAAAAATTCACGGGGAATCCGACAAGGCTGTACTTTATTAGCGTTATTGTTTGTTTTGGCTGTTGAAATTATGGCTCTAAAGTTGTGAAATAGCAACGAAGTAAAAGGAATCACTATTAAGTTAGATGGGAAAAGTCACAGCATTAAGATTTCACAATTAGCAGATGACACAACATTATTTTGTAAAGATAAAAACGATGTAATATCTGCAATGAATATAATAGAAATTTTTGGCTCGTTTTCAGGTTTATTGGTAAATAGAAATAAAACAGAAGGATTATGGATCGGGAAATTGAAATCATGTAAAGATAAAATTGCGGGGATTAATTGGGGAGATAAACCTATTGAAGCATTAGGGATGTTTTTTGGACATGATAAATAGGAATGCAAAAAATTAAATTGGGATTGTAAAATAGAAAAAATGATAAAAATGTTCAAGACATGGGAAAAAAGGAATCTTTCAATTTTAGGGAAAATACTGATTATTAAAGCATTAATCTTGCCTTTATTTACATTCTTGGGAAGTGTTTGCTTAACTCCCGAAAATTATCTTAAAGAACTAGAAACACGAAGCTTTAAATATATTTGGGATGGGAAGCCAGACAAAGTAAAAAGAAACCTGATAACAGGTCCATATGAAAAAGGAGGCTTACAAATGGTCGATTTTAAAAGTTATTTTATGTCTCTAAAGGCATCATGGGTATATAGACTTGTTAATGGTAAATTTGCCAACTGGAAGCTTATACCTTTTAAATATCTAAAGAGGTCTAATAATATGTTATCTATATTTAATATGAATTTAAATGATATAAAACATTTAGAATATTTTAAATGTGTGCCAGAATTTTATAGAGAAGTAATAAAGTCCTGGATTTTGACGGGTGGGCAAACAAATCAACCAGTTACATATGTTGATATAAGAAAGCAAACAATATGGGGAATAAATTTATTACATTTCATAATAAACCAATTTTCTTTGAAAACTGGATTAAGAGTGATATAATATATTTAACTGACATTCTAGATGCCACTATGTCATTATCAGAAAAAAATATTTTAAACAAATTAAAATGTAAGGTAGACTGGATTGCTGAATTTCATAAATTGAAACAATCTTTTCCCCAAAATTGGATTGACATAGTTGAACAAGAAAATTCTGTTCAAAGTACAGTAAATGTCCAGAGAAATAAAATCACATGGAAAGGTCGTTATTTTGAGACTACATGTTTTTCAAATAAAATATTATATGATTCGCTAGTGAATAATAAAAAAGAACCGTCAGTAGGGATAAGTAGGTGGCTTAAAATTCTACCAATGCAAGAAGCTCCAAATATGAATTCATTATATAACTTTATTTTCAAATATTTAACTGAAAATAAATTAAAAATATACAGATGGAAATTACTACAGTTTATTGTACCAACAAAAAAGCTTTTATTACAATGGAAAATATCGAATAATAATATGTGTAATTTTTGTAACATAGAAGAAGACTATTCTCATTATTATTTCGATTGTTCTTATTTGACAAGATTTTGGCAACACATATACGACCTCTTAAAAAGGAGTAATTTAGATTTTTTAATAAATCTACAACACCTGATATTTGGATACAAAATCACAGACAATAAGTATTACTCAATAATTTTTTTGATTACAATAATAAGTTTTTCAATATACAAGTCATACTATGTATCTGAGCAGAAAACAAAAACATAGACGTCTACAGAATTTTTGTCAATGAATACACCAAGAGAGTAGATACCAATATTAATGGACATAAGGCAATAAGTCCAATGTTACTAACAATTAAAAGGAACATAATCAATGAATAATTTTCTAATATTGTTATTATAGTGTTTTGTATACAAAATGTATGTCAATTAATCTAATCAGCTGGTTATTCCCTGGGTAGTCAGTGGATTGTAACAGGGTACGTCAAGAGAAGCTTGGAATCTTGATGGTTTATGTAACAAGCAATATTTGATGAATAAAATTATGTTGTTAAAAAAACAAATATTTTACTAGCTCTAACCCTAATATTTTTTTACCTCTGATTCTAATTAATATTTTACCACTGACCTAAAATATTTTGATACCTCAGCGCCAGAGATCGGAAAATATCTAACACTGATCCCAAATATTCTACTTCCTTTGACCCTAACATTTTACTTCCTCTGACCCTTACATTTTTCTACGTCTAACCTACTATATTTTTCTTCTTCTGATCCTAACATTTTACCACCGATTCTAATATTTAACTGGTGACCTAAAATATTTTGATACCTCAGATCCCAATATTTTACTTCCACCGATCAGAATATTTTTCTACCGCTGATCTAAAATATTCTACAACCTCTGACCCAAATCTTTTACTACCTCTGACCAACTATATTACTTCCTTTGACCCTTGAATTCGAATACATTCTACCGTTATATTTTACTACGTATGGCTCCAAATACTTTACTGCCACTGAGCCTGATAGTTCACTACATCTGACCCAAATATTATACTGTACTGATCAAATGACATTTTCGGACTAAGATAAAATTGTGAATTTGATTGTTTTGTAATGTAACTTATAGAAGCATTTAGAATTATATTGAATTCGAAGATATACTTTGGTTTCCCCAATAATGATACATAATACTCACCACACATAGAACAGAATAAGGGTCACTCATCAAGTATCTACACTGATCGTTCCCTTGATATCGTTGTCCGGGTAATATAGATTGGTCAACAAAACTATAATCACCATTCACTGAATGATGTTTTAAACATTCATATTTAGGTTCATTCGTGGCCTCGTTGGACATTAAACCACTCAGGCTAAATGAAAAGTGAAGAGAAATATATATATTGATAGCCAATAGTAAAATACGTTATCAATAATTGAGAATTTATATCCATTTTTGTCTATAGTAACTGATTTGGTAGCCAAACGATTATTGCACAGGTATGCTCTGTTTTACATCAGGACATAAGAACTAAATACAGACAAACACATATTGTATTTGTCAATCAAGATGGGGATAGTATTTTTATTATCATGGGTACATAATAGAACACCAAAGGACGTTTCAGCACAAAACTTAATAATATTAAATTTAAAATACTTTAAATAAGTATTTCCCGAAAAAAAGTAAAACAAAAACACCGAACTCCAAGATAAGTTCAAAAAGGGGCAGTCCATAAAAACTGACAAAATCAAACTTTATCAACCAATGGAACTGGTGGAAAACAACTGTCATATACCTGACTTAGAACATTTCGGAAAATGATGGGTAAAACCTGGTTTTATAGCTAGCTAAACCTTCCACTAGAAATCAATTTTACAATCGAGTTTTTGTCCAGTAAAAGAGATACCGTAAGGTTTATTGTTTTTGTTTCTATAATTTATTTATTGTAATGTTAAGTAGTAAAAACTTAACCCTTTTTACTCAGCATGTAGATACATCGAGTTTCTCGACCGCTTGCATTATTCACAGTGAGAAAGCACACACTGCTGTTGGTCGATAATGATGAATTGAGTGTATAAAGGTCTGCTATTATCTTTGTTCTGTAAGCTCCTTCCTACCAATTCACCCTTTCTATTCTGACTCCTTAGTTTACAGAATAATTACGACGGTTGTCGCATGCGAAGCAGGATGATCGGCTTTCATGCAAAATCTAAGTAGTATTCTTGCTTTTTATGAGACCTATGCTTTAGTGTACGATTTCGTTGGGGGAGATTTAAAGTCTTTATCGTTATGTCCTCGATTTCAAGGATTGGACATAAAATTGAACAATTCCTACGTGATTAATACATTTTCATAAAAAATGGAAATTTGTACTGACAAGAACAGTTTTGAAACATATGAAAAAGGATGATTGTTCTTTTCTACGAGAACTGACTGTTAACATCATCCATTTTTTAAAACAGAAATCTCGTTTGTATGTACATTCTGCAATGAAACGATATATTTTTATACTTTTGAATAGTGCATTATGCCCATACCTTAAAAATGCCAAAGTTGTCAAACGGGTCAGTATCAGAAAAACAAATTGATCCATTGTTTGATATAACATATCTATTTAGACTATTTATATTTATTTTTGCATACTCATTTGAGTAATTGGGTAATTAATTAGGGTAAGCATTTAAGGTAAAAAGTAACACATCTGTTTTTGTTATTTCTTTATGACCTTTACGGTTTTCGTACACCAATATGATATTTCTATGCCATTTAAACGTCTAATCTTTTAAAAACTAACGCCAACATTTTACTTACTTCAAAAGGTGCTCACGAATTTTTTCAATGGAGCATGGAGAAAATGTGTATGGATTAGTCCTATATGTGTATGTTGCAGCTTTAAAGTTCGGCGACATTACGAACTGTTCCTCTGACGTACAACCTGCAGTGACATCATGGGGACATCTCATACTGAAATCAAAGTCAAGCGGTTCAATATTACCCTAGTTAACAGTGACATCTAGGGTTCAACTCATACTGAAATTAAATTTACAGTGGTAATATGGGCATTCCGACTTAAATTCAGAGTCTAGCAGTTTACAGTGACTCATCTCATACTGAAATTTAAAGCAACAATGTCATCACATAAAATTCAAGTCAATCAGTTAACTGTTATGAAATAAAGACAAGACGAAAATTCATTGTAATCTGGTATTGTGAATGTTTAAAGGGGCATTAGCTACAAATTAGACAAAACATTGAAAAATGATTGATTTGCATCAAGCATTTATGAAAGCGGAAAATATAAATAATAATTCGCTATTAGCAGTCAGTTTGGTTCAATTGCGTCAAACGTAATATAACAAAAATACCGAACTCCAAGAAAAATTCAAATCGGAAAGTCCCTTATCAAATGGCAAAATCAAAAGCTCAAACACATCAAACGAATGGAAAACAACTGTCATATTCCTGACTTGGTACAGGCATTTCCTTATATAGAAAAAAATACGCTAAAAATTATCGCTGATGTACAGGATGATTGCAAGTCAATAAGTCAACTAATTTGAATCCGTATTCACACAACCTTAAATTTGACCTTTAGTGGAGATGGGTTGTGTTTGTGGTCAGCATATGTTTTCGGCACACAAACAAATCATCATTATGCAGGTAAAACGATGATCGACATATACTTTTAAAGCTATAAAACGAATCAAACAGACCTTGAAAAATAATCATATTACGATTGCACGTGCGTGTCTGTCTATTTGTATTCATATTTGTGTATATCAGGTTATATGACCGTCGGCAGTCTTCGGAGGTCATCTTAATGGATAATTAGATGGCGTCTAGTCTAGAAAACGCACGAATGCTGATACATTAAAGCAAGTCTATGCATTGTTAATTATTTCTTTCGGACTGTCTGTTATTTGGATGTACCTTTGTTTTCGACTTATGAGTTTGAATATCACTTTGGTATCTTTCGCCTCTCTTTTAATATAAAAATAAGGAGATGTGGTATGATTGCCAATGAGACAACTATCCACCCAAGATCAAATGAAGACGGTGTAAGCAATTATAGGCAACCATACGGCCTTCAAAAATGAGAAAACCCATACCGTATAGTCGGCTATAACAGGTACCTACATGAAAAATATGAAACAATTCAATTGAGAAAATTAACGGCCTAATTTATAACAAAACAATTTACGAAAAACAAATATGACAGACATGAACCAACGACAACTACTGAACTACAGGCTTCTGGCTTGGGACAGGCACATAAAGAATGTGGAGGGTTTAAACATGTTTGTGAGCGCTCAACCCTCCCCTAACCTGGGACAGTGGTGTAACAGCACAACATAAGAACAAACTATAAAAATCAGTTGAAAAAGGCTTAACTCATCAGATCGATACCGGACGTGGCAGGGTATTTATCCATCCCTCGCCCCTAACAACAAAAAGGACACTAGGTACAGATCTGAGAGTACTCGCAGTTACTGACAGCTAGTAAAAAAATCATGTATCTAAGACTAAAATATCAATCAGCACACATCCAACATCCAATGGATTTAGTGTAAAGACGTCATTAACAATTAGAGAAAAACATGACCTTGTGCAGTGCCAAAATATAGGTATCGACGTAGTACCGTGAAAGTACATATGTGTATAACAATAATAAGTATGTTATAAATCAAATATTAGAATTTGGGTCAAATTGGTGGACATGAATTTGACATCTAATGCTCTTTTAAAGATGATAGAATATGTGCTTAACAGGCACTATGTAAACAGTATAGTTCACTATACGGTATATGTTGACACGAATTACCATTGATATGGTAATATTAATAGATTTACTGTTTACAAAACTTTGAAAAAATTGTCCCATATACTAATCATTTTCTACCACAGGAAGAGATTATCGTAGCTGTATATGATAATAACCTTATAAATTTTTTGGTTCTCAGTGCTCTTCAATTTCAACTTCGTACTTTATTTGGCCTTTTATTATTTTTATTAAGACCTCCAGTAATCATAAATGTTTACATTCTTTGTCTTTTGCCTTCGGTTGAAAATAGTCCTATATGCAATCATTTAAAATCTCATATTTGTATACTATCAGATGAGAACCAGTGATCCAAAGGAAGCGAGTAACAGTAGTAATACTGTATTCCACTAAGAGGAGAAGAAATCTTTAAACATATGTTAATAATCTCTAAAGAGACTCATATTCAACTTTTGTCAGTGTCCTCAGATTAACGTTTTAACTGTTATGCATGAGAAAAAATCTGAACAGTTGACGTGGATTTAATGAATTATGGGTCACCAAACGGCCCCCAACAATGAGTATTACTCATACCTTATAGTAAGCTATAAAAGGCCGCGACATGACAAAATGTGAAACAGTTTTTACTAGAAAGCTTACGACAAAACAATGAACGACATAACAGACATCATCCAAAAAGACAACCACAAAGTCTATTGCAACCAATTACAACCCTTACACACGTTTGATAAGTTAATGTTCTTTTAAATTGAATTTGAGATAAAGTAAACCATAGATACTGCTAGGTCTGCTAAATATTTTCATTTCTACTTAAAACTTAAAAATTTTCAAAGAGTCTTGATCATAAAGTTGTACTTACATCGCCAAAAGTTTTACCGGCGCGGCTTTAATGACTGACTATTACGAATTATTACGTCTTCCGTATTACATCCACATACCATTGTTGAATAATCGGGATTCAATTGTAATGGACAACGTTATGAGTAAGACTCAGAATTCTGACACTATGTACCTTCCCAGGCATCTCTGTCTTTTTGCGGGATTCATGTTTGTAATATACATTGTATAGGTACTGTATAATTTGTATTGTGTGTTTTGATGTTCTTGGGTTTGCTTATCTGTAGTTTACTACTATTTTTCCGAAGTTAAAGCATATTTATAAGATTTTTTTCTTGTTTGCATCATTTTATACAGTAATCTGACATAGAGTCAAAAATGGTATTTAAATTGTTAAGCAGTTTGGTAAGTCCATTCTCATCAATGCGCAAGTTCAGTATTTGTAAAAAATAAAACACTATATTTTTTAGATATGAAAAGTGTAATAATCCTCTGTACTTGCCTTTAAAGCGATGGTTAGTTGTGTTTAAGCGAGGAATTAACTATGTTTGACTTACTTGTGAGCTAATTCGTGTGCACCAACCCTTGGAACAAATCCTAAACCTGGTGACTCAATGATGGAGACGGCGTAGTAAGGTTGTTTACACATGACACCATCACGACCAGTAAAAGTATATCCTAAATATCAACACTTAGTACAATTAGTCTATAGCCAATAATTTTATTTCAGCTTATTGTTAATTTTGTTCTTATGAACATATATACTACTAGCAAGGTAGGATGTTGCAACCACTAATTATGGTTTAAGAATAATAATCTATATTTACTATCTACAGTAAGCTACTATCATAACTTTATGTAAGGATGTAGACATGTCAGGTTAATGAATTTTTGTCAGATTTTCGGACTCCTTGGGTTTTTCCTACGATAAAGGGTCAATTTTTTGCCCCATGTCACCCACTTTTCTTTTTATAGAACACTTCAAAAGCTCACAGAAGGTCATTACCAAAATTTAAACAGATTCTAGATTTCTTTTTTTACGATTTGCGACCCAAATAATGCCAATGCTAAATATTAGGCAAAAGTCCGAGTAAGTCTTTTCCCGCCATTTCATAAAAAATTCAAATATCACGAAAAGGAGTTCCATAACCTATCAATATTTCTAACTTATTTTGTTCCTTAACTAATGCTCTTCTGACTTATAGTATCAATTTTAAATTCTAGATTTCTTTTGATTTCACCTGACTACATCCAAAGTCTAAACACAAATAAGATTGTTTCACCTGATTATGTTGCCTATACAGATAATAACGTTGTTAATGAAAAAATTTCTGTCAGTCATATTGTCACGTGTGTCGGTCAAGATATATGCTTCATCGTAGTCACTGTTTTTATTGGTCAACCAAGCAAACTATCTTAACTGTTGGTTTTTCTGTAATATTTCATGGTAAATGCATTTATTATGTACTGTTAAAAGCAAACAAAATGATTGTGTTCACCTCTTTCCGTTTATGGTATCGATGTTAATTGTAATCTGATTAATTAGATGTAAAAGTGGGTTTTTAGATACAGTAGTTAGTTAGTCTTTTTGTAAATTCAATATCTTCCTTTTCGTTCTTTTGTTTTCTGTGTCGCGTACAAAGCCTCCCCGTTCAGTTAAAATCATAGTAAAAAACATCGTTCAATTTAGTCACCCTGTACACTCCTGTAATCGCTCTTTTATATGAACATCGGAATATATGGACAAAATTATTAAAAAAAAAATACTAGCCAAAACGATTGATTTTGTCCATTTTTTTCTGTTTCTGGTATTTCTTAGTATTGAACAACTGAATGAGTTGTTAGCCAAGGGACCAAAAATATAGAATTCCCCAGTCCATCAACTGGAAAAAGAACTTCAAGTTACTGATGGATGCAGTTGAGGACTATGCTAGAAAATGAGTAAATCGCGAACCAAACGAACCAGAACTGGACACTTTGTCTAAATGGATCAAAGCTATTCGACCATGCATTCAGAGGCGCATTCAGAAACTACGATTTACTATGATCACAAGGGTTTCTAATGTCGTAGTTAGAAAGTGGTCTAAGTCTAAGGAGATTGTGGATGCTTTATCATCTTTGCATGACAAATATGTCGTTGTTCCAGCAGATAAAGCCTCCAATAATATTGTCTTTGTATGTAAAAACCATTATTTGCAATGTCTCACAAAAGAGCTTGGAATAAACAGCACAACTGGTAATCCTACATATTCTTTAACATCATTTACAAAGGATGAAATTTTACAAAATCACAAATCTGTCCTGCTTTCATTTGGTATTAACATCAAAGAAAACATAGGAAATCTACCGTCATTATTGAACGATACCAAAACTTCACAAAACTCCGTATAAAGAACGATACATAGCTGGATCATCAAGATGTTCGACAAAACATCTTTCTAAGTGTTGACTACTTTTCTTTTACAGTAAAAGATGGCCTTCAAAACATTGTGATGAGATATATTCAACCAGTGGTGTCAATCATATGTGGATTTTCAAAAATTCTAAAGATCTACTGCTAAATCTTAGATCACAATCTCTGCAATTTTGTAGCAACATTAAGACCTTTAATTTTTCTACGCTTTTCACTACTATTCCCCATGCTCAATTGAAAGATCGACTTCACCATCTCATTGAACAGAGCTTATTTTGTGAAGAACCACACTGATTCTATCAGAAAATAACAGCGAAGATGATATTATCAAAATGCTGGACTTTTTAATCGACAATATATTTGTTGAGTTTGGAGGATTGATATTTCAACAGACAGTCGGTATTCCAATAGGTACTAATTGTGCACCCCTTCTGGCCGACTTGTTTTTGTACTCGTATAAAGCAGAATTCATTCAGAACCTTCTAAAAGGCAAAAAGTAAAAGCACCTTGCAAAATTCATTTTACTTTCAGATATATTGATGATGTCCTATCACTGAATAACCCATATTTCAGTCAGTACTTGTATCTCATATATCCCTGTGAACTTGAAATTAAGGATACTACTGATACAAGAAGGACTGCTTCATACCTTGATCTTTTCCTCAATATTGACTCAGATTGACGACTTCACACTAAAATCTATGACAAACGGGATGATTTCGACTTCCCAATTATCAATTTCCCATTTCTCAGCAGTAACATACCCTCTGCTCCGTCGTATGGTGTTTACATATCTCAATTGATACGTTATGCTCATGCATGTTCACACTATACTGACTTCATATACAGGAGTGTGCTCCTTACGCAGAAACTGCACCAACAGAGTTATGAGGAGGAAAGATTGAAAATGACACTCCGTAAATTTTATGGACACCATCACGAATTGGTTGATCTATACAATATGTCTGTGTCTAAACTAACTAATGACATTTTTACCACTTCTTAGATTGTGGTTTAACATCTATGTCGTCTGTCTGCTAAGTCCCGAATATGACTGTTATACCGAGTGTGAGTGTGAATTTGCATTGCTATACGACGTGTCTCGGTATTTTTATATCCAATATTCATATATTTATTTTTGATGTTTCTGTTATGGTTTCGGTTGGATAATGTGTTATGTCTTATCGTTTGTAGTCCAAATAATTATAAAATTGCCTTTCAATACCATCATTGTCATGAAAATTGTTTGGACTAGTATTGTGAAAATAATTGTATTAAGTTCGAGATTGCATGTTCGTTACGTAAGTGGGTCACTATTTGTGATGTCCTGTGGTGTCTGTCGTTGATGGAAGATGTTCGCTGTTGTTCTGCGGTTTGCACGTTTGTGCGTTTCTCTGTGATGAAAGTTTGTGGTGTATTTCTGTCACGTAGTGTTGTCATTTTAGCGATATATTTTTGAACATTGCCATGTAAGCGGGAGGTTTGGCTAGCCATAAAACCAGGTTCAACCCACCATTTTTTCTTAAAATAACCTGTACCAAGTCAGGCATATGGCAGTTGTTATCAAATAGTTCGTTTCTATGTATGTTGGCGTTTGTTTTTGTTGCACTTCAATGTTCCTGCTGTTCCTTTGTTTTCCTCTTATAGTTGATGTGTTCCCTCGGTTTTAGTTTGTAACCCGGATTTTTTTTCTCTCAATCGATTTATGACTTTTGAACACCGGTATACTACTGTTGGCGTTTATTTGTGGTATCAAAGTTAATTGTATTCTGATCAATTAGATGTAAAAGTGGGTTTTCAGAATATACAGTATTTCCAGTTGTTTTTGTCCATATATCCCGGTGTACATATAAAAAAAAGATTTATTTACATATGCAAAAAAATACTTGATCCGCTCTGATATTCGTTCACGACATTGCTGATATAAATTTTGTATGTAAATTTCACATAACAATCCTACCAGCAATGTAGGTATGAGATATATTTCCAAAGGACATAACTCCATGCTAAATAATTTATAGGCACTGATTTCCGAACTTGTGTGAGACATTGTTATATAAACTTATAACTTTCTTAAATACATCGTTAGAATTGTACACTTGAGAGCGCTAACAATGCACTTTTCTATAAAATTTAAATTTCTAAGGCACATAAATCCGGTTAGATTAATTGATCAGCGCTGATTAAAATCTATGTTATCTGAAACTGTAAGAAGTTCTACAAGTGTTAGTTTACCGATGCTTAGTAGTGAGAACCCAGGATACACAAATGTAAAAAAAATGAGTCATGTGATCAAAAAAAAAATTTTTTAAAATAAATAAACAAGAGAAAAAAGAATCATTTTACAAAAAGATAACATGAAATATTTGGAAAATTAAATTTGCTATCCAATAAATTCTGTGTCATAGGACTACTGCACAATCAGAACAGTGGGACCAACATATATCTATAACTTCAAAATAAGAATTTCTATTAGATATGTACGAGACACGGTAATTATCTATAGTATTTGACGTCGGATGGAACTTCTGAATAGCCAGAAGAACGAACGTCAAATCGGCTTTGAGAAATCTTATCCGAATCTCAATTACAGTCATGTAAACTCATGAAATTAATTGGTAGACTTAATCTAGCTTAGACCACTTCCTAACTACGACATTAGAAAATGCGAAAAGTCTTTTTAAGCTTCAAAATTAAACTATTATAAATATATTGTGTTCCGGTATATGACGTTCGTGCTATTATCATTGCAGCCCATCAACCATATTATGGGCCAAAAAAAAAAGCATATATCGCAGTACTTTTTTGTTCTTTGTGTTTTTAATGTTGACTTTCTCATATATACTACAAAGATAGCGATCATACCTTTTACTGCTCTTTCAATAATTTCAAGTTTTGTGTTGTTCCTTACCAAATCTTGCCTTGATGGAATAAAACATATGGAACTTATTTATCATTTATAAACATTTTTCATAAAATGTATAAATATCACATTAGAGAAAATTTTAAATATTTTTTTTTAACTTTTTGTTATTTCATTAAAATCATTGGGTGTGACCAAAGCGTAAGTATCTTATTGATTGTGAACCGAATATAGCAAGATACAATCGGATAAGAAAGGTCAGCGATCTACTTTTCAATGTTAATCAAGAACCTATTTAAAGTTTCGTATTATCATATATGTCCAGGTTTAACACAACATTTTCTTCAGAAAATGTCTGTATCATGTCAGAAATATGACATTTGTTTTCATTCCAATTGTTGATAAAGTCTAACGTTTGATTTTGTCAGTTTTTGTGGACTGCCCCTTTTTCAATTTGACGTGGAGTTCGGTATTTTTGTTAGTACTTTTTTTTATATACATTCGTAATTATAAACCAACATGCAGACATCTTATACATTCAGGTATTTCACATCCAATATTTTATGGTAATATTCTTTACAAAGCACAAAATTGTCGGCATTCACCTCAAAAGCTAACCAAACTTTGAATCACTCATAGGGTATTTGCATCGGAAATAAAACACATTTATTCTAAAACCAGTTGTTGGCATGATACGGGTTATGTTCATCTCATATATTTTATGATGGTATGATACTAAACCCCTAACGGGAGGGATTTTACCTGATTTTCATATGATGAAGACATAATCTTTCAATCAGTTTAATTGAGGTCTGGAGCTGGCATGTCAGTAACTGCTAGTAGTCCTTTGTTAATTTATGTGTCATTGTCATTTTGCTTAGTTTCTTTTGTTACCTATTCTGACATCGGACTCGGACTTCTTTTAAACTGAGTTTTACTGTGCGTATTGCTAGGTGTTTATTTATTCTACATTGGCTAGAGGTATAGGGGGAGGGTTGAGATCTCAAAAACATGTTTAACTCCGCCGCATTTTTGCGCCTGTCCCAAGTAAGGAGCCTCTGGCCTTTGTTAGTCTTGTATGTTTTTTTTAATTTTAGTTCCTTTATATGTTTTGGAGTTTAGTGTGACGTCCATTTTCACTGAACCGGTACAAAATTTTATTTAGGGGCCAGCTGAGGACCACCTCCGGGTGCGGGATTTTCTCGCTGCGTTGAAGACCCATTGGTGGCCCTCGGCTGTTATCTGCTCTTTGGTCGGGTTGTTGTCTCTTTGACATATTCCCCATTTCCATTCTCAATTTTATTACTTCTATGTGTTATAACAATTGAGGTGCGATTTCATGTTAAAATGTCATGTTTATATTATCAAAATGTTTAATGTGATATGTAACGTAAGGTACTTATAGGTGTGAATGTTTCAATTCTCATATATAATTTTGATTCTTATTTTGAAATTAGTTCAATCTTAATGTGTAATTTGTAATTATTATTGTTTGTTTTTAAGCTTCTAAATCCCCATGTGTACATTCATCTAAATATTAGTGTGTAATTAAAAAAAAATCCAATTCTAGTTTCGCTGACGAGATTCATCTGGACGAAACGTGAGTCTGGTGTACCAAATTATTATCCTAGTATTTTAATGAGTTTTTAAACAAAGTTTTTCCGATAATGGCTTGCCATACGCTGGCGCCTTAGGGGAAAGTTGGGGGAGGGGAATGATAAGGAAACTAATCAGTAAATATTTTCGTTTTTTGGCATTGAAATTCTGCACGTTTGTTTTGGACTGCTGAATCAATGAAATCCGCTACGATGTACATCCATCGATGTTTAAATGTTGGAAGCAAGGTTTTATTTAAGCAGATAAGATGCATTTGACTTTTGTCGATGATTGCAGGTAATCTGTGGTACGTTATTGTTACAATTGATTGGTAGGAACTTTGTTCTCATCTCTTTTACCGTACGTTATAAAAGAGTAAGATGCTTTCCCTATCCTGCATTCGTTGTAGGATATTTTGTATATTTGAAAATAAATTCATTTGTTAATTTGGTCAGCATTCGAAGGAGAATGCAAAATGCAATCTAGAATATCACTGATTTGTCATAAAGTGTGGGTTCGGGGTGAGATTATTGACGTCATCATTTTCGTATAGAAACATAACCTCCTCTCAAGTATAGAAAACAAGTTAAAGGTGTACAAGGCATGCGTCGTTACAGGTCGACCGACCAGAAAGAAGTTGCAGAAGTCACTATCGTAAAGTTGATTGGCTGAGTTTTTCCAGCAAATTCTTGGCACATCTAGTATACATGTAGAGGATGTTTGTTAGCGCTCAGTGAAGTTGGCGTACATAGCAAAACTCATTTTCGTGAGAGAAAAAAACATATGGGAATGAAAAGGGTACCCTGCACTTCGGTTTAAATTATACAGCTTTTCATTTCTAAAACTTCAAATCATGGCTCATTGTGATGGCGAGAATCTGGTTTGCCAATCTGATAAAGAGAGCGAGTTCATGGATTTTGATCTTGTTACTGTCAGCATCGAACAAATCGCGACGCTGCCTTAGTTTTATTTACACCAATCCAATAGGTGCAAAGCAACAAAAACAAGTAAAACTGTGAGCTTCTGCTCACTGATGATACCCCCGCCGAAATATTTCGGTAAACAGGAAGTTGTTGAGTGATGAATCTGAAAACGCATCACACGGTGTAACGTACTTATATAAACTCTGAAACCAAATTTCAGAAATCCTTGTCAAGTAGTTCCTGAGAAAAATGCGACGAAAATATTCATGGGACGGAAGGATGGACTGACGGACGGACGGATGGACTGACGGACTGACGGACTGACGGAAGGACAGACAGATGTAAAACAGTATACCCCCTTTTTTAAAGCGGGGGTATAATAAAAAAAAAGAACCATTTCTGAATGATCTAAAATTATTCACGAGTCTATTGTCAAATTGCAAAATTTAAAAAAAGGACAAAATATTTCCACGTGAATAAGATGTTTTCGGAGGATAGTTATAAGCGTATTTACCCAGTAAGTGCCATCACATGATCAACATTTACCATTAGGTAACTGTTATTGTATACAAATTTCACAAGAGCATCCAGGGCCTTATCTGCATCTAAGTGTATTTCTGTTTCTGATAGCTTGATTGGATTATCAGACCAAGCTGCAGCGTCCTCGTGTGCCTAATATAAGATACAATGCATTTACATATGTTTCATGCTTCAGAGAAAGGTTAACTGTATTTATAAGGATTATCATCGAATATGTTAATTGTAGCTCTAAATATAATTCTTTTAACATAACAGTCTGATGAACAAAACATCAGTTTTATTAAAAATTATGAAGATCCGTTTTCGCTAGCATGTAATGCTCTTTGGATAAACCGCCATGGTTATGTTGATTTTTGTTTAAACATTAAAGATTAACAATGAAAAACTCGAAAAAACTTAATCAACCTTACTTTAAATTTCAAACTTACCTGTTATCGAAATCAATCAATTTTTTGTTCAAATTTACCTCGCAGTTAAATGTATGTTTCCAATATTGCACGAGATTAGCTAAATATGAACATGGAATGTAGTAAACTGGCCAGGTTATAACACTCTACCAAATTTAAAATTGTACCGAAATCTGTAGGGGTACATGTAAACATATGCCAATTTCTATAAAATTGGTTGAAAGAGAATCTTTCTTTTCGAAGTCTTTCGAAACACAAACGTTTGTCTATCCCCTTGTATGGATCAAGGTGTCTAAATGAACTAGTCAGATTTTACAAAAAAAGTTTTAATCTTTGTTCAATAAATGCTCTTCGTTACTGATACGGTCTTCCTACGTTTTTGGTTCGAGCATAACCGATGTGTTTTATATTGTCGAACAGGAGATTATAACAAAGGAATACTTCAATTATTTACAGAAGTCAAAAACGATATTCGGAAACTAGTTTTGAAAAAATATAAAATCCGTCTCCCCAGTGATAATTCCAATACATTACTACTAAAAATATAGATGCTTTGACTAACCCTTACTATGAAAGGGAGTTCCAGATAAATTTATTGTTATAAAGACTATCTTTTTTATATTTGCTCTTTTTCATTAGGAAATTTAGATTCTTTTCGGAAATATATGGCCTATAAAAGATATGATTTTTTTTATGCCAGTTTCAGAGGATAATAAGAGAAGGGATTTCAATCAATGTTAAGAAACCAATACTCACCATTATTGGTATGATTGCGTTAAGATGAACCCGCAGTTTTATATCTGGTGCATATCTTCTGATGTTAAACATTATATTATCTATCTGTAAAAATGACTTGTTTATGCTTAAGTTGAACAATTAAAGCTAATAATTTATAGTATAATGTTTAAATTTCAGAATGTTGAAGATTATAACAGAATACATAGACCTGAAGATTAAAAGGAACGAATCCCTAGTCACCAATACCAACGAAGTATTCCCTTAATCGACTACATTTAGGGTCAATTTCTTAATCTGTCTGTGTATCTGTGTTTCTGTCTGTCTGCCTGTATGTCTGTCTGTCTGCCTTCCAGTCTTTCTGTCGGTCAACATGCAAGTGTGTATGTATGTATGTATGTATGTTTTATAATTTCTGCATAATTAGGAGTTTGGTGCACGATGAAAGATTATCCAAGTTGTAGCTTAATGATCACGTTTACTTCTAAACAAAATTATTTTTTGACGGCGATGTTCCTTTGGTCGCTACGTCCGTGTTTATATTTTACAACTTGTTCGATGTACCCGTGTCTGTAGTGATGTTTCAGATTTCTGTGTTTAATGTATAAAAACATAAGTCAGGAATTTCGTTTTCACAAATTACTTTATATATTTACTAAATTATGTCAACGATACAAATATTTTGTTTAGAGAAGTTTGACTGTACCTTGGATAAACCGAAAAAGAAAACAAGTGTATCATTTATCAAATGATCCATATAAACTTATTGCTCATTTGAACGTGTGCCAAATGTGGAGCAGGATCTTTTCATCTGTGATTAACAGGTTTTTGGTGTGATGTTACTCAATTTCGTTTTCGATCTTGTGTTTTGAAGACTGTTGTTTGTCTTTTCCTCGTTTTTCTTTTTTAGCCATGGCGTTGTCAGTTTATTTTCGACTTATGAGTCTGAATGTCCCTTTTGTATCTTTTGCCCCTCTTTGCCATGGTGTTGTCAGTTTGTCTTCGATTCACGAGTTTAACGATCCCTTTGACATCTTGCGACTCTCTTGGATAAATTCTTAAAGGGTATTAATTAGCATCAATCTAACACTGAAGTCTGTCTTTATCGATATTAACATTAGTTTTGTTTTTTGAAATATTAAAACAAAACTAAATATATATTGCAGATAGTAATGAACACCTATGACTACATTATAGCTGTACCTATATCTTGGCATAGCACAATGTAATGCTTTTCTCAGAGTAACGTCTTTACACTTTATCAATTGAAAGTTAACTGATTGATATTTAAATCTTGGAAAATTAATTCATTAGTTGTAGCTGCCTTTGGGATAGCTATCAGTAAATGCAAGTACTTTGTGTCTTCTGTCTGTTTGTTTTATCTGTTCCTCGTCCAGATTTGATTAGTAAAGTCCTTTCTATCTGATTGTTCTGAGTGTTCCTATTTAGTGTTGTAACAACGCTGTGCCAGGTTAGTGAAAGAGTTGGGCGCTCGCACACATGTTCAAATCCGCCATATTCTGTCATGTAATCTAGTGGTGGTCGTTGATTGCAGTTTGCCATATTTGTTTTTCGCTCATTGTTGTAGTATAAATCAGGCCGTAGGTTTTCATTTTAAAATTGTTTCACATTATGTTATATCGGGGTCTTTTATGGCTTACTATATGGTATGGGGTTTGCTCATTGATAAATTTCCTATTGTCATCTGTAATTGTCAACATTAAAGAAATTTGGTTTATTGAATGTTGTGTCATTTGCAACCATACCAAATGTCTCTATTTATTTTTAATTACCATTGATTACTTTGACGCATATGGTTTAGCTAAATAGTATCAGTTTAATGTACTACAAAAGAAAACAGTCAGCATACTTTTATATGTTTTAGTTTCAAGGATGACTACATTTTGAAACCAGAAACATTCACTTCAATTAATTACTTGAAATATTTAACTTATTCTTAATGTTTACCGCATAGGCGTCATATGCTTGTTTTTCTACCATCAAGCCCAAAGCTTCCTCATTCGTCTTCACAATGCCATCCAGATTCTTAAATCTTAAATGAAAAGCGAACAGTCAGTCATTTATACAGAATGATCCCTAGTATAGAATTGAAATGTTGATTTTGATTTCGAAGAATATTATAATGCAGACGGAAAACGTTTGTCTTCTGAATAAAATAAAATATTACCTTACTTCTGTGTATATATATATATATATACCAGCACAGACTGAACATCCTGAATAGCCTGCGACGAAAGTCCCATAATGCGAAAAATATGAATGCTTATCCAGCTGCAGGTTAACCATTTATAGTTTTATATTTCAGAAGGTTAAACCAAATTGATACTTCATAACTTGTATAGAATTGATTTATGTAATGAAGTTTCCATCTGTAACAATATTTAGAATATGCTAGGTTTACATGTCCGTCAAATAGGGTTCACATAACTTTGGTTTCTTTTTATGGATCAGTGATTAAGGTTAAAAACTATATCTTAGATACTATGAGCAATGGGTCAATTATACTTTGTGTATGGAATGATTGTATGGTACTTGTCCTTCTTGCAGGGTTCATCTGTCCTTGACCTCGTCTTCATGGTTCTTGGTTCATTTTAAAATTTCGTGGTTTGGTCTTTTTTTCAGACACTATAAGCAATAGATCAACTATATCTGGTGTATGCAATGTGTACATGTTCATTTGGCAAGCTTTATCTGACCTTGAGCTCATTTGTATGGTTCATTGGTCAAAGCTAAGTATTTACTTTTTCTCAGATACTGTAAGCAATATGTTAACTATATATGGTGTATAAAGTGATTGTTAGGTCTATAGGTCTGTCTGGCAGGGTTAAACTTTACCTCATTTTGATTGCCCGTTTGTTAATGTTAAGTTTTTACTGTGTGGTCTATTTTTCGGGTACTTTAAGCAATATGTCGACTATCGTTGGTGTATGTTATGATGTTAAGACATAGATAATATGTCTGGAAGTGTTTTTCTGATCTTGACCTCATTTACAAGGATCATTGATAATGTTAAATTTATTTTATATCTGTATTAAAACCATTGTCTTAAAGACTTTCATCAAAAATTGTTTCATGGACAGTAAAGCTGTTTGTAGAATTATAAAAACGGAAAGAACTTAGTATCAATATAAAAATAAGGAAATCTGGAATGATTGACAATGAGACAACTATCCACCAAAGATCAAGATAGTAATGATGTTAACAACTACTGCTCACAGCCTTAACTAAACCCATACCGTATAGTGAGCTATTATAGGCCCAGAGGGAAACAAAATATGAAACCATTCAAAAGAGAAAACTAACAATCTGGTTAGCTAATAACATATAAAAATCACACAAAAAACAATGACAATAAATGGCAATAAACATTTCTATGACAAAAAAATAAATAAAATCATAGCTTACTGTTGAAAGTATTGAAAATCATTTGTCATCACCAGATCTATAACGTTTTCGTCTTCAGCAAATAGGTTTCCTGATATTTGTCTTTTCTTTCTTTTTCCTTTATCTTTCTGTTTTTCTTTTGCTAGTATATGTAGCGCCTCCTCAGATAATATGTCGTCCATCTTTAATTTCTTACTTGGTTCTAATACTGGTGGTAGCTTGTCATTGGGACATCCTTCTGGATCTAAACCTATTATTAAATAGAGGATATGTTAATGCCGTTGCTCAATCAACAGTTGTAAATATAAGTAGAAACTACCATTGCATAGTACCACTTTTTAGTATTTACTCTGGTCAAGACTACCATTGCATAGTACCACTTTTTAGTATTTACTGTGGTCAAGACTACCATTGCATAGTACCACTTTTTAGTATTTACTGTGGTCAAGACTACCATTGCATAGTACCACTTTTTAGTATTTACTGTGGTCAAGACTACCATTGCATAGTACCACTTTTTAGTATTTACTGTGGTCAAGACTACCATTGCATAGTACCACTTTTTAGTATTTACTCTGGTCAAGACTACCATTGCATAGTACCACTTTTTAGTATTTACTCTGGTCAAGATACTTGCAACTAAACAATCTTTACTTTTTTTTCTTTTATTCAATGATGTGTTTCTCCTACTCGTAGAAAAAAAGTAAAAAAAAAAAAAAATACCGAACTCGGCCAAGGAAAATTCAAAACGGAAAGTCCTCTATCAAATGGCAAAATCAAAAACTCAAACACATCAAACGAATGAAAAACAACTGTCATACTGATTTGGTACAGGCATTTCCTTATGTAGAAAATGGTGGATTAAACCTGGTTTTATAGCTAGTTAAACCTCTCACTTGTATGACAGTCGCATAGAATTCCATTATATTGACAACAATGTGTGAGCAAAGCAAACTGACATAATAGGTAAAAATGTCAAAAATTTGTGCACAGCAGTCAACATTGTGTTATAATCTTAATCACTATAAAACAAATAACTATTTTAACAAAGAAAAACAAAATGGCATATAGACACTAAATAGACAAAGTACATAAGCAAAAATGAAAGACAAGAATACAAAAATGAACATAGCACAAGAACACCATAGCGGGATCCATAAACCAAAAATAGACTAACCAGTAAAGGTTGAATATATACAAAGACAAAAAAGGAAAACTATACCACGTACTAAAATAATAAACAATGTCAGTACCTAGAATCTATGCTTCAAGACCATCATGTATTATTTGTGAAGTTGATACGGAATATTTATAAACAAGGTCTTGGTATCTTCCGATGAACTGTCTTAGAAAAAGGACGAGACGTTCTTTGACATAACCCTGGTTTATCAACTTTCTGCTCAGACACTTGTGACATTTTATAAAGTCTGAGTAGCAGCTGCAAGCTCTTAAATACCGAGTGAGTTGGAAAAGGTATATCCCATATGCAGGTGAAGTTAATATATTGCTGCTAAGGTGGGGGGAATTTATAATTTCAAAATTAAAATCGTCTCGTTTGTATTCTAAATTCTGGTACTGAGATGACTGTTTATGCAAAATTCGAGGTACAAGTCTAAAAATGAGGTGGAGGAAGCCGTGTCTGTTGTTTCTTTAATCTTTAATCTTTAGTTTTGGAGGATAATGAGTTTTTTAGAATCCACATATGGTTAATGCCACTTCGCGAGTAAAGAGTTTCACAGTATAAAACGAAAGATAAACGATTACTTGGCTTGCATCTAATATATCACAATAAACTTGAGATAAAATTACCGAAACTATTAAGTCTAACTCTTCTTTATATCATTGTTTTCTCTCAATATTGACACAGATTTCAAACTAAGATTTATGACAAACGTGAGGATTTCAACTTTCCTAATGTCAACTTCCCATTTCTCAACTAAATCATACCATCGGCCCTATAATATGACGTTTACATATCCTAATTAGAGCTATTTTCCTAATGCATGTAGTTTAAAGGTTTGGTTGGCTTGCTTGCTTTGTTTGTATAAATGTTTGCTCGAGCATTGTAATTAAGATTGACATTTGCAATCAATAGATAGGCGGGGCTTCAGCTTGTATACATTATACTCTGCATTATACTTAACATCCAATAACATTTAAGTATAATGTATACAAGCTAACCCCCCCCCCCCTATCTATTGATTGCAGATGTCAATCTTAATTACAATGCTTGAGCAAACATTTATACAAACAAAACAAGTAAGCCAACCAAACCTTTAAACTACCTGCATTATGAAAATACCACTTATACGGTAGGATTTCAACTTTCCATTTGTCAACTTACCATTGCTCAGCAGTATCATTCTCTCTGTCCAATAGTATGGAGTTTGCATATCTCAATTAATACGTTACGCTCGTGCATGTTCACACTATAAATACTTCTTTAACAGTGGTGTAATCCTTACAAAAAAAACTCGGACGCGGTGTGTCAGTGTAAGATCACCCCGACGGCCGGAGGCCGGAAGGTGATCTTACACTGACACACCAAGTCCGAGTGGGATAACTATTTTACATCCCAGCTCTTCTAGACTATATGAAAAAACATGTATGCTTCATAACATCTAGTTCAGAATGCCATACATTAATTATAATATACTTTATATATTACTATATAGTATATACCCTTTATCAGCCCCGGATACAATGTTTAAATGTGTTAAATTAACAGTGAGTTTGTATGCAGCCGTCCTGGTGTAGAGGTATGAATCGTGGTTTCATATACTCAAGGTCTTGAGTTCGATTCCCCGCATAGACACTGAAAATTTAGTGGATTTTGTCTACATAAATTTTGAAAGTTAGTCTTTATTCCGCATGAATATTTCTAAGTTTTATTGTGTGTTCGACATTCCCGCCAAAATGTTACAGAACAAAAGAAAGCATGCAGAACAAAGAAACTCAAGGTAGTGTGATCTGGTAGGGGTGATCCGACTCAGATCACCCCTGTTAGAACAAAGGAGTTGGGATGTAATAAGGAAGAATGACGAAAATCGTCATCATCAAAAATTGGTCAACCAATACCATGTGTCTGAGTATCAACTCACTAGCGAAATGTTTTCAATGTCGTACATATTTAGACCCAGATTAGTAGTACGACTGTTTTACTTTTTCTGGATTGTGGCATTTTGACTGTGGATTCGCATGGCAGTGATGCATGCATCGCAAGCGACACACCCGGTCTGTTTTTTTTTATTACCGTTAACTGTTTTTTTATTTCATTTTTTATATTTGAACATCGGTAAACTACTTTTGCCTCAAACCTAACATGAAGATATTCATATAGGTGAAGCATCCTGGCTCTTTATAATTTCAGAGTTATGTCCCTTTGTTTTTAGATCTTTTTGATATAATTCAGTATGTACCTTTTTTATGCAGCTCATGTGTTCTTCATCTTATGTTTATGAAAAGGAGGCAAAAAAAAAGATACCAAATGGATAATCAAACTCATAAATCGAAAAATAATTGTCCATACCATTGTCAAAAAAGATAAACGCTCAAAGGAAACCCAACAATATACAAAAGACAACATAGAAAACTAAAGACTGAGCAACACGAACCCCTCCAGAATCTCCTGATCTCAGGTGGTCAGGAAGGGTAAGCAGATCCTACTCCACATGTAACACCCGTCGTGTATAGAAGTGAGACATTCTGGTCCATTGACAAATCCCTGAAATATGCTCCTTTACACTTAGAAACTTTTGATCAGTATTTTGTCCTGCTAATCAGGCAGATCTAGTTTAATCCAGTAATAATAACTAACTCGCCGAAGAATAGTTTATCATCTTATTATTAATTTATTCAGATTAAATTGTTCCCAGCTGATAATGGGTAGTATCCACTTTTAACCCAGAATTAACGACAATTTTGGTCATTTTTACAACCATAATTCTTAAAATAAAAAAGTGTTTTTCTGTACAATTGTGATAATATCAATTTAGACTGATTAATGTTGCTCGTATAACGAGGACTCGGTGCATTTCTTTCTAGCTGTAACGGTACCACCCCTTTCATGTACTAGTATTTTTACAAACCTGGTACCCGTGCGTCATCTGTTCCGGCAGCAATAGTATCTTCAAATCCAGGAAGAAATTTAACATTATGAGGAACCACGTCTAGTGCTTTATCATATTCAGCTTTCTTATCAGCAGCAGATCCAGCTATTTCTATTAGCTTATCTTGTGTTAATAAGTCTCCGGTCTATATAAAAAAGAAGGCCTTACTCATTTGTTAACTTGTTCAATTACTTTTCGAAATGTTACTCGCATCATCTATTATCCTTCACTTAAAAGAGAGGGATAGAGAAAGATAAGGGAAAGAGAGATAGAAAGAGGTTGTATATGTGTTTGGGATATCATATATCAGGGAAAAAATGCATGCTTTTCATGTTCATATCACGGACTCGATTATGTAAAGGTAAGCTAGCTATAAAACCAGGTTTAATTCACCATTTTCAACATAAGGAAATGCCTGTACCAAGTCAGGACTATAACAGTTCTTTTCCATTCGTTTGATGTGTTTGAGCTTTTGTTTTTGCCATTTCATAAAGGACTTTCCGTTTTGAATTTTCCTTGGAGATCGGTATTTTTGTTATTTTATTTTTTACAGGAGTACTGGAACAATTCTTAATCACACAAAACTGTCAGGTATAGTGTGTGATAACATTGTGTGAGGGAATTCGATGTTTGCTATGCCACGGTTCATTTCAACGCACTTTTTGACCATACCACTATACCAATCAGAATGAATTTTTTTGCAGTGTTTTAAGAAATGATTTTACTTTGTATCCATGTATTATATAAGAAACATTATATGTTTAAAAAGGGCGAATTTTCTGCATAAAGTCAATAATTATGTAGACTTTTGAAGCACAAAATTTCTATTGCCTTAAATACGCAAATGAAAGATCCAAAAACTATACCAATACAGAACGACATGTTTTAGAGATTAAAGCAAAACTTTTGGTTGACAAATTTTTATTCGTTAAATGAACTTAATATATCTGTCACTTTCTCCCTACCCAGTTTACCCTTATTACCAGAAGTCCATTACTAGCTAGTAATGGACTTCTGCTATTACTTATTATGATGTGGCCGGTCATTGTTATTGAATCTTACGGAATTTGATTAAAATAAGATATTATTATTTTACCTTTAAACTGTTTATTTTATCATACACGTATATTGATTAAATCAGAACGTGCATGAATGTGTACAGTAACTTAAATGACCAACAAACTGGACACTGGACAAGTCCATATTATTTTTTATCAATGAAACTAAAGTTAAGAAAGGTAAGAATTGTCACTTTTTATATTCTCACAAAATTTTCCACATATAGAGTAGATAAATTACTTTTTTATAGCCCAATTCGGACAAAATAGAGAAAGTTTACAAATCAGACGTTTTATTCCATTAAACAAGTCATTTTTAGAAGAGAAATGCTGAAATACATTTTACGCACGGCTACTCCAGGTAAAATTTTTGTTTATCTTAACAAAAAAAAACATTTTTCATTCTCATTATAATGTTATAATTACAATTAATCCCATACAAGAGTATTCAGTAAATAGTCTAAAATCAAAATATGTCCGATCTGCTTTTTTTTGGACATCAAAATTCAATACGATCGTTCTAAGGTCAATTTTGTCTACCTCACAAAATCTTGTTAGGCACTATAGTTAGAAGTCCTCATTTAAGCTTTTCTTTAAATTTTGTATTGACGTACAAAATACTTAAATCTAGTTGCTCATTCTTTTAGATGTCCATCAAGTTTACCGGCGAAGTCGTTAATATCGAATTTTGAAAAAAAAAAAAAAAAAAAATTTAATGCTGATTTCGTCAGATAATGTGACTTATTATTTTAATATTAAAAAGTCATTTATAAATATTAGTAAATGATAGGAATTCTTTATATCAAATATTTCATTCATTATTAATATTAAAAAATCATTTTTTAATATTGATACATGATTTTGTAAAAGAATCAATTCCACAACGGCTTGCCATAATAGACATGCTAAGAAAGCCCAAACAATAGGCTATATATATAGTAGAACCTTTGTGACATCAGGCTATAGATATACTTAGAAACTTATAAGATTGATAGGAATGGCTAGATATTACCGAAAACTTTGTCAATATTTTCTTACGTTTAGGATTATTTACTAAATTACTTGGAAAAATGTGAAATTTACATAAACTGATCAATATGAATTTGCAGTTGAGAATATTAAAGCCATTTTAATGTCTTCTTTTGTTTTAGGTCCACATGACTTTAGTACACAATTTAAACTTGCAATTGATGCAATTCAAGGTACAGCTGGTTAACAGAATGATGAGGATGGTTTTGAACATTCTATTTGTTATTTTTCTATGACGTTTAATAAGCATCATATTAGTTATCTTGGTGTAATCAGAGGTGTACAGAATTTTACACCGTTGTTGAAAATTCTTACACCCTGAGGCGCAGCCGAATGGGTGTATGAATTTTCAACAACGGTGTAAAATTCCGTACACCCCTGATTACACCAAGATAACGAATTTATTTCTTATGAACAATTCCTTTACTCATTTTTAAACCAGGATGTACAATTGTACAATTGAAAAATGGTAATGAAAAATTTCCAGTGTAGCATTTTTTCAACGTCGATGTTGTTGCGCATTGTCAAATACTTTTTTTCTTTATTTTGGGGAAATTCAGAAATTTTTTGTGTTCTTTTCAATTTTTGTCCTCAAATTGTTTTTTTTTTACATTTTTTTGTTTTTGTTTTTGTTTTTTTACCATTTTTTTGTTTTTTTGACATTTTGGCAAAATTTTATTTATCCCGGGGTGAACAAGGGTGGGGTGCTATTTACACCGGGGTAATTAACCAATCAGATTGCAGTAAGACAAATGATCACCCTTTTGAGAAAAAAAAGATAGCATTATTAATTTTTTTTTTTTAATATTTTGATGTTTATTTAAATTTTAGTATTTTCTTTAATCTTATATACAGATATTAACCTGAAAGTAAAAGAGTTATTATATGTTTGTCTATGGACATGACAAACGGGTAATGGTGACGTCTGGCTAATAATATATATCATGGTATTTAAAACTGTCTTGTAAAACAATCTTACATCACAATATTAAAAAGTGGTTTATTTTTTTTTCTTATACATTTTTATCGAAAGTAAAATGACTACAGATTTAAAAGCTTACGATTTCGCATCTTGATGATGAACAGTCATTTTGGAACCGACATTTTACCATGATTGGAATTCTGATTCCATCCTCCTCGTAATAATACAGTGATGTAACCTAGCATAAACAAATATATAAATATGAATTTACAACAGAAGTAAGTGCTAAATGGTCTTCTACTAAATGACAATCCTGAACGTTTTTTTGATGTCTACAGAATATTTTCTTCCTCAGCAGACTTATAGCTTTGGAGTTGCATTGCAGTGACTGCACTGAAGCATTCTTTAATACGATATTATTATTTTAGCTTTAGTTTGTTTTTTCTTGTTAACTATTGACCATATGCATCATTTTTTTGGGGGCTAATTATTTTCTTCACTTTTATTTCATGTGCTGTTCAAAATAAACATTTGAAATAACGTTAAATGTTTCAATTTAAGACTTATTTTAACATAAGGGATATAGTTACGATACTGTTGTCAGGTCATTAAAGATTGCATATTTTGGCGTTAATATTGATTCACTTATAGGGTCTTTGCATCGGCACTAAACACATTTATTTAAAAACCAGTTGTTGGCATGACACGGGTTATGTTCTTCTCATATATGTTATGATGGTATGATACTAAACCCCTAACGGGAAGGATTGTGCCTGATATTCATATGATGAAGACATAATCTTTCAATCAGTTTAATTGAAGTCTGGAGCTGGCATGTCAGTTAACTGCTAGTAGTCTGTTGTTATTTATGTATTATTGTCATTTTGTTTATTTTCTTTGGTTACATCTTCTGACATCAGACTCGGACTTCTCTTGAACTGAATTTTAATGTGCGTATTGTTATGCGTTTACTTTTCTACATTGGCTAGAGGTATAGGGGGAGGGTTGAGATCTCATAAACATGTTTAACCCCGCCGCATTTTTGCGCCTGTCCCAAGTCAGGAGCCTCTAGCCTTTGTTAGTCTTGTATATTATTTTTAATTTTAGTTTCTTGTGTACAATTTGGGGTTTAGTATAGCGTTCATTATCACTGAACTAGTATATATATTTGTTTAGGGGCCAGCTGAAGGACGCCTCCGGGTGCGGGAATTTCTCGCTGCATTGAAGACCTGTTGGTGGCCTTCTGCTGTTGTCTGTTCTGTGGTCGGGTTGTTGTCTCTTTGACACATTCCCCATTTCCATTCTCAATTTTATTCTAACATTAAGTATCATATTCTTTATGAGGACACTAAATGTCATCGGTTCCGCCATAATTTGTTTGTCCTTTATGCCAATCGGTATTAAAACCGGGTCTTTGGTATTCTCCTGTAAATTTATTCACTGTTGGTCTAGACGACAACGTTAGGCATGGAAACTTGCCATGTATATGTAGATCATTCTAGTCTCAAGAGTATATGAGTGCATCGTTTTAAGTATTCGAAGGCTTGTGTTTCCTACCAGGAATTCTTTGATATAGGGATGATGTCTGCAAAGATCTTTTAAACCAATGGACCTTCGTTGTAAAGTTGCAGTCATGTATTTTCTAGTTTTACAAGAAAATTTACCATTTATGACCTTTATTAATATCATGGTCCGCCTATAATAGTAAGAGGCATTAGGTTTTTCGTTCTGTGTGCCCGTCGATCGGTTCTACATTTGCATTTCTTGTAAAAGTTTGTAATCCTTTCAGTTAGACATTTAGTATACTGAGATGTAAATTTTGATGGGATTTGTTTTTAAATATATACCAATTCAGGATTTTATTGTTTGTTGAAATGTAATAGTGTCAGCGGTGCATGATACATTATGGATATAAACATTGTTGAATATCAGACTGAAAGATGATTATGTATGGCAGGTCGTTCTCGTAAAAACTATGTTTAAGCCATTTCTTTTTTAATTTCACATACTGAAAATTATACTAAAAAACAAACTTAAAAATACAATTTGAGCATTACAAACTACGCATAGAGATTAAGAACAGTTTAAAAAACACACTGGGAATTTAGAATCAAACAATTTGAAAAAAAAACATCAGATATTGAGAATAATATTCCCCCATTGATATTAAAAATGAAAGACGAACACTGAGATTTGTGCGCAAATTTTATGCGCTTGATATATCTATTGAAAAGGGTATGCAATAATAACATTAACGGTACAAGTTTACTCGGCACCAGATGCGCACTTTCACAATAAATGTCTCTGCAGTAAAGCAATACACTAATACACTTGTGTGGCTACATGTGGACGTTTTCACTCAAAGGAAACTTCAGTATTGTATTTGAAGGTGACTGTGTAAAATCTGTGTGGGGTTAGAAGTGGAGGCTATTTGTAAATTTCAATTGTGCATGTCCGGGAAATTTCACATTTTAATTACTTATTTTTGTACTTATTGGGAAGAAAATTATCCCCCACCAAAAAATAGATTTAGAAGTTTATACTTTATTATGCGAGGGAGGACAAAGTTTTTTTTTTTGGTGGGGAAGGGGGGGACGGGTATTACTGTGGTTGTAAACGGAGAAATGGAGAAATGGTTTTGAGAAAAAGAAGAGGTCAAAATGTTATGTATCGGCTGGATAGCCTAGACAGTTTCGTTTCTGTGTTTATTTTTGTTTTGAATTCTTCCGGATGTCGATCCCTATCGACAATTTTTATATATAAAAGTGTATTTTGTGGAATAATCATTCTTAAATTCCTAATAAAGTTCTTTTCATACTTTTGACTAGTTAATCTTTTAAAAATAAATCTTCGTGTAAGCCTTACTTTGAAACCAATATTGGTATCTATAAATATATTGCTCAATCGTCAATAAAAGTAGAATCACTGAAAGAAATTAATGATGTTTTCAGGTGAGAACTTGAAACAAACACATCTTTAAGTCTTCCACAATCTACCCATTCCTTTTCACGCACCCTCTTTTCTCGAGTCTATTTCTACATTTATAGTCCCAATTCCCGAATTAATAATTTTTCGTTTTTCAATCTTTTCTCCTCACGTGCAAAGATTAGTAAGTACTTCGAAAACCATTGTTGGGGGAGGGGGTAAATGTCATGCCCGAAGGTTGACATTTTCCTAGGAATGATTAAATTAAATTTCAAACAACCTTCAAGCCATCTCTCTTCGATTTTGTGGATCTCAAAAATAAATAATAAACTGAAGTTTCATTCGGTTGAAAACGTCAATTTTAGCGTAACATGCAAAAACAAGAATGTTAGTTTATTATAAAATACTAATGTTCAATAACTACCCATTTAATCTCAAAACTCGAATTTTAAACCAAAGATACCCCTTCATAAACGAAAACAGCAAAAAGTTTGAAAGTCAAAGGTGCGTAAATCAAAAGCACAGATCTGCTAATGGACTTTGCTTATAGCTTACATTTTAACTTTTTGTTTCCTACCTCGTTCTTTCTTGTTTTTTTCTTCTTGGTTAGGTATCCGTATTCATCCTGTATAAGTAGAGGTATACTTTCTGTAGAAAACTGGTTATTTCTCGTCAGTTGCAATGTTTTCTTGTTATTTTTATAAGAAATAGGAAGAAACAATTCTTCCTTTAAATCACACGGAGCTTCATCAGTTTGTCTTTTGTGTCTTGTTTTATGTTCTAAGACATTGGATAAGTCTACGAAAGCATAGTCTGTAAAACAATTTGCTATTTGTGAGAATACCAAATGAAATCATGAATATTCATTATTTCCTAGAATCTTTAAAAGAACAATACAAGAACTACTAGCATTTGGCAAATGCTTGTTTAAAAATCAATAAATTCGATATTGAAAAGCTATATTCCTAATTTATTTTAAAATATACCAAAATATGTAAAAACAAAGAAGAAGAAAGAAGAAAGAATAATGAGATTGCGTGTCTGCTTTTTATGTACATTTTTTGAAATTATTCAATAAAAGCTGCATCTTCAAATGTTTTAACAAAATATATCGTCTAGTTTTCTTTCTTTCACATAGTTTTTAATTTTTAATTTTGTGTTGTTCTTTAAATACGGTAATAGAAGAATGTACCTGAGGACACGAATGTCCCCGCTCAAGCCTTGCAACGAAAATGGGACCGACGGAAAGACGGAAGGACGGACGACCAAGGGTAACACTTAATGCCCGTCGCCTACGGCGGGGCATAACAAACAAATGTGTTGACCTCCTGCAGCTTATGATTAAACAAGATCGACAGAAATGTTAAATATTTGGCACGTTTTCTAAAAGAACCGTAATGCTCATGTGTTCGCAAGAAAAAATCAGGTAAATATTGATAACGGTACCAATAATATTGAGTTAAAAAAAAGGAAAAAAATTACCTCTGTTGCAAACTTACGAAACTCAAAGTTTGATTTATTAGCATTTAAGGGGGTCGTATTAACTATATACTTAGCGATCTCTGATAGAATCAATTATTATGTAAGCCGAGTAAAATACCAAATACCTGTTGTAAAATATTTTCAATTACATACATTATCGTGTTTCAGTCGACTATAAGTGTACACGTGTCATTACAGCTTTTTTATATAATGATAGGCTGTCGCATATTGATAAACCTGAAGATCATAAAATACATTTAAAATAAAAATAAACAGATTCACAGATTCAACTTAGTTAGTATTTTAATAACTCTACCGTTCATTTTTTGTTATCTTATATTTGAACACAAAGAACACATATTTCATATTAATATAAACAAAATATAGAAATTTAACTTTTAATTATATATCAGATAAATCAAAAATAATGCTCCTTCAAAATGAAACTGTGAAAAGAATGAAATGATAAATTCTTCTACATCCCAGGCCGAGATCTCCACAGAGAGTCATTCAGAAGATAATCATATCATTACTATTCAGTAGCTTTTAAAAAAATTTAGTATGTTGTTGTTGTTTGAACAGATCTCAATTAACTGCAAGCGAATTGTCTGAACCGTACTGATTTACCGCTGTGGATAAACGTGAAAATTGACCGAAAGACTGAACATGACTAAATAGGTTCCTACTCCTTCATGCAATGTTGACCAAAATGAATTTTGTTATTCTTTTTATATCCCTTTTTTCATATAGCACCTCGTGTATTCAGGTGTGAATTTGGCTTTCAAATATAGGGTTCAAGCATTCCTGACGAAGGTTAATCTAGAAAAAAGCTTTGTATGCATCAAATTTATCATTTTTAAGTACCGAGTCGATACCATTTCTTGTTGGCTGCAGCATGCTAGTCCCGGTCGATGGGATCACCAGCTCAAAACAGGGTGTGCTTCAACAATAGAATGATTTACAACATACTCGAATTTTTTGTTTATAAAATAAAATTTTATCAAGAAACTAATTAAAAGCTTGAACTCCGTCAGACAAAGCTGACCTTAAATGAATGTGGTTATTCTTCTTATGTGTCTTTTTGTCGTGTAGTTCCTCACGTGTCGATTAGTATTTATACATCCTGAATTTTTAAGCCAGTTTGAGCGTTCCCGATTATGATAAATCCAGAAAAGCGATTCGGACGCAACAACTGTTCAGCCTCAAACGGGTGTGTCTGTTCAAAAGTCTTAAACTTGGGTAATAAGAGAGATTAAATACAAAAATATCAACAAAATCGAGTTATATTCAGCGAATATCATATAATTCACCAAAGAATTTCTTTCACCTGGCAGCTCAGGAAATTTCACCTTTTCTCAACTGTTTTTTTTTTCCTCGCAAATACCCCTCCTGAACATGATACACCTGTTCAGAACAACCAAAAGTTCCTCCCTTCTCCTGGTAATTACCGGAAGTCGTTTGTATTATTGAAAATCATAGTTATTTTCTATCGACTGCAGATTGCCGCTTTTATAAATTTTTCATGTTTCAGATTCCTGATAAATTGTTTAAAGTATTTTATTCATGATGTATTCGGTTTCATGAACAAATTCAGACATATCAGTCGGACTGAAAACAATGGTTACCCTAAAAATTTGAAAATTCTGCATTTCTACCTCCAAAGAAGGTCGTCATTGTATTATACTTGTTATCAAAAAAAAAGAAAAGTAAAATCACAAAAATACTGAACTCCGAGGAAAATTCAATCGGAAAGTCCCTAATCACATGGCAAAATCAAATGACAAAACACATCAAACGAATGGACAACAACTGTCATATTTCCTGACTTGGTACAGGCATTTTCAAATGAAGAAAATGGTGGATTGAACCTGGTTTTATTAGAATTAAAATCATCATATTCTGTTGCAAAAATGGCCGTGCTGAAAGCACAAAGTATATTATCCGTACAGAGTAACACGTGCAACTGTTTTAAGGGATTGTTGGACCTAGTTATATAGAAGTAGTATGCATTTTGTGTTTCAGAATATTAAAACTTTTCAAGGAATTTTAGATTTCGGTTGAAAATTAAACTGAATATATCAATATGATTTTCTGAGTAGATAATATGTAAGTTAGGGGACGACATTTGATATTCTGGGGGGGGGGGGGGGGGGGGGGGGGGGCAGGAGGATTTGTTTTGGATCGGTTATTTATTTTTGTAATCTAAGAGGACAGATTATCTATTTTCTGCACTATTGAAGCAAGATTTTTCATTTTCATTAAAGCAAGGGACTGATTATTTATTTTCACAACTATATTTATAATATTAGAAAACATACAATTTTTAAATTATTTGTTTATTATAAATAATACATGTATAGTCAAGTCATTATGTACCATTTAATCAGAATTAATTATTATCCTCTGCAGAAATGAATCTTCTATATTCCCAAATGCATATATACACAGTATTAAAGTTTGGTTGTAACTAATGCTCTTTTAAAAGTATTGGCAAACGTGTGTTTTTTTTTTTGAAGGGTTTTTGAACCGCTGAAGGCCCAAGAAGCTATAGAACAAATGATGCAAAATCATGCTTTCTGGGTGTTCCCCAGACCCTTTCTTAAATTGAAAATGCAAGTTCTGTTTTAATAATTTTTTGACAATATTTTGGTCTCAAAGCAAAATCACGTTATAGACTCAGTGTAAGACTTAAGTTTCTAGGGACAACATAAAAAGACAAATATGCATGATAAAGCAAAAATGTAATTCACATAGTTAAGTCTGTGGCTGCTGTGTTTTTTTAAACTCATGATCAAGTTAATAATAAAATTACTAAATTACAAAATGAATGCAACAATAACAGAATACAGAAGGGCAATCAATGAACAAAAGACAAATAAATAAGAAACATTGATCCCGAAAAATCAGGGGCTACGTCTGAGGGAGAACAGAACTTGCTTCTTGCAAGGCACTCACGGTGAACACAATTTGATATGGAGACAAGCGTTTGGTTTTGAAATTTCCTACATGAGGCATTTGTCTCAATGTAGTTACGGCCCTGATTTAATAAAAGTGAGGTAAGTGTTCCTGAGACAATTAACCTCAAGTTAAATGAAACCAATTTTCTGACATTTCAAGTATATTTAAATAATATTTATACTTTTATTATTAAAAGATATGAGTTATTTATTTTCAAAATCCTCCTGCCCCCCCCCCCCCCCCCCTCCCCCCCCCCCCCCCCCCCCCCCAGAATATCAAATGGTCGTCCCCTTACCTGATCCTGAATCCTGCATAAATTTTCCAAGGGTGCATACAATGTAACACAAAATAAGGAAAAGTTTCATGCTTAACTGTTTCAGAGTTAGTTGTGTTAATAATTCAGAATATTTGAGCATACCGTGTAATGAATTTCACATCATGCCTGTGAATTAATCAAGGCATTCGCATAAAAAAAGATCACAAATAATATTGTTTTGCTTATTGATTTCAGATGATATCAATAAGTTTATATAAATCTGGATAAGTGCATCAATGGTTTGCCAAAATAAATTAAAAAGAATTAATAACGCCTTCATTTTAATTTGGATCCTTCAAATTTGTTGATTGATTTATAATTGCTGATCACCGCCACTTTACGGACCCCTGGCTATATCATGGCGGTCAAGTTTTGTGAGGAATCGAGAGTACCAGGATAAAACCAAAGAACTTTCCACAGAAAACTGGCAATATCCTAGTCAATTAATATTCAAGTCAAACACACCTGCCATGAGCGGGGTTGAACTCACAACCTTCTGTGAACTGCTTAGACCACATGACCACCGCGGTCCCAAAATTTGAACCGATTTACTCTTAACTAAAATAAATTAAAAAAAAAAACATCATGTGTTTGTTTATCAGAAAAAAATATATCAATAATATTATGTATTATTTTTTTCGTGGGAAGGAGGGCTGAGATTGGGTGTATTTCTTACCATTTATGCGGGAGTATGTGATATGTAACCTTAAGCATAAACTATGGTCTACAGTAACTATAGAATTAAATACCAGTGGTCTACGAATTTGGTGGTTTGGTTGTAGCGTGTTTGCCTCTTAGTGTAGGAGGTCATGGGTTTGATCCTCAGCCAGGTCAAACATAAGACTTAATATAGTATTTGCTGTTATGTGCCAATCATGCGAGAAGAGGAGAAAGAGCAAATACTGATCGGCTCGGAGTCAGTTTAAAGGTGTTCGGGTAGGATGACATATACAAATAAAGAGTTGCGCCATGAGCGCATATACGCCTGTCGCTTTTTCAACGAAAAAGTTCCATAACTCCTCAATGCATATCAGAAATTTATATAAAAAAAAAACAAACTAAAAGGAGCTTATTTTAATAGACATAAACCAGTCACCAAAGCTTTATGAAAACTGCTCAAAGCATTTTGCGAGTTATTGTCCGAAAACTGGAAAATCATGGCCCCCCTTTTTTTACGAATAAAGTCCCAATACTCCCCGTTGAAATGTAATATCAGAAATTTTTAAAAATCGAAAGGGAACTTATGTCAATATATATAAATAATTCACCAACGTTTCATGAAAATTATTCAAAGCGTTTTTGAGTTATAGTCAGAAAACTGGAAAATACCCCATTTTTTTATGAATAAAATCCCATAACTCGGAAACGTAAAATCTAAAATTTATAAAAATCGAAAGGGAGCTTACGTCAATAGATATAAACAATTCACCAAAGTTTCATGAAAATTGGTTGAAGCATTTTTGAATTATTTTCCGACATGTTGACGACGGACGGACAGACAGACGAGCGGACAATGGTATACCATAATACGTTCCGTAAACGGGCGTATAATAAGATGTTGTATGATTGCCATTGAGACACCTCTCCACCAGAGACCAAATGACGTAAAAATTAACAACTATAGTGTCCTGCGGAAAGTTAATTTGTGAGCTAGCACGTTAAAAATCCCCGGCGGCTCAGCGTGTCGGTCATAGTAAAAACAAGGATTTGTATAGTAGTTTACTATACAAATCCTTGGTAAAAATCAGGGTTCATATTGATATCAAATAAATATGTTTTGGTCCTGATCATGAATGTGCCGATTTGATTGGCCACTAGATTTTCAAGGCCATCATCATCCTCACATATGAATTTGATTTATCATATAGTTCTGCATTTTCCAACGTCTTCAAATATGATAGTTCGATTGATATATGACTGCTTAATGTCCGGCGGCAAATATAACATGAAAGGAACTTGTAACAGAAAAATGGAGTGAAACAGTCACCTTACCCGGACATATTCATTACTTTCACTCATCAATTTTGCATGCTTGCTGCAGAAGCAAGAAATCATAATTTTTAAAGTATTCGATTTTGACAGAGTCCGCGGAGATCGAACACTCAAACTTTGGCGCTCGATGTTATATCGCTAAAACGAGACCACCGAAGTGGTTTCAGATGAGACACTCGAAGGCCACTGCAATGTCTTGAAACATTTGACTCGGCATCCTTCATTAAAAAACTCTAGAAATTTACAAATATCTTTCAATCAGCAGCTTTTAACAATTAGTATTCGTTAGTTACAGTTTTTTGCAATATATTTAAAAAAAAAAAATATTTTTTTGATATAGTTAAGGTTATTCACTCTGGTGGATTTTACCTCGGGGGAGGGGGGTGGGGGTGGGGGGACCAATTCCTTTATACAAGGTGATAGGACGTGCCGCTGGAATAGGTAACATTTTCCAGCTTAAAAATATGTGAATAGATGGGGAAAACTATCAGAAATATATGATAAGGTCAATAAAGTTCCATTTACTTGTTTACATATGAAAAGCCCTGTCATTTTATTACAGCCGAAAGTCTCGCCATAAGTAAACATTGCATACAGAATCTTAATTAGCCTTAAAAATATTCCACTTTTCCAACACACCACACGAAAGCCAACCAATATTGGAAAAGGTTACATTTTTACCTACGCAATATATGAAAAGGTATACAATTTTAAGATCTAAATTATATAAAAAGGGTGGGGTAACAGAACCCCAGCGACACCCGCTATCAATTAAAAATTGAAGTGCGGATAGTCCTATATTTTCCAATTAAAAAAATGTAAAAAAACATGTTTTACATATTAAAATTACTTGTGTTATTGCCTGAAATATAATACGTCTTTGTGTGTCCACACTGAAGTAATTATTTCCCTTCCTTGTTGTTATACATTTCCTGTTTACACCTGTAAATTTATATTCTGAATCATCGTCACATATTAATTTTGATTTGTAACAACATTTTATCATGTCATTAACAAAAAACATAACTAATGAAGTATGATGGCTTCCGAAAACAGAAAAATAACAGAAATACAAGTCGAGGATATTCAGAAGAGACGACATCCAAGTAAACACTATGTAAGTTTAGTGTGTCTTATTTTTATTTGATATATCGAGAGCAAACACTAAATACAATATATTCCAAGTACATGTAATCATGATAATAGTAATACACTTAGAACTTGTTTTAAGATCAAGTCCCGTTTCATTTTTTTTCAGAAAAGTACGCCGATGTTTATAAACAAAACTATAATTTACGGGATACACCTGAGATTACTACTGATTACTATAACACAGTTATAGTAGCCTGAAATTATACCATAGATTTAAACAGTACTATATGATAATATAATTTTAGAAATTGAGAGCTAAGTAATCAAACCTGCCAAATGAAAAAGAATTTGTAAATTGTGCAAACTTAATGATTAATGTAGAAGATGAATTTCACTGTGTTATGTCATGTACTGCATTAAATACATGTCATCAAGAATTAATGTTGAAATAATATATCTGGTTCCATCCTTTTCTGATCTATCTGAATTTGAAAAATACAAATTTTTATTAAGTTGTAATGATTTGGACATTTGTAAAATATTAAAGTAGATCAATGGAGTGTACAAGATGTATTTATAAACCAAATCAATCCTTAAAATAAGTATAATGGTATAATGTTCAAGTTGCTGCATTTTTGCGCCTGTCCCAAGGAATTTCTAGCCTTTATTATTCTTGTGTGTGTTTTTTCAATTTTGGTTTATTTGTATGGCATCCATCTCCCTGAACTAGTATACATTATTATTTAGGTACCAGCTGAAGCCCGCCTCTGAATGCAGGATTTTCTCGCTGAGTTTAAGACACATTGGTGTGTTTTCTGCTTTTTGGTCAGGTTGTTGTCTCTTGACACATTCCTCATTTCCATTCTCTAATCTAACATGTCTAAAAAGAATATGTTAGGGTCATGTGAATATGTATTAATGATTTTTCTTTATATATCACCAATGCAGATTCATTGCTTTTTAACAGAGTATGTATTTTTGTTAAAATAGGTTTATGTCATCAAAGTAATCTGGTCGGATGGATCTAGACATGTTATATACAGACGTTACAGTAGATTTTTTGACTTTCAGGTAAATATTATTCAAGTTTACTTATTATTCCTAGTCTATGTTCAAAAGATAAAAGGCAGTCAGTTGCAGTTTTGGATATATATATTTATCATCAATTATGTAATTAAATATGAGCACACTGTCATTCTTTTGTCAAAAATAAAACAAAAATGTACTCTTTCAGTTTATGACACTAGTATATTTTAAATTTTAGTTTTGGTTAAGAGAAATGAAGAAAAATAAAACCAAACAAATGTAAATGTTTTTCTTTTTAAGCTTTCTCTGTTGGAGAAGTTTCCTATAGAAGCTGGGACTATTGATCCCCAGAGAAGGATTATACCATTTCTTCCAGGTAAGAATGAAAGATAACAAATGAAAGATGGTTAAAGATAGCTTAAGTAATATTTGCTAGTTAAAATACCCATTGAAGATTTTTAAAGTTGATTTTTCAGTATTACACTATTGGAACTATCACAATTAAAAAGAAGTTGCAGAAACATTGACAGGTTGAATATCTTAAAGTACATGTGAACATAAAGGTGCAATATCATAAACTACATGTGTACATATAGGTCCAATATCTTAAAGTATGTGTGCACATAAAGATCCAATAGATTAAAGTACATGTGTACATAAAGGTCAAATATCTTAAAGTACATGTATACATAAAGGTCCAATATTTTAATGTAAATGTGTACATAAAGGTCCAATTTCTAAAGTATGTGTGCACATAAAGGTCCAGTATATTAATGTACATCAGGGCTCGACATTACCGTTTGTCGGACCCAATTGTCTGGGTCAAGTGAGAGTCGCCATATTAGTTGTGTAACGGGACAAGTGAAAAATTCATGTTATAAAACATGTAAAACTAAAAGACTTACCAATGCCTAAAACGTGAACTATTTTTTATTGATCATACGAAATCTAAATTCATTGATTGAACCAGGGGACTGTAAGTAAGGGGAAAGAAATCAATGATAAAACATGCTGACTGACGGAAGTTTTCATATCTGAAAATAAATCCAGAGAGTTCCAGGTCTTCAGAATTGCGATCTTTTGTATGTTTTAATCAGATGGGATTCGCAAGGTGTTTTTACACATGTATATTGATGTTTACCTGCGAGACAAAATCAAAATAAGAATTGATTTAAGAAAATTGTGATTCACTGTTGCAGCAGCACCCATATGACTATAGAATGGATATGTTCTATTCATCCTCATCCCTCCACCCTGGGAAATTTGATATAACCAGTTTATTTATGGTATCAACCAAAAATCAGAAAATAATCTCTGCACATGTCATGATTGTCCTGACTTACATGTGTACACATGAGTTGGATATGTTTAAGTACATGTGAACTTACTGATTAAGCATATGATATATTTTGTGTGATTATTTTGTTTACTATTATAAACAGGAACCTATATAGAAAACTTGAAATAGGAAACTACACTAACTTATATGTGTCTATTTATTGTTTAGTAATTAAAAGAAAAAAAACACAAATAAGATGATTTTGCATTTTCTTTTGTGAACATTCTTAATAGTACGGGTTTATTGTTCATTGTATATTATATTATTTTGAAGTAGGAAATAAAAACCTTTATGAAGAAGGAGGAATGGAAATCCTTATACTTATGATACATCAACTTTCATATTAATATACTTCTTAGAAAAATGATATGAAATATGATTAAGGAAGGGTTTTATGATGTACATACAAAGTTTCACTGATTAGGGATGAATTACATTTGTTTTGAAAATGCTTAACTGTAACTACATGTACTTCAATCCTCATTGAATACATCTTTTCTTTTATGCTACATGTATAAGAAGAGACCCTCCTACATGTATATGGACATATGTTAAGCTTTATCACCAAGTGTACTTTAGTGTTGATAATACACTTTTCACTGTCTATTTACAAATTATTGTTTACTTGTATAATAATAATACCAAAACAAAATAAAAAACATTGAAAGCAGTCAGTTGTTGATAGGTTTGGTGTAAATAACCTGATAGGTTCTGGTCATTAGTAACAAGACATTATAATGTCAAATTGATTGTTATATTTTACACCTATTTTCTGTGGTCAGATCAACATTAAATTTGATGTTGACGTAAATTAGTGTTTTACCATTGGCTCTCTTGTATAAGCTAAGGCATATAAAACACATCTGTTATTTTCTAATTTGTTTCGTATATTATGTAGAAGGAAGATGCCTAATAATTGTAAGTCTGTTTTTACTACCATTTTTTTGTTTTCAAACAAGCCTTTCATCTTTATTAAAACATAAACTTAAAGACATCATCCTCCCTAGCCTAAAGTTGAAATCATAATAGTTATTTTTGATACTCAAATTGACATCTAAATATTATGTTTGAAAAATTTTGTTGGTCAAATTTTATTTTCTTTTAGGTTAATTTAGGTGTGTTGTCCATAAGAATGTGAGGGTATACGTCTATAAGACATGACCCCAATGACATGGTCCAGTCAGAAAGGTTAGGTTAAATCTGATGCTTGTGTAGGGAGAGTGTAATGCTCTCTGCAAACTAAAGAACCCTTTCAACAACTCTTTGAGAGGTCAATAGCTCACTGGTTGAAAGCCAAAGTTTTTAGCCCTATCAATATACCCCCATTTACCAGTGGCACTTGTAATTTACAGCCTCTATTCTGGTTGACTATCTTTTTGGGTAAAGATTGCATGAAATGCAATCAAAACCCTATGGTTCTGACTTGATATCTATATCTTCCAAGGTTTTTTACTACCTTTGATAGTTCAAACAAAATAGTGCAGTGAAATGATAATTATTTAGATTTTATCCAGCCAATGTCATGCAATTTATTGATGATATGATAATTTGATATTTGAGTTTAAATATGGTGTGTATTTGAATTACCATACTTGTCAAAAAAACATTTTTTTATCCCCCTTTACACCGTAGTTGAGGGGGCATTAAGTTTTACCCTTGTCCGTCCGTACATCCGTACGTCCCAAAATTGGTTTCGGTTCTCTAACTTTAGTTTGCCTCAACCAAATGTTATTAAACTTATAATTATTAATCTTATACACAATGCTTATTACCACAAAACACAGATCAAGTTTGAATTTTGGGGTGTCACTTTTACCTTTCTAGGTTATGCCCCTTTACAAGTGGAAAAATTGCTGAATTTTTTGTTTCCGTTTTCTAACTTAAGTTTGCCTCAACCAAATGTTATGAAACTTATACACAAAGCTAATTACCAGAAAACACAGATCAAGTTTGAATTTGGGTGGGGTCACTTTTACCTTTCTAGAGTTATGCCCCTTTACAAATGGAAAAAATTGCTGAATTTTTCGTTTGTTCTCTAACTTAAGTTAGCCTCAACCAAATGTGTATAAATCTGTTATAAAATTAGGTTCAAATACAAATGTACAATCATGAACAAAGGAAGATAGCTCCAACTCAAATTTTTGATTTCCCTAGCAAAATACAATTCAATGTTTTATTTAAAAATTCACAAATTGCAAAATGAAGGCAATCTTTACCTTTCAGTGCTCACAAGCACTTTGATTTGAACATACCTATTGGATTTATTAATGCTGCTTGTTTTTGTCCTGACTAATGCATTAATTATTTGTCACCAGACGTTTAACAAAAAACAATCAATCAGTCAATCAAACAACCAATTAGACTGGTCAATGACCAGGAAACACCTAGAGGTTAACATCCAGTGTTAAAAACAGGAATCTTAACAATATCAAACTTTAAATGATTGGAAACTGAACAAGTTGGGCTAAATTAAACAGGCTATCAATGAACTACCATCAACATCATATTCTTCTAAAAGGGATCCTAATTTTGGACAGGCAAATAAACATGTGGCAGGGTTAAACTTGTTTTTTAGGTCTCAATCCTCCCACTTTTTAACCTTAATCATTATGTTGGTTTTCAGTCCTATAAATTACTGACAATTATTCTGGTGTGTTGTTGTTTGGGGGTTTTTGTTTCAAGTTATACCTGTTAGGATTCTAGATTTATCTGTAGTTTATATGAGCTTAAATTCTCTGAAACTACAAATGACAGTGTAAGAATATATACATCCTGAAAATGGATATTATCTCCACTGGCAAAAACTTCATATTTGTTTACTAGTATTCATTTATAATTCCATATATATAATTGTGGCATTTTTCCAAAAAGAAAAAGAAAAATATTGAAACAAATTTTTCAAAAATTATAGAAAAGGCATTGTTTAATCTTTAGCTATGTCTTAATGTTTGCCAAAATATCATTTTTTTTTTATGCCCCCGCCGTAGCGGACATCCGTACGTCCTGCAATTGGTTTCCGTTCTCTAACTTTAGTTTTTCTCAACCAAAAGTTATGAAACTTATTAACAATGCTTATAACCACAAAACACAGATCAATTTGAATTTTGGAGGCATCACTTGTATCATTCTAGAGTTATGCCCCTTTATAAATGGAAAAATTTCTGAATTTTTCGTTTCCTTTCTCTAACTTAAGTTTGCCTCAACCAAATGTAATGAAACTTATACGCAATGCTTATTACTACAAAACACAAATCAAGTTTGAATTTTGGTGGTGTCACTTTAACCGTTCTAGAGTTATGCCCCTTTACAAATGGAAAAATTGCTGAATTTTCCGTTTCCGTTCTTTAACTTAAGTTTGCCTCAACCAAATGTTATGAACCTTATACACAATACTTATTACCACAAAACTCAGATCAAGTATAAATTTGGTTAGCATCACTTTTACCGTTCTTCAGTTATGTCCCTTTTTAACTTTATATGATATGAAAGCGGGGGCATCATCTGTGTCCCATGGCACACATTCCCCATTTATTTTTATACGACCGCAAAAAATTTTGCGGTCGTATATTGGTATCACGTCGTCGTCGTCAGCGTCGTCCGAAGACATTTGGTTTGCGGACAATAACTTTAGTAAATGTAAATAGAAATCTATGAAATTTAAATACAAGGTTTATAACCAAAATCGGAAGTTTGGGATTGATTTTGGGGGTTATAGTCCTAACAGTTTAGGAATTAAGGGCCAAAAAGGGACCCAAATAAGCATTTTTCTAGTTTCCAGACAATAACTTGTGGAACGGTGTATGGATCTCTCTGAAATTATACCACAAGTTTCCATACGACAAAGGGATGGTTAGGATTGGCTTTTGGGGGTTATGGCTCAAACCGTTTAGGAATTAGGGACAAAAAAGGGGAAAACAAGGGTTTCCTGGTTAATGGACAATTAAAAAAAAGTACAATGTTACTTTTGGATTACCTCCCTTACACTGCTTTTAAATTATGTAAAAAGAAATGTTGTATTGTCTTGAGGTGATTAGCTGTCAATTTAATTTTAGAAGTTACTATTTAAAAATGCTGATTAAGGAATATTAATTTAAGCCATGATTATGTATGTCATTTTCTATTTTTTTTTTGGAAAAAAGGGGGGGGGGGGGGGGGGGGTGGTAAAAAAAAATTGGGGCGGGGGGGGGGGGGGGGTAAAAAAGAAATTGTGCGGGGGGACAATTTTTTCACATTTCAGATTTCAGAAATTAAAAAAAAAAAAATTGCAAAAAAACATGTTTTTTTTACATGTTTTTTTTTGTGGGGGGGGGGGGGGGGCAATTCGCAACAGCATAGTGTATTGCACAAAAGCAAAAAATTGGATATTAATTCAAATCATATAACCAATTCTAAGTTCTTTGACTACAGTTATTCTGTGTCAGAAACCTATTATGTGTCAAATATTTAATTATAATCCAAATTCAGACCTGTATCAAGCTCGAATATTGTGTCCATTTTTGCCTCTACTATTCAGGGTTGGACCTCTGCGGTCGTATCCAGCTGCGGTCGTAACCAGCTGTGCTCTGCAAAGCAATTTATTATTTTATATGTTTAAGTCATTATTTATAATATCAGTGACTGTTGTGCATACTAAAATTGGAATTGATAGTAAATAGCAAATACAAGTTATTTGTAGTATATTTATGTTTTTATAATACAGGAAAACGCGAAAATAAATGAAATTTATATAAAACGAAATACTGATTTTGGAAAAAAGGGGGAAGGCAAAAAAAAAATTGTCCTGTCCCCAAGTACCTATGGTTTAAGTAGTGGAAATTTTTTTATATTTTTCATTAAAAAAATTACAATTATTTGCAGGGAAAATATTTTTTGGTAGAAGTCATATAAGAGAAGTTGCCCTGAAAAGACAAGTACAGATTAGTGAATACTGTTCTGTAAGTACAGAATCTAAATAATGTTATCTGTAATAAGTGCTCTGTAACAATGTGTAATATAAACACATGGAGAACATATCATTACAATGTGGATATTTATGTAACAAGTAAAGATCATTTAACACTGTTATTACAATGTGGATATTTGTGTAACAAGTAAAGATCATTGAATACTGTAATTACAATGTGGATATTTGTGTAACAAGTACAGATCATACCAACTTGGAAACTGTAATATGTTTTCCCATTCATAGTTTATCAATTTCCTGTTAGCTGAATACTTATATATATTCTTACACAGAATGACCATGAATGAAATTTTTGTCACATTTTTCTGGGGAACAACAAATAAAGAGGTTCCTGAAATTTGTTATCAGGCTTCATGTTAACATGGTAATATACTGTGTGATGCATTTTCACATTTATTGCTTATCAACTTCCTGTTCACCTAATAATTATATATTCTTAAACATTAAGACGATTTTTTGAAATTTTCATCACATTAATGGCAGGAGCTACAATTCAGAGCATCTTGAAATTTGTTATCATTCATATTAGCACATTATATGATGTGATGCTTTTTTTACATCCATTGCACTTTAAGTTCCTGTTTATCTAGAACTTTAAGCGGGGGAAAACAAAAGTCAGCAGTTGCTCTCAGCTCTACTTATTATATTTTGCTAAATTTTGTTACCTCGAGCAGGGAAGACCTGCAATTTTGTCAAGATTCACTACCAAAAGTACCAATAAAAACTTAAGGCTAGACATTTTGAGGCATAGAAAGATAGGGTAGGTCCTGAAAACCAAAATACAAGTTATTTTTTATTTTGGCCCCAGATTGGCTGACTCACAGCACTTACAATGCTTCAATTTAAATTTCAGTGTGTAGTTTTATAGATATTTCAGATGATGGAGAATGAAGTTTAAAATAGATCAGCTGCTTCATCCATCATAACAGTTGATTATATATTTGGATTCATTAAATTGCATGGTGCAATGGGCAGTAAAAGCACATATTCTGTTCAGTTCCTCAATATGAAAATAAGGAGATGTGGTATGATTGCAAGTTCAAATAAGTGGATATAAGCAATTACAGGTCACTGTACGGCCTTCAACAATGAGAAAAACCCATACTGTATAGTAAGCTATTAAAAGGCCTAAACAGAAGTAGAAGTATAACCAGGTTTATAATGTATCATCATATTTATGAATTGAACCTATATTTCTATTCATTTATGCATTTTTTTCATTATCTTGTTGTGCAAATGTATTCATTACCTGAACACATGTCACAACACAATGGTCTTAACAACAATTAGGATTATACAAAAGATGTATAGAAGAATAGAAAATGGCATAAGTCATGACTAAACATTATTTTTTTCTTATCCTGGAGAATAAATCATGATGAAAGTCATGCAAAAAATACTCCAATGGGTAAGGGAAAGGTCATGACCTGAAAAACATTGACACAAAGTTTCCTTTGACTATTGGTAATGAAGCATCTGTTTAATTGACCTTGAGCACAGTACATTGTCTTTTTGTGACAAAAGTGACTTTTCTAACAAAAGTTCCCCTGGCAACTTTATTATTAACAATGCCATAATATCTTTTCCTGTTGGAACAAACATCTATATCCTTTATTCCGTTTGGAACAAACATCTATATCCTTTATTCCGTTTGGAACAAATACTGTGATATTTGTTCCAGTGGAAATAATATTCCATAATATTTCTTCAATTTGGAACATACATTATGAGGAACTTATATTTGATGACACATCCAGTAACATATATTTACTCTAAATAGAATTTCCAATCTCACTTATATGTAGATGGACATATTTTGTGCTCCTTGCACAGCTATTTATTCAGATTATTTTTTTTTCAAATTGCTTGGATCCTTTAGTTGTAATGAGTGATAATATTGGACTAGATTTTATGTTGTTGAAGTTGTAATAAAACATATGCATATAAAATGAGAAGTTAATGAGAGAGCAACCAACCTGTTGATCCCTTTATATGTCTGATACCATTGAAATCACTAATATACATTTTATTTCTCTGTTAGTTTTACATATGCTTTGTTATTGATGAAAAATATTGCAGCACAAAAACGTTGTGAAAAAATTGTGAAAAAATTGTTTGTGAAAAAAAGTTGATATGAAAATTTTTTAATCATTTGAAAGAAAATAAAATAAAGTGTTGGATGTCAGCTGCTAAATTTAATTTTGATATAAATGACTTTCAAAATGATCCAAAAACAGAATTATGGAGATTAAATGGAAAATGAGATAAAAATGTTTGTTTTACATAAAATACTTATAATAAAGTATTCAATTTCCTGTAAGGGTGGAATTTTGAGAGAAAAAAATATGATATGATGGAATATGAATAATATCCTGTTAGTTATCTTGAGAGTTTTTTTGTACATCCTAAATTCTGGAAATTATTTCTAGTTTACTGATGAATGGACTTTATTTTTTTACAGTTAACAAGTTGATAGTCTGGGGTTAAAGTTTGTTACACATCAATTACTTTGTCAAACATTCACAGAGATTTATGAAAGTTTGGCAGAATTTTTTTTTGTAATGAAGAGATAATGTCCGAAGAAAACTTTTGAAATATATTTTTTCATTGTCATTTTTTTTCTGATAGATGAACTTAGTTTTTTACAATTAACATTTACAGACAGTCTGGGATTACAATTTTTTGACATGATAAATTTGTAAACCTTCATGGATTGTTATGAAACATGGATAGAAGCTATAACCTTCTAGATCAAGAAAGAGCAATTAAATGAAAAAGTTTGAATTTTATTTTTAAATTCTGTATTTTAATGATAAATTGACTCACTTTTTAAGTCAATATTACACTTTTACACTGACAGCAGTAATCAAGGGCAGACACAGGGTTCTGCGGACCCCTTACAAATTTTTTAATTAAACTTTGTCATAACAGATGATTAATGATTTGGTGTATTAAATTATTTCTTTAAGAATCAATTGCTGTAAATTCAGAAATTATTGCAAGGTTTTTGTCGAGCCTGCTACTTTTGTCGCAGAAAGCTGGACATAGGGATAGTGATCAGGCGGCGGCGTTAACTAACTTCTTAAAAGCTTTATATTTTACAAGGTGGAAGACCTGGATGCTTCATACTATGCATGTAGATGCCTTATGTTATGAAGTTTCCGTCTGTCATATGTCCATTGTCCTTGACCCCATTTTCATGGTTCAGTGACTACTTTAAAAAAAAAGGGAAGATTTTTTGTAATGTTTATTTCTCTCTTATTATGAGTAATAGGATAACTATATTTGATATGTGCGTACCTTGCAAGGTCCTCATGCCCATCAGACAGTTTTCATCTGACCTCGACCTCATTTCATGGATCAGTGAACAAGGTTAAGTTTTCGTGGTCAAGTCCATATATCAGATACTATAAGCAATAGGTCTTCTATATTTGGTGTATGGAATGATTGTAAGGTGTACATGTCCAACTGGCAGGTGTTATCTGACCTTGACCTCATTTTCATGGTTCAGTGGTTAAAGTTAAGTTTTTGTGTTTTGGTCTTTTTTTCTAATACTATATTCAATAGGTCAACATATTTGTTGTATGGAATGATTGTAAGGTGTATATGTCTGTCTGGAAGGTATCATCTGACCTTGACATCATTTTCATGGTTCATTGGTCAATGTTAAGTTTTCATGGTTAAGTTTGTTTCTTAGATACTATAAGCAATAGGTCAACTATATTTAATGCAAAGATTGATTGTAAGGTGTACATGTCTGTCTGGCATGGTTCATCTGACCTTGACCTTATTTTCATGATTCATTATCATTGGTCAATGTTTAGTTTTCCTGTTTAAGTCTGATTCTTAGAAATTATAGGCAATAGGTCAACTATATTTGGTGCATTTAATGATTGTAAGGTGTACATGTATTTCCGGTGTGGTTTTTCTGATCTTGACCTCATTTTCTTGGATCATGTTAAGTTTAAGCGATACTTTTAGTAAAGCTTTATATTTAGGACTTTCAAAATAAAATCAATGGTTAGTAAAGAAGGCGAGACAGGTCCATATATAACGTATTGACTGAGTGAAAGTCCTTAATTTATATATTACATATGTAAATCGTGTAAGTTTAAAAATGATATTGACTCGATGTTACTATTTTTGGAAATGATATTGTCTCTATATTACTACTTTTAGTAACATGGAGTCAATATCATTTTTAAAATTTGTAACGTGAAGTCAATATGTCAAAATAGTGAAAAAATACAAAATATATATTGGGAAACACGTGACCAAATAAACCAATGAGAAACAAGAAACATCAAACCATATGTAATATATATCTGTATGTAGCTTTTCCGAAAATTCGCAATTATCAAACTCACATTTTTGTTCATTCTTCAAACATCTCAATAATAAATGCACGCAATATTTTCTAAATTTACAGTAACACTTTCTAACTTTCACATTTGTTTTCCTTTTCTTTCCTCACTGTTTTTATCTTTTACTTAAAAGAAAGTCCATGTATGCATGTTTTTTAGTGAAACTTAGCCATTCCAGAATATAAAACATGTTCAACTTTTTTTTAAATTTGAAGAATCATATAACTTTAAATATCCACAAAAAGATAAGTTTTCCTTAATTCATGAAAATTTGAATCCAGGAAAATAAATGAATCCACAGTAGTTTGTTTGGTATTTTCTACCTGTTACTTTTTCATGATTTTTAATGACATTTTACCTTAGTTTGTTTTGTAGTTTCCATTGGTTAATTATTTTAGTAAAATGTATACATTCCTTGGAATCTTGAGGTTAAGAATGGGAACACTATAAAGGATTGTTTTCTCCTTGGAATCTTGAGGTTAAGAATGGGAACACTATAAAGGATTGTTTTCTCCTTGGAATCTTGAGGTTAAGAATGGGAACACTATAAAGGATTGTTTTCTCCTTGGAATCTTGAGGTTAAGAATGGGAACACTATAAAGGATTGTTTTCTCCTTGGAATCTTGAGGTTAAGAATGGGAACACTATAAAGGATTGTTTTCTCCTTGGAATCTTGAGGTTAAGAATGGGAACACTATAAAGGATTGTTTTCTCCTTGGAATCTTGAGGTTAAGAATGGGAACACTATAAAGGATTGTTTTCTCCTTGGAATCTTGAGGTTAAGAATGGGAACACTATAAAGGATTGTTTTCTCCTTGGAATCTTGAGGTTAAGAATGGGAACACTATAAAGGATTGTTTTCTCCTTGGAATCTTGAGGTTAAGAATGGGAACACTATAAAGGATTGTTTTCTCCTTGGAATCTTGAGGTTAAGAATGGGAACACTATAAAGGATTGTTTTCTCCTTGGAATCTTGAGGTTAAGAATGGGAACACTATAAAGGATTGTTTTCTCCTTGGAATCTTGAGGTTAAGAATGGGAACACTATAAAGGATTGTTTTCTCCTTGGAATCTTGAGGTTAAGAATGGGAACACTATAAAGGATTGTTTTCTCCTTGGAATCTTGAGGTTAAGAATGGGAACACTATAAAGGATTGTTTTCTCCTTGGAATCTTGAGGTTAAGAATGGGAACACTATAAAGGATTGTTTTCTCCTTGGAATCTTGAGGTTAAGAATGGGAACACTATAAAGGATTGTTTTCTCCTTGGAATCTTGAGGTTAAGAATGGGAACACTATAAAGGATTGTTTTCTTCTTTTTAATTTTTTGAGGAATAAATTCTGCTATTTCAACCTCTTGTACTCACAATAATAAAAATTTCAGATGTCAAAATGATCATACAAACTTTGAATGGATTCTGTATTGCATTGTCTGTTACTTCAAATGATGATTTCGTCCTGAATATGCATTTAATTTGCTACTGGACGTTAAACAGTCACCCATCCATCCATCCATCTAAAAGATAATTCTAGATAGATGTGTCATGATTTTCTGTAATGAATTTTTTTTCAGGCATTAATAAGACTACCTCCACACATAGCAGAGGATGAAGAGTTGATAGATTTCTTTGACCTTGAACCTGATGACCTCAACCCAAATGAACTTGAGCAGTAAGTTTGAAAATCTTTTTCTGTATAGTTTCAGTAACTAAAGTTTGCAGTTAAATGAATGTCTTCACAAGTCCAATCAAGAATCTGCAAATGATTTATACATATATATAATTTCAGAATTTACTTTGACCTCAAGTCTGATGACCTTTAATCTCAAATAAAAATCTAGAACATCTTATGCAAAGTTCAAAGACAAACAGATATTTATTTGTACTGAGGCATATGAAAGAGTTAAAAGACCCAAATATTCTTTAAAAAAAAAATCTTTGAAATTTATTCATTTAGAAGCAAACACATTTTATTTTGCATTTGGAATAACTTTCATGTTAATTTTATCCCTGGTATAAATTAAACTTTTTTAAAGTCTTGTGTATGACTTGAAATTCATTGATACAGTCATTTTTATGTAAATTTAATGTTAACGAAACACTGAAGTTTTTCTAGCTCCTTGCATAGTTTAACTAAGCCTGATTTGGCACAACGTTTTAAATTCTGCTTTACAGATGTTCTTGAACTTCTAAATCATTTGGCCTTCCAATTGTTTTGGTTTGAGTACCACCTGATCATTCTTATTTAGATGAAGTGGGCATCTGGTATATTGAATTATAAGTCTGCATTATCTTTAATGATTTTTTACATATAAATGGTCAAAGATATATTTCTGTTAATATTGATCATGATCAGGTAAATTTTTTTATTGCCTTAACCAGAGTATGATTATAGTTTATCTAAGGTAAACACAAAATACATGTTCCAGGTATAAAAAGAAAACTTTAATAATAAAGTTACTCTGAACAATACATGCTTTGATATTTTAGACATATTTTAAAAGTCTTAAGTTTGCATGACTTCAATAATAATAAACAAGACGTCAATGATTTTGATGTAAATAGTATTCTGTATGTAAAGGATTTCTGTGAAGGGGGTCTTAAATTCAAATTGAAATGAAACGACATAAAATTAAAGGATGAATTATATATATTTGTTACATTTAAAGTCTGCTTTTGACTGTAAACATAAAGGCATTTAATAAATAAAACTGATTTTCACTGATTTCAGTCAATTGATGCACTGGGATACTTTTTTTTAAAAGGTGTACATTGTTATCATTTTGTAGGGTTTATTAATCTTGAAAGTAAACATCTGATTCAGTCATGCTTTTAAAAACAATGTTCTCCGTGATGTAAAGACAGATCAGTTAACTATGCAGTGATGTAATAAAAGTGTAATTTATATCCTCCTTAGTATGAAAAGTTACATAAATCAATTAAATAGAAAGGTTTAATAGATACTACCCAAAAATATATGAAAAAATGTAAAAATTGTACGTGAGTAAATGTTGAATCAGTCAGGAAGCACTACAGTATACTATTATATAGTGAGGAAACACTACAGCATAGTATTATACTGTCTTAAACTGATAAGTAGGGAAAGTAGGAAGTCTTTATAAAATCTCATGTGTGTTACATTGTATATTGTGGTTTTATGATATCTTATTGCTTCATGTATAGTAAATATGAAAGACAAATATGTGAGGAAGTTAATGTACACATGACGAAAGTATGAAGGGAGTAAAAGCTTTTATGTGTAAAATTTCTGGAAAACATCCTCAGGAGGACTTCCTTCATCAAAATGATATGTAAGTTCTAAATCATTATTTATGAAGACAAAATTTTTTCGCTTTCTTATGTAAAAATTTTGGGTGTGGGGGTTACGTGAAAAAAGAAAATTGGGGAATATTTCAATGAGACAGCAATCTCTAACTTATCTCTGTGTCCTCGGCATGACTAGAACAAATATAAAGGTGTTTATCTTGTCTGCCAACCATGCATTCAGCATATATAAGAACGGGGCTTATTCTGAATAGGAAAAAAACTCTGTGTGAGTGGAAAGTGGGGAGGGTGTAAAAATTATTTTTGCTCTATATTAGTATTTGATGAGATTTTTATGCCCCCGCCGCTAGTCGAAGGGGGCATTAAGCATTGCCCTTGTCCGTCCCGTCCGTCGGTTGCATATGTCCCCAAAATTGGTTTCCGTTCTCTAACTTTAGTTTGCCTCAACCTCACTTTTACCGTTCATGAGTTATGCCCCTTTATAAACGCGAAGGGGGCATTAAGTGTTACCCTTGTCAGTCCCACCTGTCAGTCGCGTACATCCCCAAAATTGGTTTCTGTTCTCTTACTTTAGTTTGCCTCAAACAAATGTTACAAAGCTTATACACAATGCTTATTACCACAAAACACAGATCAAGTTTGAAATTGGGTGGCATCACTTTTACCGTTCTTGAGTTATGCCCTTTATAAATGGAAAAATTGCTACATCTGTCGTTTCCATTCTATTACTACCAAATGTTATGAACATTATGCCCCTTTACAAATGGAAAAAATGCTGAATTTTTCGTTTCTGTTCTCTATCTTAAGTTTGCCTCAACCAAATGTTATGAAACTTATACACAATGCTTATTACCACAAAACTCAGATCAAGTATGAATTCTGGTAGCGTCACTTTTACCTTTCTTGAATTATGTAGTTTTATAATGTTAAATGCAAGCGGGGGCATCATCTGTGTCCCATGGACACATTCCCCATTAATTTTTCTTTTAGAACTCTGATTTAAAATATAATTAATTTAAGGATATTTCCAAGATAATCAAAGTGCTCATACCTCAATACCATATTAGGTTATCCTTATCATTTACCTTTAATGTTTTTCTCATGAATATTTTAATTTTGATATTTTCATATAATCATCAGTATACATTTATTAATTTCCTCTTATATAGAATAAATGTGAGAGAAGAAAAAAAACAAATGTTGTCTTGAGGCCAATTTGAACAGGTTAATATCATCATTGATCAAATCATTCATTGATGTTTTAATTATGCATTGAGAAGACTTGAATGATTCAGCATTACATGTATACATGTCCAATGTATTTGTCATTGGCTAGCTAATATTTTAAGGCTTGTCTAGTATATTTAGGATTATAATCAACTCCTTGTAAAATCATTTTTAGGCCAAGTTAAGGATACACAGAAATTGCATTATATTTTATCTTAATTTGTCTTCTCCATAAGGAAGTGATTTTTACCTGTGGCAGGTAGAACAGAGAAATAAATATTTATTTACATAAGATTTAGTGTGTAATGGAGATTTTATAGTTTGTTAGAAATGTTAATATATGTACAAGTTGTCAATCTGCATTTATTTTAACATAAACCAGACAATGCAAATCCTTTCATCTTTGAAGCCTTTTGAAGTTTAGTTGATAAAAAGACAATTTTTACTTTGATTCATTTATGTACAGGTGAAAAATATCAAAGTTTCTTTTTGAATACAACATTAATTTTAAGAAAATTATGCATTGTATGCAGTTTGAATTTATTTGTTACTGAGTATAAATGTATAATTTTTTGTCTCCCTCTAACTAATACAAACAAAAAAATGAATAAACAAAGATTTTTTTGGTTTTTGTTTTAACTGATTCACTCCTACATATGTCCGATGATATATAATTTAGTACTGTTTACCTTTTTTTACTTTTTTATTACGTAAAAAATGAAGTTTAATTAATTGAGATAAAATAAAGAAGATCTGAATTTCATAGGTCTTTGTTACTCTATATGAAAATATCAAGTCTAAACAAACCTTAAAATCATTCCGCAATTGAAAGTTATCCATATCAAAATAAATGTCCAAGATAATTTATCGAACAACCTGTTATAAAAATGAACAAAAATAATAAAAATAATTTATGATAAAAATAAGTGAAATAAGAAGATATTAAATAAGTAACAAATATTTAAGTTTCCAAAAATCCTTCATCAATATCAGTCACCAAATGTGTAAAGTGTTGACCATAGTATATACTATTTCTTGTTAGAAATGACAGAATTGTTGACCAATGGATATTGCTAATCATCCCAAAAATATTAAATATTTTCAAAATAACCTAAACTTATTATGTCATAAAACACATATATAACATACATTCAATATAAAAATGACTAAATTAGCAGTTATTAATCCAGAGATTATCTGTAATCGGCTGGTTTATTTATTAAATACATGAAAGTTTATGTCACAAGAATATGAGATGTCTGGAGGGTGGTGTTGTGACAGACTGATGGATAACTTAGTAACACCAGGAACATATACCCTTCTGTATACCTGTATCATGATGAAAACCACTGGCAAAACAGCTTTTGGAGAAAAGTTTGTTATCATTAAGTGCAATTTTACCACCAAAAATGTTGTGTAGGATACTTGTGCCCTGTGGATACAGTGAAAACATCACAATCATCAAAGTCGTGCATTTAAAATAAGAAATTTTAATTAAATAAAGGGATAGTAAGTGTGAAGAGATACAAATTTCAGAGATGAAGTGTGAAAATGAGTGAGGATTCTTCTGTTTTTCAAATGTTATCATTTGTTCTGTGTAGATCTTTATGTTCACGGTAAGAATGCTGGATAATTTGTTATTTGTCAGATAAACTTTTAACAAACACAGTATTTACAATGGTTTTATTTTGGATTCATTTGAATCTTTTCATACTGATTTCATTTTTTTATCGCAAAAGCTCCTTAAAAACAAATACAAAGTAATTTATCTTTCATTACATCAACAGTAACCAATGTTAATCTGGCTATATATGTTATATTCCGCTGTTCACCAAGGAAACACCAACATGTTGATGGAGAAAGGAATGTAGTGTAGAAAACCAGTGTTTTCCAATAATTTTTCAATTATTGTTTGTTTCTATACCCATAAAGTCAACAAAAACTAATATTTTTTAAAATGATGATGAATTTTAAGTATAGAATCTTCTATTCAGGATAAATATAAATAAGAAGATGTGGTATAAGTGCCAATGAAACAACTCTCCATCCACGTGACAATGTATAAAAAGTTCACAATTATAGGTCAAAGTACGGCCTTCAACACAGAGCCTTGGCTCACATCGAACAGCAAGTAGATAAACTTTTATGTGAATTGATATGTTGATATAAGTAATATATCTAGAGTGGAGAACATGTCTCCTTTTGTGCCAAGAAATGTTTTGACAAAATATGGAAATGATTCAAATGAGCCCTACACTTATCATTTAGCCTATATTGGTAATCAAGATTAAAAAATCTGATTGATCTTGAAACTTCGTGATAGTTCTTCCAGCAATATACACTTACAATATTAGCTAATTTTGGAGAAGTTATTATAATAAATTTTTTATGTGCATTGGTCAGCCTTGTATAATGGGCACAGAAATGCCAAATCCCATGAATTTCACTTATCCCTATAAATTCATATATCATTGAAAATACATTATCATCGTAAGATGATGGGTGCACCTAGCTCCTGCCCTTAAATTGGAAAAATATTATTTTTTTGGTCATTAAACATGTAATTTGTTTGCCTTGCTCTGATCTTCAAACTTGTTAATGTCATAACCACACTAACCTCAAATCCTAATTCTTTCATGTGTAATTTGTTGGATAAGTTTTGTAGAATTCGTAATCCGAGATCAGTGATCTTTGGTATGTAGGTTCAATCTTTTCCTGAATAAACATGAAATATTTGCCACTGGATGGAAAGCAAACAACAATCATTCTAGTCAGAATATCACAGGCAGGGCTTTATTGCTTAGTAAATTTTTTTTTCTTCAGAAAACAAAAGCAGAAAGCGGAGACTATTTCTGGTCCAACCTTAGCCGAACAATATATTGTGATAGCAGACTACAAGAAAGCAGATAAATGGGACTTAAATCTAAAGGCTGGAATGGTCTTAGAAGTTATAGAGAAAAGTGACAGTGGTAAGTTTTATAAGACAAACGACTTCTGAGCTTATAGTGAGTGTCATATAAATTGGAAAAATATATTTTGAAGGAGATTGTTATAATCTGTATTGGCCCTTTCTATTACTGGAGATAAAATAAGCATTTTGAAGTTGCTGATGTAGCTTGTCTGTATCTAACTTGTTTCTTTGACTAAATTAGTTTACCAAGTAGATAGATTTTAAACTCCTTGTATTATAAGTTACACAGTGTGCTAGTGACCTAATAAGATATACCGGTATATGGGGTCAGTAAATTCCATATAGGGTTAGAGCGAACCTCTCACCCCATATGGAATTTACGAACCTCTCACCCCATATGGAATTTACTGACCCCATATATATCGTATTAGGTCAATAGCACACTGTGTAACGAATTTATCTTACCAACTATCTTAACATGTGGCATTTTGACTAGTGGCCTATCAAAGTGATCAAGTCTTCAATATAAAGAACCTACTTCCATTGGTCTGTACAAAAACAATTGCAAACAATAACAACTTGTAAGCTTTTATTGTGTTTTCTGCATTTATTTCAATCGTTCATAATCAATTTCTTCATATTTGTACTGGCGAAACGTTTCAGATGTTTCCTCAACGCCTAGTTGTTTTTATAAAGGGACATAACACCACTTCTAACCATGTATTGAAATTAACCACACAACCTATCCCCATATTAAATATACACGGTCTCTACACGGTTGCTTTTAGCCAATGATATTCCTAGAAATGTATAGGAGGTAAGATAATGATGTATATGGATGGAGGGGGTTTAAAAATATCTTTGATTATATTAGTATTTGGTGAGATTTTTTTCTTTTAGAATTCTGTACTTAAGGGGGTACCCAACACTTTGACTAAAACAGATGTGGCTCGTTTAATTTTCATAACATTTTGACAAAATATTTACTTTGACCTGTTGACAAAAATATAAAAATTTCAAGAAATTTGAACCACACAATTTACAGGAATGATTTCATTGGTTATATAGCAGTTCGACAACCACCAATTTTGATCATAGCATGTGATTAAAAGTTTCAGCTGATTTTGAAAGAGTTAACTCTCTTAGGTGTTCTGTACCCCTTTAAATATAATTAATGTAAGGGGATTTAATTTAAACTTGCTTCATTGACTAAATTATTTGACCAAGTAGATAGATTTTATACTCCTTATATTGTGGTAGGAATGATTCTATGACATTAAAATTAGATTTTCCAATATACAGTGAATATGAAACAGGAACACTTGCATATATGCATAAACTTTTTACAATTTATATCCTTTTTAAGAGAAATGTATAGTAATACTAACTATGTCACACCTTGTTAACAAGATAAAAATGATAACAATTTTTATCTATTTTTGTCAAGTACAATACTTTAAATTGTTAAATTTCTATGTCATATGTTATCATCTAAAATACAAGGAACAAATATCATGAGATACAAATTTTAGATTCTTATAATACAAACCATTGTAAATTTCCTGGCTTCCTTATTTTGATTGTATATTGATGACTGGGTCAGCAGTTGAATTAAATGGAATATGAATCAGATGGCAAGTAAATATTTGATATTAAGGAAATATTAAGTTTATCTTTCAAAGAATTTACGGCAAAATACTGCATTAATCAAACTTAGATGCTTTTAAAATACTTTTTATATGCAATTTTTGTGTATAAGTGGAGTTTACAATCCAATGTTTTTATATTTGCCTGATCAGAGTTTTAATATATTACATTGTGTAATAATTGAGCACAAATTATGGCATTGATATTAGTGAATATTCTACCTAGCAGATTATCAAGTTGCCAACATTGTAATTGCATAAGATATTCTGCCAGAAGCATTTTTATAAGGCCTAAATGAATACATGTGTTTCAGCTCTCCCTACCAACCCTAGTTTTAAGTGGCTACGTTAAAGATTTTTTATTCTATTTTGGACAAACACTGTTCAAATATTTTGTTCATCATGATTTGGTTGCCCATTAAAGAATATTTGTGTTACAGATGACACAATCATTATCTCGTTTCTTGTTCATGACTCACCAACAATGTGACAAATCATCTGATGTTTACATGTTATGAGTAACACTATAGGTGCCACTAGTGGAGCAGGAATTTATAACACTCCCTATGAACCTGAGTCCTCCCTGGATATAAGTAGGGTTCATTTTACTCACCTTCTATTCACTTTTTCATTTATAAAGATTTTGGCCAGTTATTTGTACATGTCTTTAGTTCTTTTGGTCCTTGTGTTATTTGTACATGTAGTTTGTCTTTTGTTCTTTTGTCCTTGTGTTATTTGTACATGTAGTTTGTCTTTAGTTCTTTTGTCCTTTTGTTATTTGTACATGTAGTTTGTCTTTTGTTCTTTTGGTCCTTGTGTTATTTGTACATGTAGTTTGTCTTTAGTTCTTTTGGTCCTTGTGTTATTTGTACATGTAGTTTGTCTTTTGTTCTTTTGTCCTTTTGTTATTTGTACATGTAGTTTGTCTTTTGTTCTTTTGGTCCTTGTGTTATTTGTACATGTAGTTTGTCTTTAGTTCTTTTGTCTTTTATTCTTTTGGTCCTTGTGTTATTTGTACATGTAGTTTGTCTTTAGTTCTTTTGTCCTTGTGTTATTTGTACATGTAGTTTGTCTTTAGTTCTTTTGTCCTTGTGTTATTTGTACATGTAGTTTGTCTTTAGTTCTTTTGTCCTTGTGTTATTTGTGCATGTAGTTTGTCTTTTGTTCGTTCTTTTGGTCCTTGTGTTATTTGTACATGTAGTTTGTCTTAAGTTCTTTTGTCCTTGTGTTATTTGTACATGTAGTTTGTCTTTAGTTCTTTTGGTCCTTGTGTTATTTGTACATGTAGTTTGTCTTTAGTTCTTTTGTCCTTGTGTTATTTGTACATGTAGTTTGTCTTTAGTTCTTTTGTCCTTGTGTTATTTGTACATGTAGTTTGTCTTTAGTTCTTTTGTCCTTGTGTTATTTGTACATGTAGTTTGTCTTTAGTTCTTTTGTCCTTGTGTTATTTGTGCATGTAGTTTGTCTTTAGTTCTTTTGTCCTTGTGTTATTTGTACATGTAGTTTGTCTTTAGTTCTTTTGTCCTTGTGTTATTTGTACATGTAGTTTGTCTTTAGTTCTTTTGTCCTTGTGTTATTTGTACATGTAGTTTGACTTTTGTTCTTTTGGTCCTTGTGTTATTTGTACATGTAGTTTGTCTTTAGTTCTTTTGGTCCTTGTGTTATTTGTACATGTAGTTTGTTTTTAGTTCTGTTGTCCTTGTGTTATTTGTACATGTAGTTTGTTTTTAGTTCGTTCTTTTGGTCCTTGTGTTATTTGTACATGTAGTTTGTCTTTAGTTCGTTCTTTTGGTCCTTGTGTTATTTGTACATGTAGTTTGTCTTTAGTTCGTTCTTTTGGTGTTTGTGTTATTTGTACATGTAGTTTGTCTTTTGTTCTTTTGGTCCTTGTGTTATTTGTACATGTAGTTTGTCTTTAGTTCTTTTGTCCTTGTGTTATTTGTACATGTAGTTTGTCTTTAGTTCTTTTGTCCTTGTGTTATTTGTACATGTAGTTTGTCTTTTGTTCTTTTGGTCCTTGTGTTATTTGTACATGTAGTTTGTCTTTAGTTCTTTTGTCCTTGTGTTATTTGTATATGTAGTTTGTCTTTAGTTCGTTCTTTTGGTCCTTGTGTTATTTGTACATGTAGTTTGTCTTTTGTTCTTTTGTCCTTGTGTTATTTGTACATGTAGTTTGTCTATAGTTCTTTTGTCCTTGTGTTATTTGTACATGTAGTTTGTCTTTTGTTCTTTTGTCCTTGTGTTATTTGTACATGTAGTTTGACTTTTGTTCTTTTGGTCCTTGTGTTATTTGTACATGCAGTTTGTCTTTAGTTCTTTTGGTCCTTGTGTTATTTGTACATGTAGTTTGTCTTTAGTTCTTTTGGTCCTTGTGTTATTTGTACATGTAGTTTGTCTTTTGTTCTTTTGGTCCTTGTGTTATTTGTACATGTAGTTTGTCTTTAGTTCTTTTGTCCTTGTGTTATTTGTACATGTAGTTTGTCTTTAGTTCTTTTGTCCTTGTGTTATTTGTACATGTAGTTTGTCTTTTGTTCTTTTGGTCCTTGTGTTATTTGTACATGTAGTTTGTCTTTAGTTCTTTTGTCCTTGTGTTATTTGTACATGTAGTTTGTCTTTAGTTCGTTCTTTTGGTCCTTGTGTTATTTGTACATGTAGTTTGTCTTTTGTTCTTTTGTCCTTGTGTTATTTGTACATGTAGTTTGTCTTTTGTTCTTTTGTCCTTGTGTTATTTGTACATGTAGTTTGTCTTTAGTTCTTTTGTCCTTGTGTTATTTGTACATGTAGTTTGTCTTAAGTTCGTTCTTTTGGTCCTTGTGTTATTTGTACATGTAGTTTGTCTTTAGTTCGTTCTTTTGGTCCTTGTGTTATTTGTACATGTAGTTTGTCTTTAGTTCTTTTGTCCTTTGTGTTATTTGTACATGTAGTTTGTCTTTAGTTCTTTTGTCCTTGTGTTATTTGTACATGTAGTTTGTCTTTTGTTCTTTTGGTCCTTGTGTTATTTGTACATGTAGTTTGTCTTTTGTTCTTTTGTCCTTGTGTTATTTGTACATGTAGTTTGTCTTTTGTTCTTTTGGTCCTTGTGTTATTTGTACATGTAGTTTGTCTTTAGTTCTTTTGTCCTTGTGTTATTTGTACATGTAGTTTGTCTTTTGTTCTTTTGGTCCTTGTGTTATTTGTACATGTAGTTTGTCTTTAGTTCTTTTGTCTTTTATTCTTTTGGTCCTTGTGTTATTTGTACATGTATTTTGTCTTTAGTTCTTTTGTCCTTGTGTTATTTGTACATGTAGTTTGTCTTTAGTTCTTTTGGTCCTTGTGTTATTTGTACATGTAGTTTGTCTTTTGTTCTTTCTTTTGGTCCTTGTGTTATTTGTACATGTAGTTTGTCTTTTGTTCGTTCTTTTGGTCCTTGTGTTATTTGTACATGTAGTTTGTCTTTAGGTCTTTTGTCCTTGTGTTATTTGTCCTCCTTTGTCAAATGACTTTTGATTGACCCTTGACCCTTGGTAAGTTGTTGTATTTTTTTGTCTTTATTGACTTTACCTCATGAAATGATAAGGACACTACTTTCTCGCTGATACCATAATGTGAAAAAAAATAGTGTCAGTTACACCACTTGTGCTATTTTGTAAATTTAAAGTCACATGAAACCAGTTTCTAGTGATTATAATTTTAAGGAAGTAATTCAATCAATGCATGCATATATACTAAACTAAGTCTTATGTGCATGTTTTTTAACAGTTATTACAAATCTGTCGACAAAAAAATTTTGATTCATGGCTTATTGATTAAAAAAATTGGATGCTCGACCTCATTTCATGGGTCAGTGATCAAGGTTAAGTTTTCATGGTCAAGTCAGTATCTCAGATACGAGAAGCATTAGGTCAATATTTGGTGTATAGAATGATTGTAAGGTGTACATGTTTGACTGGCAGGTTTCATCTGACCATGGCCCCATGTTCATGGTTAATTAGTCAGTGTTAAGTGTTTGTGTTTTGGTGGGTTTCTCAGATACAATAAGCAATAGATCAACTGTATTTTGGTGTATGGTATGATTGTTTTGGTAATCATGTATGTCTTGCAGGATTTTTATGACCTTGAACATTTATCATGGTTCATTGAATAGTGTTTTGTGGTTTGGTCTATTTCTCACTTACAATAAGCAATAGAGCCACTATATTTTGTGTATGGAATGATTGTAAAGTGTACATGTCTGTCCCACAGGTTTCATTTGACCTTGACCTCATTTTCATGGTCCATTGGTCAATGTTAAGTTTTCATGGTTTTGTCAATTTTTCAGATATTATAAGCAATAGGTCAACTATATTTGATGTATGGAATGGTTGTAAGGTGTACAAGTCTGTCTGGCTGGGTTCATCTGACATTGACCTCATTTTCATTGTTTATTGATCAATGTTATTTTTTCATGATTAGTATGAAAATAAGGAGATGGGTACAATTGCCAATGAGACAACTATCCACCAGAGTACAAATAAGTGGATATAAACAATTATAGGTAACAGTTTGGACCTTGACCTCATTTACATGGATCACTGATCATGTTAACTTTATGTGATACTTGTAGTAAACCTTGATATAACAGGCTTTCAATATAAGTTAAATGGTGATAAGTAAAGCAGGCGAGACATTTCAGTGTGTGCACTCTTGTGATATTTAGTATAACAATGGTACTTCTCATTTTTACATCGCGATGACCTTGGGGTCATTCAGATGTATTGCTATCGCCTAGATTTCCATTATGTAAATTAGTTTTGGGTTTGTAACCGATCTATAAACATGATAAATATGCGCACATAAACGAATGCAAAATAACATTCCTTATCGTTTGATATAAATACATCTCTTCAATAAATACTGATAAAAATATTTTTGTTTAAACAAGGAATTATTTGAATCTGGAATAATTTTGAATTCTGGAAAATTGATGAGAAATATATGATGAAAACTAACCCAACTAAATAGGGTTAGCCATGCGCGCATCGCTAAGGTGGGTTAGTTAGTTCATACTGAAATGATAGTGAAAGTAAAATTAACCTTAGCCATGCACGCATGGATAACCCTATTTAGTTGGGTTAGTTTTCATCATACATTTCTAATCAATTTTCCAGAATTCAAAATTATTCCAGATTCAAATAATTCCTTGTTTTTACAACATAAATTAATAATATGAAAATGTTTTGTAGTTAGATATATATATATAAGTAAAAAATCATTGATAATATCAATGCAGACGTACCGAAAAATTGTGTTAAAGCATGCGGAAGAATATCTCAGAGAACTTTTTGCGAGGACCGGTAACTCTGTAATTGTTTTTGCGGGAAAATATGAATGCCTACTCGTATCCAATCTTAGAAAAATCGAATTTTTACAGAAAAGTGTCCACCATGTTTACTGATTTGTATCACTACAATATAATAGTTATTACGGTGAAGTTGAATTTCCTGTCATTTATTCATCATCCACGCACGAACTTGTCTCAGAAAAAAATATATCTCTGTACATTAACCTCAGTTTCAGGTAAAGAGATATGTTGTTTTTTTCTGAGACAAGTGCTTTTGACCATCCTCAAGAACTTGTGGTCATCCGATGTTCAGTACTTCAGTACTTTGATTATGTTTGATATATATCAGGTGGCCAGTAATTATGTAGTCTGTACATAAAAGATTTGACGTTACAAACTGTTTCTTCATCAATGGACAGTGAAAAGTATAGCATAGAAATAGAAAAAAGATAATATCAGAGAAGTCACTAATTTTATTTTGTTGTAGGTTGGTGGTTTGTTAATGTTGATGACAAACAAGGATGGGTACCAAGTTCTTATGTGGAAAGGAAAGATGGACTCAGGGAAAATACAGCAATTAGAACTAATTTAGGAGAAGGTAGAGAGATTTTGATGTACAATTAAGCTATTAAATGTTGTCATACCAATAAGTTTGTGAATTTTTAACGACTTGATTTAAAAAAAACAGACAACTGCTTAGTAATATTTTTCACATCATAATTTTTTGAAGGGGGAGGGTGTTCCAACTTGAATTTATCCACTGCCTAATTATTACACACAAACGGTTTTAGTAGAAATAAAATGTGATAGTAACAAGGAATTATTTGAATCTGGAATAATTTTGAATTCTGGAAAATTGATTAGAAATGTATGATGAAAACTAACCCAACTAAATAGGGTTAGCCATGCGTGCATGGCTAAGGTTAATTTTACTTTCACTATCATTTCAGTATGAACTAACTAACCCACCTTAGCGATGCGCGCATGGCTAACCCTATTTAGTTGGGTTAGTTTTCATCATATATTTCTCATCAATTTTCCAGAATTCAAAATTATTCCAGATTCAAATAATTCCTTGTTTAGTACACATAATGGTGAAAGTAAATGTCTTTTCTGAAAACATATAGGTGGAAAGAAATTATTATTTTAAACATTTTTTTAGAAATTTGATGTGATTTACATTAAAAAAAAACAATTTATGTTTTAATTCTGAATACTACACATTAAAAGTAATAAGAACACCATTTACAAATGACCTCTAGTCTTTATGTTAGATTTGGATATTCCAGATGAACGGTACATAAGTACAGAAAACTATACCCCACAGAACTGTGATGAGATAACCCTAGAGAAAGGAGCTGTTGTAGAGGTTCTAGAGAAAAACTTGGATGGTTGGTGGTTTGTCAGGTAGGGGAGATCAGTTATTTCTTTATAGAGCATGAACTATTTGTATTTTTTTTAGAATGAAATATTCATCTTAACATCAAAACATCGAAATAAAAAATTTTAATTTGCAGTTTGAAAATTTATTAAAATGAGAATTATTATCCATCAATTTAGATATGTAGAAAGGATTTATGGGAAAATCTGACTTTTTAAAGGTAATGCTTTCAATAAATGTTTGGGAAGGAAATAATAAGCACTCTACAGTTTTCGGGAAATTGAAACATTATTTTATGTTTATTAACTTTCAGAAAATGTAAAAATATAAAAAATGCCAAGGATGAATATTTTTAAAACAATCAATTCCCTATTTTTTTTACTTGAAAATGATTTTTTTTTTTATGAAATCCCAACATCCAATGATATATAGTTTAAAGTAGTGAAGTGAAAACTTGTCCTTAAAAAATATTTTAAAGAGAATAAATAACATTGGACCAGTTTTTTACCAAAATATTTAAGATATTTTGGAATTTGTTTCCAATATTTACAAGTGAAACCAGTGGCTGACCAAGATAAATGTAACCACTTTGTGACCAATTAGCCAATGTTTTTAAGTGCAGTAGACAATGTGTTAGACAGATAGCATAACAAAATGGTGTAATTTTTTATACCACATGTTATAAATATGTCAACAATGTGACAGTTTGATGATAATCATTGTTTGTGTGGTTAAACATTAAGTCATGTTCCCTGAAAGGAAAAAAACTCGCTCTTACATACTTTTAAATATGTGCATGGCCAAAGGCAAATTGAACTTTTAACATTTCATTTTTATGACATAATGTGTTGTTAAAGTGTAATATAATCATAAAAGTGAGTATTTTAATTGAAAAAAAACTTGATTATTTAAGAGAAATTTACTCTATGTTAATACAATTTAGGACTTGTTTCATGGTAATAAGTTCAATGGGAGTATGTACCATGTCCATTAATACTTGTTTTACAACATCATTTAGAGTCATAAACTATGCCTGTTCCTTGTTTGATATAGACACCAAAGCCAGAGAAAGTTAATGTTTGTGTCTAAGGTGAAGTCCACATTTCCCAAAATTGATAACCTCATTTCAAATTATTACTTTTGTAAAATTTCTATTTTACAAAAATGAAAAGGGAATATTGGAATTTAACAAAGTAAAAATGGGATATTATTCATGAGCAAATCATCTTTTCATATAAACTTGTTTGATACTCCTCTGTTAATGAAACTATTGGTGCCTACTAATCATTGAATTTGCCTGTTCATTGAACTGTCCATACTTTGTATCTGTTTTTTAAAATTAAAATTCTCTTATAAAGCCAGTGCCAATTTCAGTGAGTATATGTAGTATCTTATGGAATTGGCTACCCCCTATTTTATTTTTGTTTTAAAGATATTTGGGTTTCCATTAGCAAAACATGAACTTAACCATATATCTTCAATTGGTTTCTGGAATAAATTTTATGGCAGAAGTCTTCAACTGAAATTTGAACGTGACCCATCACTCATTCACTTGTAGGTCCAATGTTCATTTTACTACATGTATTTGTGTTATATGAAAACAAACTTTCAACAGATTTTTTATCTGATTGAATCCATTGAAGTCTTTAATTCTCAGAATTCATAGTCGATATATCTTGATGTACTGCTATCAAAACAAAGTTAATAGAACTTTCATATATGCCTTAAGAATAAATCTGATTTCTGTGGAATACTAGTTTTCTTGATTTTATTTCTTATTTACATGGTTAATGAAAAACATATTTTGTGGAAAGGAGCAATGTGTTAACACCAGAAAGATTGAAAAGTGGTACCCACGATTAATTAATGGATTTTGTTTGTTTAAAATCCATTGGCAAATATTTCATGTGTATTCAAGATGAAAATAAGTGAATACAAAGTAGTGTAATTATTTACAGGTCTAATGGTAATGAAGGTATAGCTCCGAGTACATACCTAATGAAAACAGAGAAAGCTCACATAGAACGTGTAGCTCGTGCTTCAGGAGTACAAATCATTGGTAGTATGAGTGATGTCAGTGATCTGTTGCAACATTCCACTAATTCTGAACCTGTGGCCGACAAAAGAGGCAGTGTCCAACATATCCTAAAGAAACAGAGATCTTTAGAAAGAGGTGGATCATTACGACCTCCACCTAGGTTAAACTCTGTAAATAAGGTTAGTTCTAAAAATAAATAATAGTAACCTCTGCTATTGCTAAACTCCATTTCTTAAGTCAGGTTTAGGATATACTGGAAAGCAACATTTAATTTTTGTCTCACCTGCAACAAAAGTCACAGAATGGGAGACATAAGGATCACTATCTGCTGGCGGCGTTGTAAATATTAGTATTAAGCTTTATAATCCAGAGGGAAGAAGACCTGGAGGATTCATTCCTTTTCTACTGATGCCTTATGTTACAAAGTTTCTGTCTGTCATATGTCCATTGTCCTTGACATCATTTTTCATGGTTCAGCCACTGTTTTAAAAAAAAATAGATATTTTGTCATGTAAATTTCTGACTTATTATGAGAAATAGGATAACTATATTTAGTATATGTGTTCCTTGCAAGGTTAACATGTCCATCAAATAGAGTTCACCTGAACTCAACCTCATTTCATGGATCAGTGATCAAGGTTAAAGTTACATGAGTAGGTCCGTTTCTCAAATACAGTAAGAAGTAGGCCAAATATGTTTGGTGTGAGGTATGATTGTAAGAGGAACATGTCAGTCTGGCAGATTTCATCTGACCTTGACCTCATTTTCATGGTTCATTGGTCAATGTTAAGTTCTTGTGTTTCGGTCTGTTTTTCTAATACTATAAGCAATGGGTCAACTATATTTGGTGCATGGTATGATTGTATAGTGTACATGTCTGTCTGTCCTTAACCTCATTGCATGGTTCATTGGTGTAAGTTTCAGTAGTTAGGTCCACTTCTAAGATACTCTTAGCAATAGGTCAACTATATTTGATGAATGGAATGATTGTAAGGTGTACATGTCTGTCTGGCAGGATTCATCTGACCATGACCTCATTTTCACGGTTCATTGGTCAATGTTAAGTTTTCCTGGTTAAGTCTGTTTCTTAGATACTATAATTAATAGGTCAATTATATTTGATGGAATGATCGTAAGGTATACATGTCTGTCTGGCAGGGTTGATCTGACCTTGACCTCGTTTTTATGGTTTATTGGTCAATATATTAAGTTTTCATGGTTTGTTCTGTTTCTTGTATATTATAAGCAATGTTAAGTTTATGTGATACTTCTAGTAAAACTTTATCTTTAGGACTAACAATAGAACATAAAATCAATCATGGTTAGTAAAGCAGGAGAGACATGTAAGCCTTTGTACTCTTGTTCTGATTTACAAGATTCAAACTCCCCATGTTGTGAGAAGAGGTGGTGCAGTTACATAGAAACTGAATTAGTTTATTTTAAAAATTGAGTATTAATTGCAAGGCATGCAAATTTAGGCTTAGTGCTGAAATAGTTTATTCTGAGAAATATTATACTTCACACTTGGTCCTTGTCATTTAAACCAACATTTTATGTATTGTAATGCTGCATCCACAGTAAAGTTGTGTAACCATAGCATTCAAATAGTATAGTTGTGTTAAGAATGTATGAATGATGATGCATTTTCAAAAAAGATTCATGTTTTCTTTAGATCTAAGCCCATTTCTACTTTCACAGAATGGTTGGTTATTTTTTAATAATCAATGTGTGATTCATTTGATTTGAGTTCTTAATTGGTCAAAATTATTTTATGACATCTTGCATTACTCTAACTTTATTATTGTGACGTCAAAAAGAAGGAGACCATAGCTGATGACGTGGCACAGAAAAAATACAATCTTTTTTAGAATATTAAAAAAGAAAGATAAAGGTTGCCCAAATATTGACTAAAAGTCATTAGAAAAATAGATTTAACCACCATATCTGGTGCAGTTTGATATTTTTTTTTCACTCTACAGTTGAATTTTAAATATTTAAACGACCTGACAAGCCTCATATTTTAAATTTGAACAAAGTGTTTATCAGTCATCAGAAAGACAGTTAAAAATGTAGTAGACCTTTTATAAATATAATTCTTTATATGAGGGTAGTTTATTTGTAAGTCTACTGCTACATTAATCATTCACACAAATATCAACAAAAACTACAAAAATATCAACAAAAACTACAAAAATATCTCCATTTAGGCATCAGATGAGGTGATGAGGTCACTGAAGAAGACAGAAGACCACTATGTTACAATCTCAGAGTTTGAGGACAATGTTGGAGACGGAATATCATTTTTCACAGGAGAAATTGTCCAGGTTTGTTATTATATGTTAGAGAAATATTAATCTAGGTACTGTTGATTCATTATCAATAGTGGGGTACCAAGTTTATTGATTTCATGGGTATAGGGAAACCATCAATTGAAATGTTCAACCAAGAATAAATTTTAATTTTTTTTAACAACATAATTTTAGAGGTAAATGATGATAAAAGAGACAGGTAAAGTAAATGAAACAGCAAAGCAACAAAAACAAAGAAAATCTGATAACATCCAGTATCTCAGACAATGTAGTAAATGAGCTCCTTCAAAGAGAATACTTTTGAGATTTGCCAGAACTGAATAAAATTGAAAATAAATTTAGCATTACATCCTCCTAGTACAATGAAGTACATTTATAGCTTGTTCTATTTCAGGTCTTGGAGAAGTCAGACAGTGGCTGGTGGTTTGTTAAGATAGATGGTAAAGAAGGATGGGCTCCTGCTTCTTACATAGGAAAGACACATATGAATGGTATTGAGGAGGTAATTTTTAAGATCCAAACATGTTGATGAGTTATTTTTCTATATAATAAACCTTTAGATTTGGTCAAAGTCAGAACTTTGACAAACAATAAGATATACTAATTTGACAAAAATAATGTATGCTCAGAGCCAGAATTTGACAAAAAAAAGGTATGCTCAAAGCCAGAATTTGACAAAAATAAGGTATGCTCAAAGCCAGAATTTGACAAAAATAAGGTATGCTCAAAGCCAGAATTTGACAAACTTTGAGGAATGCTCAAAGCCAGAATTTGACAAACTATAAGGTATGCTCAAAGTCAGAATTTGACAATCAATAAGGTATGCACAAAGCCAGATGGTTTCAAATTATACGGTATGCTCAAAGTCAGAATTTGACAATCAATTAGGTATACTCAAAGCCAGAATTTGACCAAAATAAGGTATTCTCAAAGCCAGAATTTGACAAAATTAAGGTATGCCCAAAGCCAGAATTTGACAAACTTTAAGGTATGCTCAAAGCCAGAATTTGACAAACTATAAGGTATACTAAAAGTCAGAATTTGACAATCAATAAGGTATGCACAAAGCCAGGATGTGACAAATTATAAGGTATGCTCAAAGTCAGAATTTGACAATCAATTGGGTATGCTCAAATCCAGAATTTGACCAAAATAAGGTATGCTCAAAGCCAGAATTTGACAAAAATAAGGTATGCTCAAAGCCAGAATTTGACAAACTTTAAGGTATGCTCAAAGCCAGAATTTGAAAAACTTTAAGGTATGCTCAAAGTCAGAATTTGACAAATTTTAAGTTTTGCTCAAAGCCAGAATTTGACAATCAATAAGGTATGCTCAAAGCCAGAATTTGACAATCAATAAGGTATGCTCAAAGTCAGAATTTGACAATCAATAAGGTATGCTTAAAGCCAGAATTTTAAATGATTACCAGTATCTATGCTCAAAGTGAGGTGTTTTGACAAGCAATATGGTATGCACAAAGCCTGAATTTTAACAACCGATTAGATATGTCAAAGCCAGAATTTAGATAACAAACGTTTTAACCAAGTACATGTAGCTTATAATTTACAGAAGATGACCATTTCAGAAAATATGAAATTAACCTGTAGACATAAAACATTTCTTCACTCAGGGTAGCTATAAATTAAAAAACGTTATCAATTGAAATCTTTTCACCATTTTAAAATGTTAAATTTAGAAACTTTATTGTACAAGCTACAGTGTCAGAACCTGTCCAGGAATAAATTACATGTATGCATGTAGATATAGCTCTGTTTATTATTTACATATATATATTGTCTTTATTATTTTGATATAATGAAGAAAAAAAATCATAGAACAACGGGTTAAATTTCAAAATTTACATTTTTTCGATTTAATTACAATTGACCAATCCAGAAACAATGTTGCATCATTGGAGTGCAATTCTCTATTGTTAATTCTTTATAGGAAAAGGGGTCATTTGGGAGGATTTGACAACCTAAAGTTAATTTTCTGATTTGGTCCAATAAGGTTTCTCATTTAAAAACAAGGAGAAGCGGTATGACTGCTTATATGAGTTTTCCAGCAAAGACCAAGCAACAAAGATGTAAACAACGACAGGTCATCACAAGGTCTTCAGCAATGATCAAAACCCATACTGTAAAGTAAGCTACTATTTTCTCCCCTTGTATCGAAGAACTTTTCTAATTTTGTCCTTAGTATAAAGATTGCATCAATTTTGAGCTAACTTAATACACTATTTTATTTTTTCAGGAAGAAAATGTGTATCATGACATAGGAGAAGTTAATGAAGACGCAGATAATAGTTATAACGAGGATTATACTGATGATGATAGTGATGATTATGAAATCCCTGATCCTGTGAAAGATGACATTAAGCATGAGGAATCTGTAAATAATAAACTTAATGATATAAATACAGCATTACAAATGAGGATTAAACCATCAGATCTTAGTAATACAAGACAAGGAATATCAGATAAAGGTGCTGTAAAAAGACCAAATTCAAAACCCCCACCTCCACCAATGGGCTTGAAACCTGTTGATATTGATATGGATAATGAATTATCATCTCAAAATAATTTTAAATCTCCGACTTCAAATGGACCTCCTGTAACACCTCCTAAAAAGGGTAAGGACAAACCCAATTTACCACTAAAAAAAGATACATCTGGAAGTGCTAATTTTCAGTCTGTATTGAAAGCGAAAAATTCATCTGACAAACCACCGCCACCGCCTCCAAAGAACAGTAAACCGGCTTCTCTGGGCACAGGTTTTAAGAATAATTCTTCAGAAGTTTCTGAACAAAAGAAAACTCCTGTTGCTGAACTGAAGGGTAAACTTGCAAAACAGTCAGATGAAAAAAAGGGAGATAACTTATTAACTCCAGGACAGCAACGTTACAAATATACTGATATTGTTCCCAAGGATCAAAGACAATCTGCTTCTAAACAAGAATCTCTTGTTGGAGTGTTAAAATCTAAGTTTGGAAAAAGACAAGATTCTTCTGATGATAGTATATCACCTGTAACAAGTCCTAAATCTGACACTGGAACAAAGGGCTTCGTTCTACCCCCAAAGACATTTCATAAACAAGCAACACCTCCTAAAAATGTGTCTCCAATGTCACCAAAAAGACTTAATCATACTCGTGGAAAAGATTTAACAAGACAGCATGAGGAAGAAACAAGTGTAAATAAATCTATGGGTGAATTGAAAGCTAGATTTGAAAAACAACACCCAGAGGTATCCAAAAAACCTCCATTAAAACCAAAAACAGTGATGAACATTTATAAAAGTAACTCTAGTATTAGTTCTGAAAGTTCATCTTCAACAGTTGATGACAAACCAAGTGTTAAAACAAGTGCATTGAAAGCCATGTTTGAACATTCAAATTCAGAACCAGTTACTAAACAGAAAGTTGTTGCTAAGACAAGTTCTGGTAGCAGTAAAGCATCAGGAATTGCTGCTATGTTAAACTCTAAGTTTGAAAGTGATAAACCATTATTAAAGCCACCTGTGCACTCTAAGTTTGAAAGTGATAAACCATTATTTAAGCCACCTGTGCAAAGATCAAACAATTCATCGTCAAATCAACTTCCATTGTGGTCAAAATCAAAAGTGGATCAATCTAAACCACCACCAGTTATCCCTCATAAACCATTAAAACCAAAAACATCAAATCCTCCACCTTTACCAGCTAAATCCTCAAGTAGTAATACAGAAAAGGTCAGACCTAAATTAGCCGTACCACAAAAACCATCTAATGTGGATAAAAATCATAATGAAATGGGAGATAAACAAAGGGGAATAACTGAATTATCAAAGATACTAGCAAATAAAAATCAGTCTACTACAAGCCAGGAAGAAAGTGAGCCACCAACACCACCTCAAAAAGATTACGAAATTCTCTCTAAGTGTACATCTCCTCAGTATAAAACATTATGTGATTACATTGGGGAAAATGAAGGAGAAGTTGGATTCACATCAGGAGAGAATGTTGAAGTATTGGAACAAACGGACGAATGGTGGTTTATAAAGGTACATGGAGAAGAGGGTTGGGCTCCAGCATCGTATATAGAACACTGCGAAGTGACAGCATTTGATGATGTCTTTCATCAACAGTATCGAGCAGTTGTCGAATTTTTTGCCGATGCTGAGGGAGAAATAAATTTAAATTATGGTGACATTTTGGATGTTTTAGAAGAAACCGACACTGGATGGTGGCTGGTTAGGAATGGTAAAATGGAAGGTTGGGCACCTTCTGAATACATGGAAAAGGTGTAAAAGTGTTGATTTGCATTGTATTATAGATATTGGCCAATATCTAAATACAGAATATACTTTTCTTCAATTTCTCAATAAAATGCATTTAACTTTATCACGAGTTTCTCAACAAAAAGTATCAATATTTTATTAATAATTAGAAAATATTGCATTTACACTTAGTGTCAAAATTGTTCAAATGAAAAAACCTTGCCTTCCTACCCAAATATCTCTAATTAAAGTTCTACAAAGTACAAACTCAAACTGTGATAGATTTGAATACATGTATATATTTTTATTTGTATTTTATCATGACATTATAATTCTTTTATTTTCAAGCTGTTAGAGTCTTTTCAGATAAAAGAGTAATATTTTCTTAGATTGGAAAACACAAATGATACAGAGAGCTCTAGTTGATCTGTTTTATAGGTAGACCTCCGTCTGTTTATAAGCACTATTTTATAAAAAATTTGATTTAAATTTATCTAAATAAGATGAATTACTGTAAATTCAGAAATTATTGCGATGTTTTTATTATTGCGAAAAATGCGACAGGGTTATAATCGCAATAATTTAAACTCGCATTTTAAAATTTTTTATATGAATTAAACAGGATTTTTCTCAATATTGCAATAAATTAAAATCGCATTTTAGTCTAAAATGAGAAAATCGCAAAAATAAATGTACGCAATAATTTCTGAATTTACAGTATATATTTGTTTTGTTTTAATTTGTTTTTTGCAACAACCTGTATGTATGGATAATGTAGCTGCTACTATTTTTAGACATTTGGTGCATATTTATGCCCCCGCAGTAGTGGAGGGGGCATTAAGTTTTACCCTTGTCCGTCTGTATGTCCGTACATCCCAAAATTGGTTTCCGTTCTCTAGCTTTAGTTTGCCTCTATGAAATGTTAGGAAACTTATACAGAATGTTTATTTTTTTACCACAAAATACAGATCAAGTTTGAACTTGGGTGGCGTCACTTTTACCTTTCTAGAGTTATGCCCCTTTATGAATGGAAAATTGCTGAATTTTTCATTTCCGTTCTCTACTTTAAGTTTGCCTCAACCAAATGTTATGAAACTTATACACAATGCTAATTATCACAAAACTTAGGTAAAGTATGAATTTGGGTACTCACACTTTTACCATTCTTGAGTTATGTTCCTTTATAATGTTATATGCAAAAGTGGGGGGGGGGGGGATCATCTGTGTCCCATGAACACATTCCCCATTTATTTTTTTATAAAACACAACTAGGAACAGATGTTAAACCTAAGTATTGTTAAGTTTGAATTTATTTTATAAAGTTGACCAGTTGTTAAAATATTGAATTGATACATAGTTGTAAATCAATTACTTAGTTAAACATGTTAGTGAAAACATTTTACATTATAAATAAATTCAGAATGACATATCACCTTACCATATATTAATTATAGATCATTATAGCCCGCCACGAAGGAGGGGGTATACTGGTTTTCATCTGTCCATCTGTATGGCTGTGCATCCCTGCCTCTGCCTATCCAAGTGTAGAGTCCGTCTGCAGTGCCATGACATTTTTGTTGGTATTTTCTCAGAAAGTTTCAGAAGAACTTCCTGAAATTTGGAAGCAAGCTTCATGTAAGCATTGTATACAGTGTGATGCATTTTCATATTCATCTCTCATCAACTTCCTGTGAACTGAATACTTCTATTATATATATTTTTACACACGATGTCTATGTATGAAATTCTCATCTGATTTTTCTTAAGATCTAGGAAAAGGAGTTATTATAATTTGGTTTCAAGCTTCATGTGAGCATGCTAAACTGTGTGATGGATTTTAACATAGATTTCACTGTCTTTTTCATGTTTATGACAGCTGATTTTGCATTTAAGCAACAACTGTAAAATCATATAAAAAGTTAGGTAGTCATTTTTTAGTTGTCATATTAATGACAAAATTAGGTTTCATATTCATGATATTATTGCATCAAAAATATATCCTGTATCTACAAGAGTCAGAGCTCTCGTTCAAATGAAACTTTAACTGATAGTATATGCTACCCTCTTTTTATATAAAAAAAAAGACATTGATGTCTAAAACTAAAACTTAATTATGACATAATTTAAAAAACAAAATGCTTTAGATTTTAGTTTGAATCTTTTTTCTTCTTTTTTTGCAAAAGAAATAAACAACAACAAGAAACTGAAATTAAGCAGATGCACAAATATATGATTCATAATTATGTGCATTTGGAAAATAGTTTTTTTTGTCCCCTGCGCAACGCGTTGTGGGAGACATAGAAATACCAGGCATCCATCTGTCTGTGCGTCCGTTGATTCGGTCTTGTTATCGCTTTCACATGTACAATTCATGCCAGATTTTTATGAAACTTATCATAGGTTTATATCAGCGAGTTCGAAAATCAGTGCCGATCAATTATTTTTAAAAGAGTAATGCCCCTTGGAAAAATTAATTATATGGAAAATTGCATTATTAGTGCTCTCATTTGTACAATTCTTGCCACATTTTTATGAAACTTATATCATAGATTGATAACAGCAATGTCTTGGATGAGTTTGAAAATCAGTGCTGATCAATGATTTTTAAAAGAGTTATGCCCCTTGGAAACATTAATTATATGGAAAATTGCATTTTTAGTGCTCTCGTGTACAGTTTTTCCAGATTTTTATGAAATTTATATTATAGGTTTATATCATCAATGTCTTTGACGAATTCGAAAATCAGTGCTGATCAATTATTTTTAAAAGAGTAATGCCCCTTGGAAATATTAGTTTTATGGAAAATTGCATTGTTAGTGCTCTCATGTGTACAATTCTTGGAAATATTAATTATAACAGAAATCGCATTGCATTTGCTCTGAAGCCTTCATTTCTCTAAGATATTTATGAAAAGCTTTAAAGAACAATAAAAGGTTTTTTTTTTTAATAAATTGCCCTTGTACCGTGGATAGATAAAATATGTGCAACACGGGGGACATTGGAACACTGTTCTTTTATTGTCCATTGAGTTAGCATTTTATAACCACAACTGGGAAATTTGAAAGTATTAAATATTAAAGAGCAACAAACTCAAAATAATGGAAAAATATACTAAAATGTCTTAAGAGAAAATATGTTTGCACTCTTGCTACATACTATTTTCTAGTTATAATATCAGTTGAATAGATTGCTGTACAAGGTTCATTTCTTAAGTTGTTGTTAAATTTAACATTTTTTATATGCAATGATATGAAAACTTTGCTGAAGTACTTGATTTTAGAATAGTTTTCATGGTTCTAAACATCATTTAATGGTTTCTACATCACATCACTAAATTGTCATCTTGAATTGTTGGTGAAACCTGATTTTTTTAAAAGAAAGAATTGCTCAAAACTTTTTTTTAATTATAAGTCATGGCATCATCAAATAAAAATTCATAAGTACAGCAAAAATAAAGACATACATATTTGATAATTTCTCTGAAATGTTAGCCCCAGGCTATAAAGAGGCAACATGGTTTTCAAAACTTTAAAAAAAATGAGACCATAATAGGTTTCATCACCTGTGGTCCTGAAATATTTACCAGTTCCAACCAGATTTTGTTTGCCATAGCCAGAAGTTTTTGCATTTATGTTATTTACAAAGTTAATTGATATTGCTGTGTTAACATTTTTAACTATTAGGTTGTACAAATAAATTGGACAGAATATTCTGATGTTAATACACATGTTACTGAAACTTATGAGTGCCTAAGATATTAAACAATAAACAATAAAAAGAAATAAGTGTTACTTGTCTATGTGCTTACCTTCTGTGAATCCATTTCATATTCTAGTATTTTAGTTCACATGACCTAAAGGGCCATGTGAGCTTTTGTGGCTTTTGCCATCACTTGGCATCTGTTGACATCCGTATGTCGTAAACATTTTTCTCTTCTACTCTGAAACTACTGAACCAATTTCAAATGAAATTGATGTTAATGATCTGTAGGACATTCAGAATAATATTTAGAATTTCATCTCTGCTGACCAACCAACATGGCAGTTGTGACCATATGTCCATTGTACGTGATCTCATTTTCATGGTTCAGTGACTGCTTGAAAATTTTTAGTCCACTACCGACGAAGTCAAAGGAGACTTTAGGTTTGCACTCCGTCCATCCATCTGTCTGTCCATCTGTCAGTCCGGCAAATCAGTTTTCCAGACTTTTTTTCTTCATGCTTGAAGATATTGATTTGATATTTGGTGTATTGTTTTCATGACAAGTTACTGGTCAAGTTCAATTTTCACGATTTTAGCTTTTCTCCTTGTTCAGTTAAAGCCCTTTCCCTAGAATTAAATTTTTGACAAAATACTTATTAATTACTAGATTTCTGTTCAAAGGGAAATAACTAATTTTTTAAAAGATTTTTAACAGATATTTTTATTAATGATAGATGACATTTTGGATTTGTTCCCTTTTATTTGGTAAATTGTTTGAAGAATTTAGTGGTATGTTTGATTGTTATTGATTCTGTATAAACTAATTTTCTGAATGCTATATATTAAAAAAAAATTTTGATGAAGTGAACTCTTTTATTTAGATAATTATTTTTGATAAAGGATATATTTCATTTAAGAAATAATTCATGGAAGCAAAGGGCATGTGTAAATTCATTAAAATAATCAGTTTTCCACACTTTTTTGTCATTCTTGAAGATATTGATTTGATAATTAGTATATAGTTTTATCATGAAAAGTTACAGATTAAGTTAGAATTTTGTTTCGGTCTGATGATTTTGTGCAGAGTTATGGTCTTTGGACATAAAAAAATCACTTAAATAATCAGTTTTCAACAGTTTTTTTCGTCATGATTGAAGATATTGACTTGATATTTTTATGTAGTTAAATACACCATGACAAGTTATAGATTAAATTAGAATTTCGTTCCATTACAATGAATTTTTAACCGGCAGGGGACTATGTATTGCCATGCAATACTCTCAGAATGCTTGTTATATCTTGTTTGTCATGTGAAATACTCACTTATGAGTAATAGGATAACTATATTTGGTATATGGGTTCCTTGCAAGGTCTACATGTCTGTCAGACAGGGTTCACCTGACCTCGACCTCATTTCATGGATCAGAGATGAAGGTTAAGTTTTCGTGGTCAAGTCCGTATCTCAGATACCATAAGCAGTATGTCAACTATATTTAGTGTATGGAATGATTTTCAGGTGATCATGTCAGAGTGTCAGGTTTTATATGACCTTGACCTCGTTTTCATGGTTCATTGGTCAATGTTACGTTTTTGTAGTTCGGTCTGTTTCTCAGATACTATGAGCAGTAGAGCCACTACATTTGGTGTATGGTATGATTGTAAGATGTACACGACAGTGGTCTCATTTTTATGGTTCATTGATCAATGTTCAGTTTTCATAATTAGGTGTGTTTTTCAGATGATATAAGCAATAGGCTCACTATATTTGGTGTATGGTATGATTGTCTGTCTGGCCTCGGACTGGTTCTGACCTTTACCTCATTTCCAAATGATGTAAAGTTTAAGTGATACTTGTCACTGATTAAAACCTTCATATTACAGACTTTCAACAGAAGTTTAATCACAATAAGTAAAGCAGGCAGTCATTTCAGCTTGTGCACTCTTGTTAATTTTATTAATTAAATGTAATGCAGATGGATCTTTTCTAAGTTTGGCCATCGACTGTGATTTATAATGCAGGCGTCACACTGTCCCGAAATTGGCACAGGATGGACACACGGTAAAGGAAATGTTCAAATTCGGGTGTGATCGTATTAATAACGGACCTTTCGTGAGGGCATCTTAAGCCATCGTATGACCACCGGTTGAGTTTTCAGGCTCCGGCAGAAACTTCGTGAGGGGTGGCAAAATCTTTGGCATGCCAACAAATTTCTGTGTTGAATTCGTATGTCCATTTTGCCCCTCGTAAGGCCATCGTGAGGGAATCTTTTCAAATCATGTCATCTTCGTCTTTACTTCGTGTAATCATCGGTGCCGTCGGGCATTTTCGCCTCACGAAGAAAACAAGAAGCTGCCAGATCTTCGAAGGAAGGCCACACGGCTACGTGTAGCTCTCGCAATGCCGTCGTGTAGCCATCGTATTATAGTACGATGACATCGAGATGAGACGACAGTGTCGCAAAGACAGCCGAATTTGAGTAGCTCAAGCGTTTCACATGTGTCGTGGTAACGTGGACATATAAAAGGCCAGCCTCAGAGCATCTTCCTCAGACATTCATGAGCAACTCTACAGAACAGCGGCGCCGGTGTGTAACTCCCAAAGCTTTTATCACCATTATTCACAATTCAGTTCCTGCAGTATGGAATACTTTGATGATGAGATAATCTGGAAAAAGAAGGCAACATATCTTTATTATATCTTGCTAATTGTCTTTCTAATATTCGACAATGTCCTTATCTTGTTTTGCTTTTATATTCTAGTACAGGGACAAACGCGAAGGAGGAAACCGAGGTCTATGCGGCTCAAAAATTGCTGTCTGACAAAAGAAGAGACCGCTATGGCCACTATAGCACTCTTCTGAAGGATCTGAAGACAGAAGATAGGAAAGCCTTCTACAACCACACAAGACTTCCCAGAGGCGTCTACGATGAGGTCCTTTGAAGGTAACAAGGCAGAATATAGAAGAAGGACACATTGTAAAGACAGTCTCTCCCTCCTCATCTCAAGCTGTCTATCATTCTATGACACCTGGCATCTGGTGACAATTATCCAAACCTGTCCTTCAACTTAAGAGTTGCTCCAAACACGATCTCCCTTATCATCAATGATATCTGCGATGCCATCAAAGCCCGCGTTAACTGTTGAGGTGATATAGTGTCCTACTACAACAGAGGAGTGGACCGCCATTGCTGAGCAGTTTGAGACGAAATGAAAATTTCCACACTACTATGGTGCTTGGATGGCAAGCATGTTTGGGTCACCTGTCCTTTGAATACTGGCTCTGTGTACAGAAACTACAAGGGCTTCTTCTACATTGATCTCATTGCCCTGGGCGATGCAGACTACAAGTTTCTCTGGGTTGATGTCAGCTCTGATGGTTCCAGGAACGATGCCAGCATCTACAATGGGTCAGAACTAAAGGAAGGCCTGGAAAGTCCGAACAATATAGTTACGATACTGTTGTCAGGTCATTAAAGATTGCATATTTTGGCTTTAATATTGATTCACTTATAGGGTCTTTGCATCGGAATTAAACATATTTATTCTAAAACAAGTTGTTGGCATGACACGGGTTATGTTCTTCTCATATATTTTATAATGGTACAAGTGTGGACACAGATGAATGTGGATAGTATGTTTGGATGTTTGACAGTGTTTTATATGACAAAAGGAGTTCTATGTTTTTCCTATATGGTGTTATTAACTGTGTTGCACGATGACAACCAACCTGAGCATGAGGAGTGTTGTTTATTTAATATCTAGATTTTATGTTCAAGAGGGCATGGAAGAGACACTAATTGCATTAATGACCAAATGATTATGATAGAATATTTTCCACATCTTTGATTTTGGATAAATTTTGTAGCTAGGAGAGCAACACATAATAGGTTCATTTTTTCATGTGATTTTTTTTTAAATGGGAGATGATATCTGAGAACATGATATCAGGAGGCTGTAATTCAGTGGTTGTCGTTTGTCTATGTGTTACATAATATTTGTTTTTCGTTTATTTTGTGTACATAAATAACATAAATGACTATGCGTTATGGGCTTTGCTCATTGTTGAAGGATGTACGGTGACCCGTAGTTGTTAATTTCTGTGTCATTTTGGTCTGTTGTGGAGAATTGTCTCATTGGCAATCATACCACATCTTTTTATATGTATTTGCTCACTATTTGTATGGTTCTATTTATATTACTTTGTGGTGGATTGTCAGTATCATTAGTAAAATATTTTGTTAAAATGTCGAAATTGTTTCTCAGATTAGAAGACATTTATTGGTTTTTAGTAATGAAAATGCCTGACATGATGCTTGGGGCTAGATGAGCTAGAAAGTAAACTTCTGTGTTGTTTTTTATCAATTCTTTGATAACATCTCCAAAGCTGGCCGAAGCAAAAAAAAGTTTTGACCAATATGAAAACGATATCAACAAAAAAACCTTTGTAAGCATGCTTCAAAGACTCATAACTGCTCCAAAAGTAATCTGATAGAATTTCAAGCATGTCAAGTGGGTATTATGAAAATCTACTTAATACAAATGTATGTCTAAATATCAAAAAAGTTATAGTATTCAATATGAAAAAGGTATTGCAAAATTATTCTCTTTTCAATTTTTTTTGTTATATGGATACAAATATAAGTGATACCAATACAGTATTTGTTGTGGTATGAAAGTGTAGTAAATGTAATTAACATTTACTGTAACAATGTTAATTCACACAAATTAAGAAATAAACAAATGAATGAAAAATGTTGAACATGTACAATGAAATATAGTTTTAGAAATCAATTAGGCCAGCTAGGCCTTATAAATTTTTTTTTTTTTTTTTAACATACTGAATGACCATTTACACTCAGGACCGAGTCATCAGTAGGCAGTACAGATGTATTAAAACAACCTAGCATCATATTGCTAGTAGCGAGTGTAGCATTGTCGGGTAAATTTGTTCTTTTTTTAAAATTTGGTTAAAGGACAAAAAATGTTTGGTTCAAATCATAATAAAATGCTTTTATCTCCTTACTTACATTGTACATACATGTAGAATGGATACTACCCTGACAAATCCTTGTACATGAGAGT